CCGGTCTGCCTGCCTCTGCTTTCTGCTGGTGGTGCAGACGGCCAGCTTGGGCTCTTGCCTCTCTCGGGAGTATGGCGCGGTGCGGATGGCAGCACAAACGCAGCCCCCGGCTGAATTGTGGCCTTCCAGGCGCGTGCGAAGCGCTTGCTTGGGCATCCAGAGCCAGCCATCTGCAGGCGTGCAGCAGTCCAGCCGGGGCTGAGGCGCCGTGCCCAGGTCGGGCGACCGCCGTGGCCCCTGATTCAGATAGGCGCCAGCCTGGGTTTCGGCAGCGCCCCGCCAGAGTGCCCTCGACCCCGCCCGTCTGCTGGCCCACGTCCCCAGCACAGCAGCAGCACGCACATCTGCCCCACCAGCGGTCGCCTCAGAGTCATTTGCAGTCGCACGCGGCATGCTGGAGGCCCGGTCGAGGCGGCAGAAAAATTACGGGAGACCGTCCTTGATCCGCTGATCCGCTGATCTGCTCAAACTCGCTCTGGATGCACGTAGTTTTTTTCAGGGCGTCTTTCACATGCCCTGGCGAGGCGGCAAAGTCAGAGTTTGAGGGCGGCGTGGCAGAGAACCGCGTGCTGGTGAGGCAGTCGCCTCTGATGCGGACGTGGTCGCCCGCAACGGAAGTCTGCGGCGAGCCTGTGCGAGGACGCCCAGAGACTCATGATCGAGGCGTTGTTGATGTTCGGACAGCGCAGCGCACAGGTTGAGCAGTACAGGCACACGGCGACACTGCGGTTTCGGACCTCTGCGGTAATCCGATGGTGGCGGCGATGGGGGCTGGCGTCGTGGGCCGAGACGATACAGGGCGAGCGCTCTCGGCTCCCGGGAAAGAAGGGGCTCGGAAAGCCAGGGCCATCAAGGATGGATCTCCAGGGCGATTCCTTCGGCCGTGTTCTGATCGTATCGAGCCGACAGCAATCTGCAGCACTCACCGCAGTGGGCCGAGCACACCTTCACACAGCGGCCACCGCCGAGAGCCCGGTGACCAGCAGCAGCTCGCTGGATGAAGGTACAGGACCTCACCTTGCTGCCCCGTAGTGGCGTTCCTTTGGGCCGAAGTCCGGCCAAGCCACCCTCGTCCTGCGTATCGACCCAGCGACCTCTTTTAGTGCTGCAGCCATCGGGCAATCGTGACGAAGTGATCGCAGAGAAGGTTCAATTCATCCTCGGCTTTGTTTGCCATCAAGCCAGTTGGGACTATCTACATTGAGTCAGGAGCGTGCCACGAGGAACTGGGAAGTGTGACGGGTGACTGTACAGCACGACGAGGGTCCGAGCAACGCGGCGAGGGTCTGGAGAGCGTGACGGGAGACTGGAGTGCGTGACGGGGTCTGGAGAGCGTGACGGGGACTGGAGTGCGTGACGGGGGCCTGAAGAGCCTGACGGGAGACTCTGGAGAGCGTGACGGGAACTGGAGAGCGCGACGACAACTGGAGAGCGCGACGGGGAACTCAAGAGCGCAACGAGAACAGCTCAGAGCAGCGCCTCCACCTCAGCGTTGTCCTGAACGTCGACGTTGTTGGCCGGGGCCGGCTCGGCCGGAGCGGCGGCGCCGTTGGGCCGCGAAGCGTTCTGCTGAGGAGCGTTCACCTGCTCCACCACGGAGCAAAAAGGATGACGAAACGTCAAAGAGGATTATTTTGTTAGTACCAGATGAGATCGGCGCCAGCAAGCAGCCGACCACGCGTAGCAGCTTCGAGACGAGGCGGGGGACATTGAGCAGCTCCATGGTGTCCGAGGAGTCGTCCCCCTGTGGATGTCATACCTGATGGTCCGAAGAATACACCAGGCTGATGGTCCACATACCTCGCCTGTGGGTAGAGCTCAACACCATAACGAGCTGGGAAGCAACGGTATGGCCTGCTACGGGGCTAGTGGAACAAACTCACCTGCACGCGGAAGACTCGGTCCAGTCCAAGTCGGACTTGACCACCGACATCGATGATGTCGGTGGTCTTCTTGACCTCGCCGAGGAGAGAGGGCTCTGAGATCGAGATCAGAGGGGTATTATTTTGTTAGCACCACAATGAAATCAGCGCTCGTAAGCATCCGACCACGGGGAGCGGCTTCGAGGCGAGGCGGAGACGTCGAGCAGCTCGATGGTCTCCGAGGAAACGTGGCGCAATGGTCCCCCCGTAGACGTCAAACCTCATGGCTTCCGAAGAAACCATCGAGGTTGATGGTCTACACACCTCGCCTTTGGGTAGAGCTCAACACCACATCGCATTGCAAAGCAGCCGATGTGGCCCACTACCGGGTAACTAGGAGGAAAAAGTCACCTGCAGTGGAAGACTTCTTGAGCGCGTCGAGGAGAGTCGAGCTTGCTGGATAGCCGGGGGGATGGATGATGGAGAAAGAAGAAGGGGGAAGGGGGCGAAATCTTGGCCTCTTATACCCCTCTTCACCCCCCCAAAAGGGCAAGTTGCAGGCCGTGCTACGTGGAAGCAAATCCCTCTGAGCCTTCCACAGCATCCTCTGTTCCAAGCCCTCGACGGAGAAGCCGGGCACCGCTGCCAGTTGGGGTCGGGATCCCTCGCCCTCGCACTTTCTGGTCCAGATCCTCTGCTGCCACGCCCTCGGCCCTCCACCGCGCAGCCAGCAGCCAGCCAGGGGCATGTGAAAAGACGCGCTCGAACGGCTTCACGACCGTAGACAACGGGTCATGCCCAGTCTCCCCTAATGGTGTAACAGCCAGCCCGGGCGCCCAGCACGATCATGGTTCATGACGGTGCACCCTCCTCTGACCAAATAATGCTCCTCGCTCCCCTCTCGTACCAGCCGCGGGCAACATGACCGCCGACAGTCAGATTCAAGACCACGGTGCCGAGGCCTCCCGAGACTCGAACACGTGTGATCAGAGCTCGTAATGACACGAGGCACTTCTAGTCGACTCCCCGGCGCTGTCCTCGGTCTCTCTGAAAGCACTAGCACAGATGCCGTCTCCATCACGAGGTTTCCCTGGCAGGCAGAGGACACGATCGCTACGAGGCCAGGAGATCGACATCGGACGTGACATCGGACGTGGTGACGGGGATGCTCGCCTGCACAGCCGCGGCCTCAACGCGGCTTCGCGCACACTGCCTGCAATCCTCCCGTTGACGGACCTCGGCGTTGCGTCTGCAAGTTTTGCTCGGAACGCTTCGTCTCGGCACGACCTGAGGCCGATTGCACCTTTGCAACGGGGTTTGAGATGGGATGAACGTAGTTTTGGAATTCGACTCGACCGATCCGGGGACGCCATCCTTTTCGTTGAGAGGGACTGGGGATGAGGCAAGGGGGCGGCGATGGACGGGGCCTGACAATTTCCTCGCGAGGAGAGACAAGAGACGTGCAGCAGGATACGGCCGTGCAGGCGCCGTCGCACCTCGCGCACCGACGTCGACGGGCGTAGGCAGGCCCTCACGCAGGTATATGGGCGACTGAGCGGCTGTGTGGCCGCAGCACTCGAGACCCACGCGCGACGCCCCAGTTCGTTCCGTCGGCCGCACCGGTGATCGTTTTGTCGATGGTCTGGTAGCGGGGCGGATCCTCCATCGAGTTTGAGTACGGGGTCAGCGTGCACAGCGCCGGCGGGAGGATGTCGGCGTAATAGCACTACCACGTCTTTCCACCAATGGTCTGGGTGCGGCGTGGCCCGAAGATGCAGTCGACTTCGGCGCAGTTGGCCTCGGAGCGGCAGGGCGGCTAGCGTTTCGGGCAGCGGATGGTGTCAAAGTCGTGCGTGGCGCTGTTGGCTGTGTGGCGCTCTTGGCGGCCAAGTAGAAGTGGGTGTTGGAGCACAGAGCGGGCGACCTGCTTGTTGCTGGCGTGGTATCGCAGCGTCATTGTGCCCCTATTTCCGGAGATGGTTATGTCGAAATGGCCGATATGGGAAGAGTCACCACCGGCCTGGACGGCATCGGAGAATGCGACAGCCAGCAGCGGCAAGAGGCGGAGGATGCAAGAAGAGATCTGTCTGGCTTGAGGGGTGGGAGAGGGCGATGCAGGGAGAGCAGTGGTGTGAGATCGATGCGAGGAACGAGTCAGAAACGGACCCGTTCATGTATGGGTGCGCGTCTACCTTGCCTTGGCTAGCTCCGCCGGCAAAGGAACGACCCCCGCCACCGGACTGGCTCACCTTGAAGGTCACCGACGACCACGAAGTAAGCATGGAGCGCTAAGTGGACGGTAAGGAGGTGGGAGCCCGGAGAGCACAGCGCCCGACGGGTGGGTCGAGGCGTCGTTGACCGGACAAGCTGATGGCGCTGGTCGACGGATTGCCCATGGCGGGCTCAAGAAGCGGGCCGGCTCACGCCACAGCGAATGAAAGCTGACTCGCTCGAAAGTGTCGTGCGTTTGGCCGTGAGGCAGGTGCCATGGCTCGGATGGCCGAGACGACGACACGAGGCGATCAAGCCCTTCGCCCAGAGCTTGCGCAAACCTGGGCGTGCTGCGGCCGGTGACGGTGGCCGGAAGAAGTGGTATGGCCGCAGCAGGTGAACGTCCGGATCGCCTAGCCATTGCGCTACCCAAGGGTCCTCGAAACGACGCAGGGAGAGATCTGAGCGGGGAGTTGGGTGCCTGCGCGTCGCTCGAGACAAGCGGCGGCAGGGCACGAGCGAGGTTGACGGGACTGTGGCGGGCAGGTCGCACTGTCGCGAGATGGGCCGACCGAGACGTCGATAGGACGAGCGAGGATCGAGGAGGGGCGAGTCGGCGGGCTGGACCATCACGTGTGGCCGTCGTGAGGCATCCGATGGTGTGAGCAGGTCCAAGCGGGTCGGTGGCAGCCGGAGGTATGTAGGTGGATGGGTCAAGCCCCCGCAGTCGACGCTCGCTACTACTTTTTGGCGGTGGTGCGCTTCGTCGCTGATTGAGGCCTACCCCCACCACGTTGCTGCACGAGGGCGCCACCCGCCCCACCCACCCACCTCTCGCCTTTGCATCGGGTCCGACGCCGACCCACTTCAGCGCTTCCGATGAGCCACGCCCTCGGGGACAAGCGCAGCACCCCCACCTCGGCCTTCGATCGCAATCTCGCGGCCAGGCCTGCCATGTCCTATAAGACAAGGCCCCCTTCGAGACGTCTCTACCCCTCTACCCGTCTCACCAATAGTACTCACCCTCTCTGCTCTTACCTCTTGCCCAGCATCCCCCGCACACAATGACCCCCTCGACTTTTGTCCGCCTCGTGCCTGCGCTTGCACTGGCTCTGCTCGCGGGCCAGGCAACCCATGCGCAAGCGCAGGGCCCCCACGCCTGGACTCCCATCTCGAATGGTGCCGGCATCCTGAGCATCGACTACCAGCAGAACCAGGTGATGCTGTGCGCCACACAGCGCTTCCACCTCGCCATCAACAATGCCGGTCACGACTCCGCCAACGTGTGGTGCACCAACGGAGCGCCCCCGTGCCGCTTCACGACCGACTGTACGGGCCACGGCTGCGTCTTCAACAGCGCCAACTTTGTCGACGTCGATGGCAGGCACAAGTACTGCACCTACGCCAACGTCGGCCACGCCACCTACTATTCTCCAACGCCCGACCCCCGCGGAGCGACCATCTTTGACGTGATCAAGGGCGCAGGAGGCGGCACCTCCTGGGGCGTTGTGGGTGAGTCGCGGCCGGCCACTGTGCGCTGCGCTGTCGTATCCCGTCTGGCCTCCATCCTCCCTGGCATCTGAACGCATCTGACACGTCCGATCTCGATCCGCCTCTCTCGCTCCCGTTTGCCTCGTGCGCTCGCTGCAGTTGGCAACAACTTCCAGTTCCAGAACTACAACGCCAACTTCCACTTCTCGTAGAGATTGCCTCGTGCACATCGTCGGCATCATACTAGTAGTGCCATCGCCGTTGGCCTCTCTTCGCTGCTCAGGCAACGATCGGTCGCTTGCGTCGTGGCTCAACCGAAGCCTCCTGCAGTGTCCGGCCACTGCGGCTGTCTTCGTTCTGCCCAATGGGCCACCTTCTCTGTTCCGATGCCGACTCACTGAGACGGGCGAAAGACCGGGGATGTGAGGATGGGTCGGCCTGATGTATGGCTCAACACCGTCATCTACCGTGGCCATCCTCGACTGGGCTTGCAATGCATCCGCGCTCTTCGTTGAGACCGGTCCCGATCTCGTAGTCTTGCCTGACTGTGCGTTTGGGTAGAGGCCGGGGGGGTGCTAGCGTTGCCGCGTGCAGACGAGAGATCGATGCCCTCCAGATGGGCGAACAGGCGTCGACGCGCAGGCAGCAAGCCGATGCTGCTCGCCGGCTTGTACCGCCTCAGTGCGTTTGAGCACGGCAGGCAACGGGCCGCTTCAGCCCGTCCAGCCCCATGTTGCTCTGTCCCTCGTCTCTCCACCTTGTGTTCCCTCCTCCGAGACCGTCTGCGTGGCTGAGATGGCTCTCTCGCATCGTGGGCAACATGACAGCCGAAAGGAGGTACCTTCCGCCTTGTCAGCAGAACTGCGGTGGCTGCATCGGGGTGCTTGGAGGTGCAGTCTTGCATGTCGAAGAGACGCTTCCACTCGTCTCTCGACCCGTGCCGGCCGCCGCAGTGATGCCTTCCTGCCCGCGATCGGCCGGCCCTGCGGCTGTCCTCTCGGCCTTGCTTTTCCTCTGCGTAGGCAAAGACGCGAGTCGAGGACGCGTTTGCTGGCGCGGGCGCGTCGAGGCCACGCGATTCCGGTCCATCCGTTTCAAGGCCAGCTGGAACCACGCGACGCGCGGATGGGTCGACCCGGACCAGGCCAGGCAGAGCGAAGCCGCCTCGCCGTCTTCAGCCACCTGCCTACAGGGTCTCTGCTTCGCTCTGCTTCGCTCTGCTTCGCTCTGCTTCGCTCTGCTTCGCTCTGCTTCGCTCTGCTTCGCTCTGCTTCGCTCTGCTTCGCTCTGCTTCGCTCTGCTTCGCTCTGCTTCGCTCTGCTTCGCTCTACTTCGCTCTGCTTCGCTCTGCGCTCTGCAACTTCCTCGGTCGTACCGGCGACCAGCAGCCAGCAGCGCAGAGACTACCCGGCTGGCAAAGAGATGGACTGGAAACGACGAGTGTCTGTGCCGTTACCGACGGGTGTCTGTGCCGTTGCCAACGGCCCGAGACGGGGAGGGTGAGGGGTTGATTGCCCAGGGCTGCTGCCAGCTGCCGAGGGCGGGGTTTCCCAGGGCTGCTGCCAGCTGCCCTGGGCGGGGAGGGGAAAGTCTGCTGCCGCTGACTTTTGGGATTTATTTTGTGCTAGGGTCGATGCCGCTCGTTATCCTAGGAGGGGGGCCGCTGCCGCTTGCCCCAGGGAGGAGGAAGAAGGGAAGGAAGGGGGGAAACGAGGGAAGGGTAGGATTATATCCCTTTCGAACTGGTTCATGGGGGGGAGGCTGGGGGGCAGGCCGACGTCGACGCGCCAGCAGCAAACGGGCAACGCGCCTGCAAATTGTAATTATTGCCAGGCGGGCAATTGCATTCCGAGGCTCTTATCGCGACCCGACGTTGTATTGCCACTTTCAAAGGTCTGCCGCCAGCGACGCGTTTCTATGTGCTCGTGGCGGCTGCCGCTGCATTTCCCTCCCGGGCCCGGCCATGGAGCGAGGGCCACGCGACACGCACGTGGGCCTGCAGCAGGGGCGGGTACACGCCGCGTCGGACCCTAGCGTACTGGGCAAGCAGGGTGCCCGCCCGTCCCTGTAGGGTGCCCGAGCGCGGACGCACACCTCGCTGGTCGCAGGCCACCGAGACGGCCTGGCCATTCTCGAGGATGGCGGCAGATGGCGGTCAACTTGCATGTTCGGCGAGCCCACTATCCCTCAGTGTCCCCCACGAGCCTGCAAAGTCTGAGCGGTACTGGTCTGGTGGCGTTCCCGTGCTTTGCCCGTCTTGGTATCGTCCTGAGCGGTGGCCCGGCGAGCTGGCTGTGCACATCCGGGATCGGGAGGGACGAGAGCAGGAAGGCCTCGGCCGCGGGCGAGGCCGAGCCAGGACGGGTGAGTGCGAGTCGCGTCGCGCGGTGGAGGGTCGTCGGGGCAGGGTGCACCAACATCTACCCGCTCGTCCGCCTCACACTCACTCGCTCACTCGCGGGACTTATTTCAGGCCGGGTTCTTTTAGAGTGGCGCGCCGAGCCACTTGGGGATTATTTTAGGCCAGTTCTTTAGAGTGGTCGCCAGCCCACTTCGGCGGCGGATCCAGCCACTGGGGCGATCCAGCCACGGGGGGGGGGGGGGTTTATTTTGTGTGCTCGCTCGCAGGCGGCTGTCTGAGGGGAGAGAAGGGAAGAAGCAAAAGGGACGAAGGGTAGGTCTATATACCTTTGCGCCCTTCGATTTGGCTGGGGGCCGGGGGCGCCGCCAGGCGGGCGCCGAAGCTGGGAAACACTACTGGTGAAGTGCCTCGGCGGCTCGCGCTGGCTCGGGTGGTTGCTGGAGGAGCACTGCTGAGGTGCCTGGACCCTCTGCGCGGCGGCCCTGCCTGCCCCCGGAGCAGAGTGAAATTGCGTTTCGGCGCAGCTTAACCCCGGAATAGGGGCAGACCGATGAGAAAAACTACGTGCACCACCAAGTGATCTCGGTATCTCCGTGCTCGCTCGCCGGGTCGAGCGCAGATCAGAGACGGATGCACGTAATTAACGGACATGAGCACCGCCGCCCTGCCAGCTCGAGTGCGGATTAGAAGCGGATGCACGTAATTAAAGGACATAAGCACAGCCACCCTGCCGGCTCGAGCGCGGATCAGCCAGGCGTGCACGTAGTTTCCAAACGGAGGTAAGCCGAGCGACCGGGCCCATGAACCAGATGACAGGGTATATAGTCCTACCCTTCCCTCCTTTCCCTCCTTCCTTCTTCTCCCCCAGGGCAAGCGGCAGCGGCCCCCCACTAGGATAACGAGCGGCATCGACCCTAGCAAAATAAATCCCAAGTCAGCGGCAGCAGACTTTCCCCTCCCCGCCCAGGGCAGCTGGCAGCAGCCCTGGGCAATCCAATGAGGATCGCTGGCAGCGAGCCTCGTTGGATTCCACTTCAATCTCGGGCAGCGGCAGTAGCCCGAGATTGTATTGGCACCGCACCGCTGGCAGCGGATGTCTCGGGCACCCTCCTCAGCATCGGCGTGGCCGTCCCGAGTATGTGGGCGTGGCTCGACTCGTGCTCGCTGTACATGCTCACGCCGCCTCGGCCGGACCTGCCAACACGGTCGTTGAACAGAGAGCGGACGAGGGCGCACTCGATGGTACTGCAGAAAGCAGGCCGCGGTGGGTGTGGCGGACCTGGGACCGAGTGTGGATGGCGGCCGCCGAGGCAGCAAAAGTCGAGGGCGGCGGCGCGTCCCTTTTCGGATTGGACGCGAACCCTTTCCAAAGGCTCAACGCGTACATGCACCCTCTGCTCGGTGCCTTGCAGGCCCGTCGCGTGGCCGCCGCCATGGCGTTTTGCTGGTGGCAGACCTCGGGCCGCGGCAGCAGCCAAAGTCGCCTCGTACCGCCAGCAGCGAGGCCTCGGAACCGCCTTGAGCCCTACCAGGCTCGTGCACGGGCAGTCAAACCCACAGGGAGGGCGAGTCCGAACTCTAGCTGGCCTCGATGCGGATTGAAGAGCACCGCAAACCTTTTCTTCGGTCCGGGACCTGCAGCGGCTAGCCTTCGCCGGGCCGGTGGGCAGCCGGCGCGGGGGGGGCTGGCAGAGAACAACACTTCCGTGCACCCATCCGCGTTCGGATCGGTGGGGAAACGCGCCGCGACTGGACCGAGGCGCGTTTGCTAAAAGGTTCTGAATTCGGGTCGACGCCGTCTGAATTTGGGTCGACGCCGTCGACGCCGTCGACCCGTCGACCCTGTGGCCATCTGCGGCGCGTTTGCAAAAAGGTTTTGAATTAGGGTCGACGCCGTAGACGCCGTCGACCCGTCGACCCGTTGACCCTGTGCACGTAGTTTCTCTTCCGGACTTTAGGCGGCACTGACCCTTTTCTCATGCACGTAATTTTTCTCTGTGCGCCCCTGGGGGCCCCTATCTCCGGGCCAGCTGGACCCGTTCAGAAAGGATAAAAAAGGTCCCCCCTCCCCGTCCATTCCTTCTTCCCTTTCCCCACCATCGCATTCCGAAAGAGGTCTGCCAAAATAAACCCCTACCCCCCCCCCCTCCCCCCTCGACCCCTACGCAATCCGAAACGAGGTCTCGCTATCGGGAGCATTCCGAAACGAGGTCCTGCCCAAAATTTCCCCCCACCCCCCCCCCCTCACCCCTGCCCTTTCCCGCCCGCGTGTGCGCTCCCCCGTCCGAGTGCTCACCTCCTGCCACTCCTCTTGGGACCTGCTGCTTTGGGCCTCTGGTGAGCAGAAGCGCTACCCCCGAAGAGTAGCAGCTCGCTACCCACCTATAGCCTACAACTGGACGAGAGGCAGCGCCTGCACGCTGAGGACGGCGTGCCTGCGAAAGGAGGACGCCACGACGCGTTTCGCGGCTAGGTGACGAGCCTCCTGCAGATGAAGGAGGACGAGCCTGCAAAACCGGGGACGGCGCGCCCGGAATCATGCGACGAGGCGCCTGCATCCAGTGGACGACGCGCTTGCAAATGGAAGACAGCGCGCACGCAATTAGGCGACGAGGAGCCTGCAAATGGAGGAAGACGCGGCTCCAACTAGGGGCCGACGCGCCTGCAAATAGGGGGCCGACGCGCTTGCAAATGGGGGGCCGACGTGCCTGCAGACGGGGGGGCGACGCGCCTGCAGCTAGGGGCCGACGCGACTGCGGCCGAACCGGCTCGAAAAGTCTGCTGCCAGCGGAGCTATTGTTTTGGTTCTGCACGGCCGGCAGCGGCTTTTTCGAGGCGGGCCATGGGGCCACGCGACGGGCGTCCATCAGGGTCGGTTCACGCGGCCCACCCAGTTTAGGTAGGGTCCCACCTCCCCTGCGCCGCTGCATCCCGACCTCCGGTACCTTTCCGGCACCATCCCGTGCACCTGCTGGGCCACGCTGCACCGAACAACAGACGCTCAAGCTCCACGCAGGTGTAGACTAGATCATGGACCGCATCGTGTCCGCTTGATACCTGAGCTGATCACGTCCGGCAGAGTTGACGGCCTGTATACCCCGAAGGAGATCGTTGGGACAGCCGCTCTGGTGAGCGGAGCGGTGCCTTCCATGTACTTTCAGGCCGCTCCTGCTGCTCAGAGTTGTATTGGTCCGAAACACAATCCGCTGCCAGCGGACGGGGAGGAATTTTTCCAGGGCTGCTGCCAGCTGCCGAGGACGGGGTTGCCCAGGGCTGCTGCCAGCTGCCCTGGGCGGGGAAAGGGATTTATTTTGTGGTCGGCTGCCAGCCGCCCTTCTAGGGTCGAAGGCCCCTCGGTATCCTAGGTAGGGGGGCGCTGCCAGCGCCCCTGGGAGAGAAGAAAGAAGGAGGGAAAGGGGGGGATGGTAGGATTATATACCTTGTCATCTGGTCCATGGGCAGCCCGCTGGGGGGCAAAAACGGACGAGGCGCCTTGGGCAGGGGCCGGGGCAGCGTAGACGCAAAGTCCGGGGTAGCGCCTGCGAAATGCAGCCAACCACGGAGATATCAGTGCCCGGACTTTGTGCTCTGCAGTCTTACGGCCGTATCGGTGCTGGACGCACGGATTTAGGCACCATGGCGTGCTGAAGCAGTGTACGCTTACGGCCGAGCCCTGCCAAAACGGACTGGACCACGGAGCTGTTGGTGCCCGGACATAGCTTAGGAGCGAGACCCGGCGGAACCACAGCGGCTGGCCGGGGTTATCGTGAGGCGCTGGTGCAGGTTATCGCCGGGTCGCGGCGGAAACACGGTATTGAACACGGAGGTATCGGTGCTAGGAAGGAGGCGCACCGCAAACTCCGGGCCCGGTTAGCCTGTGAGAGGGGTAAACGCCGGCCTGGCGTGATCTGCTTCAGGGCAAAGACCGAATCACGCGATACAGCTCAAACTCCGGACGAGCATGGGACGGGGGTAAGGGGTAGATCCGGTTGGGCGCTCGTAAAGTCCGTGTGTACGGAGCTATCGAACCTTGCTCGACGAGACGCTCGCGTGTGAGGGTCGACGCGCCCGCCACGAGGGGAGGACGCGCTTGTAACATCTAGGGATCGACGCGTCCGCATCTTCAACCGGCCGCCAGAAATTGGACTGGTTCCAGTGGCGCGCTGCCAGGGGTCCTTTGCGCCGCTTCTGGGTAGCACCGCGCGTCGCGCTCTTTTGCAAGGGTGGCGGCGGCGTCCTGGAGGGTCAGTGAGGCGCGTTGCGCCTGTCTTGGAACATTGGTCGGCTGCCTCGAAATGCCGGAGCGCATGAGGATCGGATCGCCGCGGCGGACGATGCTCCTTCGGGATGCGAGTCTGCTTTCCATTCCCTCGTTGGCTGCACCCCGCACCGTCCATGTTCAAGGCTTCAGCTCACAGCAGGGTACCATGAGACAACTGTCAAACGAGCAATGCTCGCGCTGGGTTTGTCCTCGTCAGAGCCTGCCTGGTACGGCCGCCTCTGCCCGTGCTGCTGTGAGGCCGAGGGTCGGGGGGAGAGGTAGCGAGTGCAGGTCACAGACGCCGCTTAGGCGCCCGAAGATGGCTTGCGGTGGTTTCCATCATCCTCACCTGCTTCAGACGAGGTGAGGCGGCAGACGAGCCCCCGCAGCCTTTCCATTGCAGGGGCGTCTCCGTCCTGGATCCCGTTGAACACCGAGTGCGCTTGGTACACCTGGTACACTACAGGTACGAGAAGCTCGAGAGTGGATAGCGGTGGAGCAGCCGCTTGCGTTGTCGCGCGTGCCTCGATCCTTCAAGGAATGACCGGCACGCGACTGTCAGCTTCGAGGGCGTCCACATGACAGCCTCGCCGCTGTCTTCGATGTACCGGCTCGGCTTCGATACGAGGTGCGGCGGCGACTTGGAGTCGATGCACGCCTCCGCCTTTCTTGCACGCAGTCGTCGTCCCCTGTGTGCAACTTGCACTCGCTGCGTGCTCTGGCTGCTCTCGCCGCTCGTTCTGCCGTCTCTCGGCCCTTGTTCTGCTGTCTCTGTTGCCACGATGCATACCGACGCAGGGGCATAAGAGGCACGGAGGCAGACCGCCTCACTTTCTGGTCCACCGATCCCTGCTCGGCTTCAGACCTGCAGCACATCGTATGCCAGCACATCGTATGCCAGCACATCGTGTGCCTTCTCCCGATGTCTTCCAGGATGCGCTTCGTAACGTCGCCTGCCCCTTCGGTTTGTTCTTCGTCGTCTGCTCCACAGTCGAATGGCATGCTGCACTGAAGAGTCGCGAGTGTCCGCGTAATCCAATTCATCACGAGGGGATCGACCGTCAGGCTGAGCTTGCACGGCGTCTAGACGTGGCGGGTTGAGTCCGGCACGGGATGAGAGCACAACATCGAAGCGGCCCAAACGAGACTGCTATATCGTCAACATCTCTGGCGACGTGCTCTGTCGAAGCAGGAAGAGAGATCCGCATGTCAGCTGGATGTGTCGGCTGACGTCCGAGGGAAACTGATACCCGTCCACCTGGCTAAGATCCGGTTCAAAGTCTGCTTCCAAAACAGGTGCCGATCTCTGTGCAAGCTCATCCTCGGGACCCGTAACCCTCGAACAAGCCCTGGATTTTGGTCATCTGCCACACCTTGGCGTCCCTCCTACCCTTTCCGCCTTCGCCCGCAAACTGACGCAGCGGCTCGACTGACGCTCGACACTTCTCGGTGAGTCGTGTCGCGCCTGCCTGGGATCGCGAGGGGTTGGCCATCCTGGAACGCCCGGGCGAGAGGGCCTGCTCGCCGTTGCAAACTGAGCGCCTTCGGGATACGGCTCTCTCGTCCCTTCGCACGCCGGCTGCTGTCCGCACCGTTCCGCTTTCTCAGCCTCGTCACACGGTACGGATGGCTTCCGACATCCGGCGGCCGAGCGGCGCAGCGGGACGTTTGGCAAAGTCCAGTCTCGAAGTCAGTCACCTGGCCGTCGGCTCTGTTCGACAGCGTTCCGACCCGTTCCCGAAAGAGGCGGCCGACGGGCATGCCGATAGCTGGCGCCCGGCACCTACGTCCCGGCCTCGAACTAGCGCGATCTTCATGCGCACACGTACGCCGAGTTGACCATGGTCAACGCCTGCCTATCCAGGTGCGTCCGCCTGTTGATGTGTTGCTGCAAGGCCGAGGACCGGCGGAACAAGCGGCGTGAGCGTGTCGTAGTTGCCGCTCCGCCAGGCACCAGAAGATCGCCGGCCGCACTCGGTATCACCCCCACCTCGTCCCGACGAGGTGCAGCGCCAGGACAACGCCCGCAGCCTTTCCGATGCAGCGATACCACCATCCTGCAGCTCATTACGTACACGGTGGAACACGATAATGCGTGGCGAAGGCCGTCGCCGGGGCCAAAAAGGCCCTCTGCGGCCCGCACGGGGCCGCCGCACAGTACGTACCGCGTGCATACGGCGTTGCACGCCACAGCTCGCCGAGCCCACAGGTCGGGTGTAGTGGAGCCGCCGCTTCGTCTTCTCAGGTGCCTCGATCTTCGCGACCGTCTCTGCCCTGCGCATCCCGGTCAACTTCGTGCGCGTTCACACGGTAGACTCCGCTGTCGACTTTTGTGCACCGTCTCGGCGTCGTACGAGGCGGGGCGGCGAATTGATGCTGGTAGTCGCCGCCGCCGACGTACCTCTCAACGATGCTGTCTGTTTGCTCCTCGCTCCTCGGCTCGCTGATTGCTCTGGCTAGTCTCGCCATTCTGTCATTCTGGCGTCCCTCGGCGCTAGTTCTGCTGTCTTTCGCCGCGATAGGCATTGACGCAGTGGTATAAGAAGGGCGTGGGCAGGACCTCTCCGCTTCTTGGTCCACACATCCCCGCTCACCTTCAGTCCTCCAGCCCATCGTTTCGTCCCCCTCTCCTCAAACTCTTGAAGATGCGCTCCGTAACATTCCTCGCTATTCTGGGGCTGTTCTTCGCCCTTTTCTCCGCCACCGAAGGCATGCTCCACTACAACATTGCGGGCGTGGGAGACGTGCAGTTCATCACGAGCGGATCCACGGTCCAGCTGTGCCTGCACGGCGTCTCGTCGTGGCAGTTTGGCTCCGACACGGGCTTCGAGCACAACTTCCGCTGCGACCTGCCCGCGCCCCAGATCTGCAACTCGGACGCCGAGGTCGAGTGCCAGAAGGGCAAGTTCAAGTGCATCTTCCCGCCCAAGCCGCCCGCGCAGGCCTGCTACGTCGGTAGCGGCGTGACGCCGGCCCAGGTGGCTAGCCTGAACAAGCTGTTTTCCTTGCAGTCCAGGCAGGGTGCCAATGGTGAGCTGTCGACTCGGATACGTCCAGCTTGCTGCGCTGTGCTTCCTCCCTCTTTCGTCTTTCCGGCACTGATCCATCCTCGGCTTCCTTCTCTTCCCGCCCTGGATCCAGTCGTCGCCAAGCGCGGAGATGCCTCCGTCTTCCACCGCTTTGGCCCATTCACGTCCAGCTGGTCGGCTCGCACCCGAGCGCCCTGAGGGCCCGAAGCGTCGCCACAGATCAACGCTGTTCGCAGTCCACTGCACCTGTCCCTCCTTGCCCCGAGAGCCACACTGCTGTACCTCGAGAAGCCGAGGAGTATGGTACGATCCCAGTATGTAGTCGTTCGCTCTCTTCAACGCCCTTTATGTACATCGGAAGCTGCGGACTGATCACTGCAGGAACCCAGTGCTCCTCCAGACGGCCAAGATCCGGTCCACGGTCTGCTTGGACACGGGTGCTGACCTCTGTGCGAGCTCGGCCTCCATTCCGAATCCCTTGAACAGGCTCTGAAGTCTGCTCGTCTGCCACACCTTGGCGTCCCTCCTGCCCCTTCCCTCCTCGCTCTCGAATTGACGCAGCGACTCGGCCGACGGTCGGTACTTCTCCGTGAAGAAGCCGAGCAGCTTGTAAGTTGGGTTGACGGTGACGTCCGGGTTCGACTGGGCCAGGCGGTCGAGCCACTCGTCGACGGGAACGACGGACGATGCCAGCGGGCCGAGGTACTCGAGGATCTGGGTGAACGGCGTGAGCGATGGGTTGAGGACGTGGACCACCTCCGGCTGCTCATCCTCGGCGACGACGCCCTGGCCTCGGTCGGCCCGCGAGGCCGCGGCGAGGTTGGCGATGATCCAACCGGCGTGGTCGACCGGCAGCCACGAGACGCTCTCGGATAGCGCAGGTAGGCAGCCGACCGTCTGGCCGCTCTTGATCATGAGCGAAATAGCCTCGGTCTCATTCCAGACGCCCCGCTCGCTGTCGCCGATCATCTGGCCGATGCGGAGAACGAGCGCGGCGCCGCCGAGCCGGTTGACGTGGCCGCAGAGGCGCTCGACGATCCATTTGGACCGCGCGTAGCCCATCTCCTGCGCATCCCGCACATCTTCCGAGATCGTCTCGACCACCTGCGATCCCCTCCGCCTCGTCGCGGCAGAGACGGACGAGGAAAAGAGGAAGCGGCCGCCGCTCTGCAGCGACAGGTTGATGAGGTGCACGGCCGACACGAGGGCCGGGCGGAACGACTCGACCGACATGTTGAAGTTGACCGGCCAGCCGTTGTGGATCACGACGAGGCCCGGCGTCGACTGCAGCGTCGAGAGCAGCGAGGGTGCAAGGCCGAGGTCGGCTCGCGAAAGGTCCGAAGCGTACGCCTCGACCTTGACGCCGCTCGACTGGCTCTGGATTTCGGCGAGGTCAGGCAGGGCGCGGACCTTGAGGGACGCCTCGGTGCGACGCACTGCGTCCTCGTCGGACGAAGCTCGGTTGAGGCAGACGATGCGCGCCACGCTCGAGAGCTGCGCCAGCTGGTTGACGATGTGGGCGCCGAGTGAACCCGTCGAGCCGGTCAGGACGACAGTGACCGGCTCGCCCTTGGTGGCAGCGGTCGCGGCCACGGCGGATCCGGACGCGGGGCCGTTGATCATGCCGCGGCACTCATCGTAGAGCGTGTCCATGGCCTGGAGCTGCGCTGCCTGGACATCGGCGCCGCCGTCAATCTGCTGGTTGGTCGCCAAGGCAAACACGTGGTGAGCGAGCTTGGCGATCGTCGGGTTCTCGAAGACGACGTTGGTGCCGAGCTGAGCAGGGAGCTGCAATCGCGCCTGGAGCGTGTTGCGGACGCGGGTCGCTCCGAGCGAGTCGAGGCCGAGAGCGATGAGGTCGTCTCCGGGCGCGGCGCCGTCGATGCCGACGACTTCGGCGACAATCTCGAGGGCCTGCTGCTCGGACTCGAGGGCGACCTTGTCGCTGTCGTCGACGCCGAGCACGCGGCCGGTGTCGTAGTCCTGGTAGACCTGGTCGATCTCGGCGGCGAAGGCCTGGGTGGCCTTGGCGCGGATCAGCGAGCCCTTGTCGGCCGAGGTGAACTTGGAACCGAAAGGCAGCACCTTGATCATCTCGGGCACGATGCGCGAGTGCGAGGGCGCCTCGGCGTTGGCGACGGCGACGGCGTCGAGCATCGAGTCGCGCAGCTCGAGCTCGGTCTGGCCTTCGCGGTGCGCCGCCGGCGAGGGGATGATGAGGACGCCGGCCTGGGCGCGGCCGGCGCCAAAGACGAGGCAGTCGGCCACGAGCGGGCTGGAGCGGATGGCCAGCTCGATGGGGACCGGGTTGGTCTTTTCGCCGTTGTAGTGGACGAGGGTGTCGTCGGAGCGGCCGACGAAGCGGTAGGCGTCGGGGATCGACGGGTGCGGCTCAAACAGGTCGCTCGTGGCGTAGCTGCCGTCGGGACGGTTGGTCTTGGTCATGGCGTGCCAGCCGGGCTTGACGATGAGCTCGTAGGGAGCTCCGCCGTCGGCGCCGACGCCTTCGAACGCGGCATATGGGCGGAAGGCCGGGTTGAGGCGGACAAAGTCCCAGTCCGGGTCCGAGTCGAAGTCGCGGAAGCTGGTCATGAGCTGGCCCACCTCGGTGGCGCCGTAGAGGGCGACGAGCTTGACGCCGTTGGCGACCAGGTGGTTGCCGATCTCCGAGGGGCAGGCGCTGCCGGCGAACGTGACGAGGTCGAGCTTGCGGAGCACGTCGAGGCCGTCCGGGTGCTCGGCGAGCATCTTCAGCAGGTAGGGCACGGCATAGAACTGCTTGACCGACGCGCCGCGCATGGCCCGAACCAGAAGGTCGGCCTGGAGCACGGCGGCGTTGAGGACGTAGAAGCGGGTGCCGGCGTAGATGGCGCGCCAGAGCGATGCGTGGCTGTAGTTGTGGAAGAGGGGCGCCGCGCCGAAGGCGTCCTTGCGGAACGAGTTCGAGACGTTGGCCACCGACGCCTTGTGGCTGTGTGTGCGAGGGAAGGGAAGACGGCCGAATGGGAGTTGTCAGTGGGCGGTGCCGCGGGGACCGAGCGGTATCGCTGCGGGCCCTGCACTCACGTAATGTAGATGGGCTTGGGGAAGCCGGTGGATCCGCTCGAGTGGACGATGAAGGCGGTCTCGGAGCTCTCATCGGCGTGCGACCAGTGGCTTGCGATGCGGTGCTGCTGCTCGTCGTGGGCGTCGTCGGTGCCCGGGCTGAGGTCGCCGAGGCCGATCCACGCCTCGATCTCGACGCCGGGCAGCTGCTGGGCGACCTGTTCGGCCGAGGCCCTCTGGTCTGGGCTGTAGAGGATGCGGCCGACGTTGGTGGCCTTGACGAGGTGCACCTGGGCCGCGACCGAATTGTTGACCGAGAGGAAGAAGACGGAGTACCCGAGGCGAGAGAGGGCCATCTCGTTGATGATAAAGTCAAACGAGCTGCTGGCGATGAAGGCGACGCACTGCGTCGGCTGACCCAGCCTGCGCGGTGGCAGCCGTGGGGAGTATTGTGCGGCGAGGCGGCAGACGAGGCGGTCGAGCTGGCGGTACGAGTACTCGTCGTACACCAGGTCCGCACCCGGTTGTTGCGAGGGGGCGGGGATGCACACGACGGGCGTGTCTGGCTGCGTCCGGAGGCGGTGCGCAAAGAGGGCGTTGAGCGAAGGGAGCGAGAGCGCCGGCGTCGTCGTCGTCGTCGTCGAGGCGGAGACTGCCGCGCTCGGTCTGGTTGATGCGCCACTAGAGGCGGCTGTGGCGTTCAGGTTTGGCTGCTCTTGCGCGGCCGATGGGCCCGCCGCCTTTGGTGCGATGCCCAGCATGGTCGTTGTGGCTAGCGTAGCGTGCGTTGGGGTGGGAAGGGGCGAGACGGTGGTGGTCGATAGCGAAGTGGCACGGGTCTTGGTGTCCGTCGTTGGTGAGCGCGCCATGGTGGTGGTGAAAAGGCAAGCGATCCGCTATTTGTACAAGGACCCCGCCTTTCGTCTGGCCCTGAAAGAGGTGGAGGAGTTGGGTGATGAACGAAGCGGCCCTCGTCCCCGTGGGGAAGGGCGTGGGGGAGAATTGGAGGCTCCGTGGGCTGGGCTGGCGGGCCTGCAACTCGCCCGGAATCGAACTCGGGCCCTAGGCCCAGCCCACGTTTTATACCCATCCCACCTGAAAGCCCTCGAAAGGAGTCTCAAAGCCCCTGCGCCAAATGGGAGCACGAAACGCGCCGCAAAATCTTTGTGTACAATAGCTTGGACGGAAAGCCGGGCCCTCGACGGAACGTCCCAAGGCCACCGCTCGATCCGTCAACTCCTCGCTGATTGGCACCCTCCACACGCACCTGTCTCCATGACTGACTGTCCATGTGATCGTCGTGCTGCAATGGTCGGGTTGGCCACCGAGGAGACGGGATACTGTAGTTAGCCCTCGCATGGACAACGCCGGCGACCTTTGTGACACCAGAGCTGGGCCCTCCCATCTCCCTGTGGCAGAAGTCGTTCAGAGATGCAGCTCTCCGGCCGGCTAGAGTCGTCGCTGCCGCTTGTCAAAGGAGGCTGGGCCGGGCATCCCCCTTTGCTCCTATGATTGTTCGCGGCTTGCCAACGAGCGCCAGGCGATCCCGGACGGCTTCGAGTTGGACAGCGTGGTGGGTCTACAGGGCCCTTCTTTATGGCAACCGTTCCTCCCACTGCCTTTGCTCTGAATGCCGAGCGGTGATAGGTCAGGTCCTCATTAAGATTCGTCAGATCCTCCCCCAGGCTTCTTGGCCGGCTTGGGTGCTTCCGGGGTGGGTGAAGAAGCAGATCTCCGCCAGAGCTGACCAGACACTGGTCTGCAGAGGAAGGGCTCGAAGCGCCTGGTGACCCGCTCGGCGCCGAGAGTCGGACGAAAGCAGGCGCCACGAATGCTGCTGTTGTTCCGCGCCGTGGTCAAGACGCGACGCCAACGTACGTCTCGCCGATGCTGCGAGCGGTGGTCGGGTTGTCGTCCTCGTGTGCGCTGTTTTGGAGAAGCCGACCAGCCACGACATCGCTCGTGCTAGAGCTCGCGAGCCAGATGTCCCAATGCCGGATGCGTGGCTGAGCCTCACGGTGCACGACATTGAGGGGCTCGATCAGCTCAAGGCTTCTCATAGGTGCAGCCAGTGCGGTGTCGCCGACGCGCGTCTCCGACCGTTTACGACAGACTCGCGAGAAGCTCGCTCTAGGCCTCAATGAAGACAAGTAGCGGGGAGCGGTGTTCGAGCATTGCCCAGCCTCTCTGGTCGTACACGTCAGATAGACTGCTCGGCCACGGCATCGCGAGGGCACGATTGCGACCGGCGCAAGTAGTGCGATCTATGCCTCTTGCTACCTCGAGGAGGCGTCGGCGTCGGTGACCGAGGGCGACCACTCGCTGACGCAGTGATATTTGAGCGGCGCCGATGTCGACGGCGATGTGCTCTGGTCGCCTTCGGTGGTGGCGTAGGGGCTTGAAGAGCAGCACCACGTCCCCGGCAGCAGCCAGACGAGGCCGCCGAAGAGGCAAGCTGGTTGCTCGCTGAAAGCTGGTGGACGGGGACGAAATCGGGGTGATGACTGCGGGGAAGATCGGGCTGCTATTTCCCCCGCAAGGCTTGGCGAGGTTTTTGGCAGGCGAGCGGGGCCTCGGGCCTCGGCCAACCTCTGTCTGTGCCCATCAACCCAACCCACCCACGCAGCTCAGCAGAGGGCCGGCGGTTGGGACCGCGCCTTTGCCTCGGCTCCCTTCCACCATCTCCTTCCACCCGCCTCCGCCACAGCTACAGCCACAGTCTCGTCCTGTACATCGCCGCTCTCCTTCATCCTCTTCCCACGCGCATTCGACGCACCCGGCGAACGCCTCTGCTGGCCTCGCCATCCGGCTCGCACCGCTCCACCCATCCTACTTCGCACCGCACCCCACCGCATCTACCCTCGGCTCGACTCTGACTCTGCGTCCTTGCCGCTCACCGAGTATGGTCGGCCTCTTCCGCACCGAACCGCGACCGCATCACGTCGCCGCTTCCGCCTCGCCCCTCTGAACACGAGCTCGGGTCGTGCTCGGCTTTCGCATCGGCTCGTCTTGCCTTTGCTCCGGTCGACGATGCCGGATTGTCACATCTGCGGAAAGGCATACCGCCGCACCGAGCATCGCAACCGCCACCTCGAAGTCACCCACGGAAAGAACGCCCGCACCTTTCCCTGCACCTACTCCGGATGCGACAAGGTGTTTCAGCGCAACGACGTCAGGACCCGGCACGAAGCCCTTCACAAGAGTGGCAAGCCCATACGCAAGTCGACCGTCCCTCGCGCCAGGTCCTCCGCCTCCGCCGCCGAACCCTCCGCCGTCGGCAGCGACGTCTCGCCACCAGCTAAGCGGCCCATGATGGACCACGACCTCGAAGACCTGCAGCGGCAGCGCGACCGGCCTCTACTGCCACGTCCCTCGCAGGATCACGGCCCAGTCTATGACCAGCGGCCGATCTCGGCCGGCGACGATCCGAACCAGCAGGCGTCATTGTCCTCGCTAGCTCATCACGCTGCGCAGCAGCACCAGCAGCATCAGCAGCCCGATCATCACCAACAGCAAGACCACCAGCAGCCCGACCATCATCAACAGCAACATCACCACCAGCCACCCTTTGCCCATCAGCGACTCCCTTCGCACGCACACGCGCACCAGCCACCCTGGTCATCGCCCTCGCCTTCGACGCTGTCGCCGCATTCGGCCATCCTCGCTTCCGACACCCGCCCGCCCCAGACACTCCACTACGGCCAACCCCACCACCGCGGCTACGAAGCGTCGAGCCCCCCGTTGCCAGCGGCATTCCCCGACGCCCATTTTCTCTTTAGCAACCTCCCGCCGCCGCAGCAAGAGAGCAGCGATCTGGGGCTGCACGACGCAGGTATCGATTGGAGCGGTCTCGACTGGATGTTTGATGCGATGCCCACGTCGACGTCCGACTCGGGCACCAACCCGCTCCTGATCAGCCCCGCTTCGCAGCCGGCGACGGCCGCCTCGGTCGGACAGCACGGCCACTCCCAGGCCGCCGCCTCGTTGGGCGCTGCAGCCCTCGACCTTGGCATGGGGCCACCCGAGCCTCGGACGGCGGTAACGGCGGCCTGGAACCTTCCTTTGCAGGGAGCTGCGCCGCAACAACCGGCCCAGCAGCCTGCCAACAACGACAGCTCGCCTTGCGTGGCCGCACCTCCGACGACGTACCATGCTCGCTCTACCTTTGTGCCGTCTGCCCAATATCGGCCACAGGATGGCCAGGAGGCGCAGGAACACCCGGGCCATGCCTCGATGCCTCCAGCGTCGTCCGTCGAGGGGCTCGCGCCGACTGCCCGACCCGGCTCTGCGGCCGAAGCCAGTGCCAACCACCCGCATCGCGGGGTCGGTCAAGATCTCGACCATGCTGACGAGGCCGGCGAACCGACGTCGGTTGCCGGCTCGGCCCGCCTGCTTCCGCCCAAGAGCAAGCCGCGCTCGCAGAAGGTCATGTCGATCCACAACCTCGTCGATGGCACCAGCGAGTGGCCGCACGACTACAACCCGGCCAGCAGTCGACCGACGACCGTCGAGCTGACCCAGTACCGCCTCAGCCTCGACAGCCGGGAGCGCAGCGCCTCGACCGCATCGAGCGGCGTCCCTCTGAGCCTGGCCCCGCCGCCGCCACCACCGCCCGCACAGCGCGTCTTGATCCGCATGGTCGACGAGGATGCCCCGTACCCAGCCCCCTCGCCAGCCGCAGACCCGTCTGCGCAGCCGGCGTCGTCCGGCGGTCCCTTTTTTGCGCGCCAGCACCCCGGCGTCGACCCGCTCGGCGACCAGGACGACCCGCCCACGGCCGCCAGACCCGACGACGACGACCCGTGCTACCGCGTGACGGACGCAGCCCGCGAGCAGCTCCTCGCGTTCATCCGGCGGTCGTGCACCCACGCATGGTCCCGCTTCCGCCTGGCCGGTCGTACAGAGGGCTTTCTCACGACCCAGGAGCTCGGCAAGCTCGTGCGCCTCTTTTTCCGACACTACAGCCCAGAGGTGCCGTTCATCCACCAGGCGTCGTTCCGGCCGGAGGCGGTGCCGTCGGCGCTCCTCTTGATGGTCGTCACCGTCGGGCTCGTCTACTTTCCGCGCACGTTGCGGACCTACGCCGAGGCGGATCGGCTGCGCCTCACGAGCAACGCGGCGCACCTCTCGGTCGCGCTGGCCGAGCTCGCACGGATCGGAGTCGTCAGCGCCGTCGAGAGCGACCAGCGCGGCTTCCTCCAGGTGTTTGTCTCGCAGTCGTGGCTGCTCCAGCAGACGTTTGGCCTCGGTGGCGGCGACAAGCGGCTCCACCAGCTCGCCGAGCGCAACCGCGGCGGCATCATCACCTTTGCGCGGCGCCTCGGCCTGTTGCGCGTGCGTCACGACGTCGGCGGGACGGACTCGCCCCAGCCGGCAGCGAACGCAGCCGCGGGGAGCCGGGCGGCCAGCCGGAAGGGCACGCCGCTGACCTCGCTCGAGCAAAAGTGGCAGGCCTGGATCGACATCGAGACCCGCCTGCGCCTCGGCTGGGCGATCTACCTCTACGATCAGCAGTACACCTCCCTGCTGGACGTGCCGCCGCTCCTCATCTACTCGGAGATTTCCAGCTCGCTCCCGTGAGTGACCGGCGTGAGCGCCGCTGCTGCGCGGCCCCTCCCTGACTCTTTCTCCACCCCGACCTGCCTGCCTTTGCCCCGCCCCGAGACAGCTGCGACGAGCGCCTCTGGACCGCCAAGTCGGCGCAGGAATGGCAGAACCTGCTGAACCCGCCCACCCGGCCGTCGTCGTCGTCGTCGCCGTCGCCGTTGGCGGTCATTGCGTCGTCTCCGCCGTTCATCCCCGTCCTGCGCAGCCTCCTCGGCACTGCGACGTCTGCGCCCGTGTCGCTCAACCGGTTCGGCGCCATTGTCATTGCGACGACGCTGTATCGGCTCATGTGGGACGGCAGCAAACAGTCGGTGCTGTTCGATGACGGCGGACCGCTCGACGACGCCGCGCAGGTCCTTCGGGCACGATCGATGGAGGGACCGGCGCCGGCGCTCTCGTCTCCGATGGGCAACAAGTGCGCCGAGGTCCTCGACCTGCTGTGCCGGGCCGTGCTTCCCGCGCCCGTGCTGGCGCCGGCAGCCAGCAGCAAGACGGCGACCCATCCGCTGCTGCTCAACCTCGAGCTCGTCAAGGCGCTCGCCGACCTGCACTTTAGCGGGCCGCCGGGGTTCATTGAAGAGGTGAGCAGCCGTGTGTGTTCCTCGCGTCGATCCTCGTGCCCCCCTAGCTGACCGCGTGGTCCCGCCGCCCCGCTCCGACAGCTCAAGAACGCCGCAGGCCGCATGGGCATGGCGTCACACATCCAACGCTCGGCGTCGGCGTCGCTGTCGTCGTTTTTCGGGTCGCCGCGCAACGAGACGGCGGCCCGGCGCATGCTGGCGACGGCCGCGAAGCTGTACGCCTGCGTCACGGCGGGCGCCCACGGACGCACGCTGGCGTGGGTGACGGGCCTGTTTGAGGCGGCACTCGTCTCGTGGGCGTACGTGCGCTTCACGCCCACGGCGGCGAGCGACCGCCGGCAGTGCGCCATTTGCGCGAACCAGGTCGTCCACCTCGGCAGCGCCGACCCGGCGGACCAAGACAGGGTCGAGCGCTGGGTGCGCGGCATCTCGAGCGACTGCCCGCGCTGCTCGGCCGAGCAAGCCGACTCGACGCACTGCTGCAGCGTCGTCTTTGACGGCCTCGGCCTCGTCGGCCGGGGCACCGGGTGGCACCCGGGGCCAGCGCCGCCGAGCCGCGTCTCGACGCAGCTCGTGCTGATGCGCTTCGCCGAAGCCATGCGCAAGCTCGACTGGGGTCTCGCGCGCAACTTTTGCGCCGTCCTCGCACGGCTGGCCGAGAGCCGGGTCGACGAGACGGCCGGCGCTCCTTCTTGTTGACGAGCGCGCGCGCGCGGGCAGACGCCCACCCGTCCCCTTGCGACACACGGTCACACCCGACCCGCTGACGATGGCTGCACATGTACTTCTATTGATGTTGTAACACTACGCTCCGCTCCCCTCGCCTGGTCAGATCTTTTCGACGCGGCCGGTGGCGACCTTCCAGATTGCGTCGGTCTTTTCGTTTTCGGTGCCAAAGAGGTCGACGAGCCAGGGACCGTTGGGTGCGGCGTAGCGGATGGGGACGTTGTAGCGCACGACGTTGTCGTTGGCGAGGGCGTCGACGGCGTTGCGCTCGTCGTCGGAGAGGTCAAAGTCGAGCGACTCGAGGTTGGACTGGAGGCGCGAGGGCGTGACCGACTTTGGGATGACGCAGACGCCGTTGCGCACGATCCACTGGATGAGGATCTGGGCGGGCGTGTGGCCCGTCTTGGCCGAGACGTCGAGCAGCGTCGGCCGCTGCACCAGGAGCGGCTCGCCGATGCGGTTGTTGCCGAGGGGAGAGTAGGCGGTGCTAGGCGGGGGCAGGGCCAAGGAGGGGAGACGGGGTCAGCGGGGCCGCAACCTGCCGGCAGCTGCTAGGGACGACGCCGGGAGCTCACAGGATGATCTTTTTGCTGTCGCAGTAGTCCTTGAGCTCCCTCTGGAGCGGTGCGACGAGCGGGTGGTACTCGACCTGGACGCTCGAGGGCACCTCGTCGTCGGACTGTGCGGCGTCGCAGACGGCCTGGACCATGTCCTTGGACACGTTGGAGAGGCCGATGGCGCGGACGAGGCCCTTGCGCTTCATCTCGACCATCTTGGCCCAGGTGGCGGCGATGGACTGCGAAGTGTCGACGTCGATCTGGCCCTGGTCGTTGCGCGGGAAGAGGACGTTTTCGTCGGCGGTGCCCTTGAAGGCGATGGGCCAGTGCACGAGGAAGAGGTCGAGGTACTCGACGCCAATGTCGCGCAGCGAGCGGCGCAGGCCGGCCTCGACGCGCTCCGGGGCGTGGTCGGTGTTCCAGAGCTTGGACGTGATGAAGACGTCGTCGCGCTTCAGGATGCCCGCCTGGATCGACTCGGAGAGCGCCTGGCCCACCTCGTGCTCGTTGCCGTAGACGCGCGCCGCGTCAATGTGGCGGTAGCCCTGCTCGAGGGCCGTCTTGACCGCCACGCGCACCTCGTCCGGCTTGGCCAGCCACGTGCCCAGGCCGATGGCGGGCTGCAAGCGGGTTGGAGAGAAGAGGAGGGCGGGTCAGCGAGGGCCCGCCGCCAGGCCGGGCTCGCCGCGTCCACTCACCATCTTGGCGCCCGTGTTGAGCGTAAACTGGTGGTTCTTGAGCGACATGGTCGGCGGTCGGTGGTCGGAGGTCGACGGTTGGGAGGAGAGCTCAAGTGACAGGGAAGTGGGAATGAAACGGCGCAGAACGACGGGTGATGGTCGAGAAGAAGGATGTAACGAGGACCGGACCGGTGCTTTTAAGGCGGCTGCGCTGTTTGTCCGGACCGACGACGAGCAGCGCAGCGCAGAGAGATGGACGAATCTTGTCAGAGGGGCGGTCTTCTTGTTGTGCGATCAGTGCGCAAGGCCATCGTGCTGCCTGCCTGCCTGCCTGCTTGCCTGCCCGCGGTGCCCACTCGACGTCCATGTCCCTGTCCCTGTCCCCCACCCGAAAGGGCTGGACGGCGCGGGTCGGCATGAAAATCGCCGGCGACAATGCCGATGATGGTGGGAGGATGGGATGGGATGGGTGACCATGTGAGCGACGATGATTGGAGGGTTTTTGCTTGCCATTGTCGGTCGTCTGGCTAGGCTGTTCCTTTTGTCGAGGTCGTCCCGGGCTGCTCCGCCAAATCCGGGGGCGCGGCGAGAGGCGGCCTCGCGCGTGGATCAGGCACGGGATCAGAGGCAGGCGGGTAGGCGGCAGGCGGCAGGCGGCTAAGCGCGTGCGGGGAAGCGACCTCGGCTATCGCCGAATTTCCAGCTCCGCCTCGAGGGCGGGACCCTCGGGCTTTGGGCCGCCCAGACACCGAGTCGGCCACACACCGACCGCCGTACCTCGCCCTGCCTCGGCCGCACAGCCTGCCTTGGCTCGTCTCGCCGTCTGCCGTCTGTCCCCGCAAGGAAAGCACAGCGCTCTGGACGCACATCCGCCCGCTCGCCCGCCCACCTCACTCCCCGCGTCTCGAGCTCGAAACCCCCAGCCCTCCTGGAGCTGGCGGGTGGGCGGTCCTCTTCCCGCGCCCCTTTGTCGGTCCGCTCCTTGTCCCTCTTCCACCACCATCCAAGCGCCACTCGGGCAGATCGGACGAGTATGGCAAGTTCCGCTCAGCCTATTGCAAGATCCGGCAACGACCTCGCCCCCCAGCGCGGAGCCCCGCATGGTCGCGAGATTGCGCGCTAGTACGTCCTCGAGGCACACGTCCCGACGGTTCGCCTGTGTATAAAGACGTGCGCCGCTCATCCGTCGACCATTGTGCCGCTCCATCTTCCCCAGGATCCCCCTCCTCTACCCTACCTCCCTCCCCCGCACCCGCACCGCCGCCCGCAATGTCCGCGCCCAGCGCCACCACCGACGAAAAGAAGCAAGACATGGGCGAGATGCTCACAAAGACGGCCTCGGCCAAGTCGGACTCGTTTGGCAGCCGCAACGCCCTGCCCGAGCTCGAGTCGGACCTCTCGCGCTTCGAAAGAGACCTGCCCGACTCGCTCAAGGGACGCTCCCTCGACGAGCTCCGCGCAATGGAACGCAAGCTCGTTCGCACCATCGACCTCCGCATCATGCCCGTCACCATCATCGCCTTTGTCTGGAACATCATCGACCGCAACGGCCTCACCAACGCCAAGCTCGGCGGCCTCGAAGCCGACCTCGGCCTCTCGCACGTCCAGTACCAGACCGCCCTCATGATCCTCTACGTCGGTGAGTATCCCTTGCCCCACCGCGCCCCGTCCTCGCTAGGGTCCCGCTGACGCTCGTATCCCCCCCCTTTCGACACCGCAGGCTACCTCCTCATGCAGCTCCCCTCCAACATGCTCCTGCCCTATACCCGCCCCTCGATCTACATCCCCACCGCCATGTTCCTCTGGGGCATCGCCTCTGGCTGCTCGGCCGCCGTCCAGAACTTTGCCGGCCTCGTCGTATGCCGCTTCTGGGTCGGCTTCATCGAGGCCGTCTTCCTCCCCGCCGTCGTCTTCCTCATGTCCTGCTTCTACACAAAGCGCGAGCTGCCAACGCGCATCGCACTGCTCTACCTTGGCAACTCGGCTTCCAACATGCTCGGCGGCCTCTTTGCCGCCGGCATCCTCGCAAATCTCGACGGCGCAGGAGGTGTCCAGGGCTGGAGGTGAGTTTTCGGTCCGACCGATGCCGTCGCGCCCTCTTGACACGGAAGCACCCGACTGACCGCCATTCCCGCCCTCCTCGATACCCCGCCGTCGCACGACCCACAGGTGGCTCTTCATCATCGAGGCCATCTGCACCGTCCTCGTCGCCCTGTCGGCGTACTACCTCCTCCCCGATTGGCCCAGCAACACGCGCTGGCTCTCCCAGGAGCAGCGCGACATGGCCGTCCACCGCATCACCGCCGACGCAGCAGGAGCAAAGGACGAGGACCTGGACAAGTGGTACCAGGGCGCCGCCCTCGCTGTCAAGGACCCCCTCGTCTGGCTCTGCGTCCTCATGCAGCATGGTCTTTCCGGTACGTGCAGAAAAAAAATACCGCGCGCGATATTTGCGCGTTCCTCCAGCTCACAGCGGTATCGACCTCTTCTTCTTCTTCTTCCCTTCGAATCGCAGTGACAAACTCTTATTCGCAGTTCTTCCCATCAATTGTCAAGACTCTTGGGTACGATCGCATCAGGACATTAGCTCTCACTGCTCCGCCGTATGCATTTGCATTTATCGTGTCGGTTTTCACGGCGTGGCACTCGGGCAAGACAAACGAACGTTGCTTTCACATCATCATTCCGATGTGTGTCACCATCATCGGCACCATCTTGATGATGTTCCTCAAGAGCCTTGCCGGGCGGTACGTCTCGATGTTCATGGTCGGCATCGGATCCTACGCCGCCTTTTCCCTGATCCTGTCGTGGATCAGCGCGACCATGGTCCGCCCGAAGGCGAAGCGCGCCGCCGCCCTGGCCATCAGCAACGCACTCGCCAACATCTCGCACGTCTACACGTCGTACGCCTTCAGCGACAGCACCAAGCCCTACTACCGCCCCGGCGGCAGCATGATCTGCGGCTTCGCCGCCCTCGTCTGCGTCTGCGCTCTGTCGCTCCGCACCCTCCTCAAGAAGCGAAACGACAAGATGGAACGGGACGAGACGGAGCGCGTGGTCACCAACGACGGCCTGGATGCCAACGGCCAGCTCGTCAACCCGATGGGACACGGGTTCCGGTACACGCTCTGAACGATGGTCCTCGGTTCTCGGGCGCACGACGCGCCTTTCACGAACGTCACGACGACGGTAACGATTCCACTTGCCATCTCTCTCACTCGCTCCCCACGGAAATGTATTCAGAACTTCACCGAAATGTACTTGAAACTTCAGAAGAGGGACCCAAAGATCTACGAGCCCGACGTGCCGCTTGGACGGGCCTTTGGGAGCTCGAAATCGTGCAGCGCGATGGGTTCGCGCGTCGACTTGACGTCCCTCGCGTGCTCGCGGGCGAGAACGCCGTGGAAGCCGTTGCCGAGCCTGCCGATGCCCGGGCGCGTCCGCAGCCCTCGCAGCTAGGTCAGATTGTCCTCGGCCTGCTGCACGGCATTCTCGGCCGAACCTCGATATCCCTGCAGAGCCCGCAGCGTGCGTTTCGAAGCGTGGCGTCCAGATTCGGCCAGCTTCTTGAGCTTGGCAGTTCTCTTCTGTACCGGGCGCGTTGCGCGAACGAGCCGCGGCGTCGCGCACGAGACTGTCTCGGCGAGCGTCTCGGAACCGAGTGCCTGTGCAGCTCCTCGAGGCGGCGTTCGTGGGCCCGCCTGGTAGGCGAGTACGATGTCGGGCGAGACCTTGACATCGTCGGCGCCCCGCTTCACGCTCTCGGCGAGGCGTTGCTCGACCTCGTATTGGTTGATCGCATAGCCCTGCGCCTCATCCTTGAGGTCGATGCCGAGGAGCACGTCTGTCCGTCCAAAGGGCGGGCGCTCCGCCGCGGAGGAACGTCGGCCGCCCAACCATCCGCACCCAACGGCGGGCCTCGACATTACCTCCGAGTCCAGGAGCGCCGGGTGTACAGAAACATCGTCAGCCTCTAAAAGCTGGCTCAGAGAATGCCTCGCTCGCCCGCTTGACATAGCCGCGGATCTGAAGAGCGGAGCGCCTTCGGCGACGGCCCTCGGGCTCAGTGGCGCGGCTTCGGCTGTATCCATTTCAGTCGTGAGAGCCAGGACGAGGGCGAGGGTAATGAACACCCGGAGTTGTATCGTCATCCTTCGTGGAGTGGGAGGAGCGATGATTTGTTTTGGACCGAGGGGTGTTCGAACAGCATCGACGTCGCCGTGCCAAGCAGACTTCGATCGATGCCAACATCGGTGAAATGAGTTGACGGTGAGCGAGCGTGCATCGTCGTAATCGAGTACTGATCGGCGTGGATCCGTGTCCCAGAGCTTGCGCAGACGTCGAGATTCAGGCCAGATCGTGCTCAAGCTCCACTTGACAGACACGCTCAGACCACCAAGAACGAGGATCAGATCTGGCGGGCGCAGTTCTCGATCTCGTCTAGATAGCTGAGCGTCTCGACACCGCTTGCTGGGGAATCGAGAGCCTCCTCGAGCCTGCCACTGGTGGAGCATGCAAATGGAGCTTCTGGCCCCGTCACTGGCCCCGGCCCGACCCGGCCTCGTAGGGTTCGCTTGCATCACCACCACTCGTGATCGACTAATTTGCACTTCGTTCGTGCTTCCTCGATGCCCGGACGTGGCGCTCTTTCACCTTTCAACACCCTTCCACGCACTCGCCCGTCGTCCATCCCCTCCCATCCTGTCCTGTGTCCTGACAGTCGCAGCCAGAATTTTGTGCATGTCAATTGCCCTTCACAGGATTCCAGCAGATGGCTTTGTAGGACCAGCCCTAAGCTCCGCGTGCAAGCCTGCTCCGTTTCCGTGGGCATCTTTGAAGTGCCGGAACGGGTCGCTAGGCATCTCGCTCTCTTCTGGATCTCGTCTGCAGGTGTCCATATGGAGGCGTCCGCCGACCTCGCCGTCTCTTTGCTGACGTACCCAAGGGCAAGCAGGGCAAAGAACGGCCCCGGAAAGCTCAATAACCCAAGAGCAAGTGCGACGGAGCGAAAGTGGGTGGTAATGGAGGATGAGAAAGGAAGCAAGTGGTGAAGGCCGGCGTCTCATTACCTTGCTTGGCGGGTGGGGCCACGAAAAAAACTGCTCCTCTTCCGGCGCCGTTTTCCGTACGCCCATTCTCTCGTGCGGTGGGACGACGGCGTGCAGCTTAGCCCAACCCGTTCAGCCTCCGGCCTTGCAACGAGCTTGCCTCGGCGGTGCAATCACGACCTCTGCCCTTGCCACATCGCATCCGAGCCACAGCGAGATGGCCGACGAGCCGCCAACACGACACCGGCTGGGTACGACACGCGAGAGCAAGGGCAACGGTTTCGGACTTTGGTCGCCGCATGTGCATGGTCTCGATCGCACGCCGAGCATGCACAGACGCTTCATCGTTCCCTTGCAGCGAGGTCCATACCACAGACACACAGGCACCAACCCTCCTGCTCCCTCGTCGGACGATCCTGCAAGGGGCGCTCGAGGCCCGAGCCGAGCGCATCAGAGGCTAGGTAGGGCACCATGAGAGTGTGGTCGATGACGGCCGAGGACCAGCGATGTCGCCCTGCTGGCCGTTCAAACGCTCGCTCAGGGGTCGGCGGCAGCGACTCCTTACATGGCGGCATTCTAAGCCCCGACTCGGGCGAGCTTGGCCACGTCGAATAGGTCCGGGGCGGCAACGCTCCCCGGCGCCCTGCTCATCTCCTTGTATATATACCCATGGCCCTCGATTCGTGGTCCCCGCGGCAGCATTGTCTTCAACTGCGATCCACTCCTTTCTCTCACTCGCCACGACGATGTCCGTCAATCCAGCAGCCGACGGCCCGCTTGTTTCCCGACGTTGCAGCGCAATCCATCGAACCGCATCGCGCCTCCAGACGAGCAGCTCCTCGAGGACGGAGGAGCAGCCAAGCCCAAGTCGGAGGCGAAGTCCAGTGCAAGGATCACCTCACAACACGGGCAAGACCAGCCACTTCAGAAACGGTTGGCTGGCCAGCCAGGCTGTGCCACGCCTCGATACGGCCCGCGACGAGGTGAGCGAGACCTGGAATCGTGAGCCGAGTGCTGTCTCCGCCAGTCTTGATGGCAGATTGACCCTTTGTTACCTCCTTCCACTTTCTTGATCACTCTGTGCCGACGTCTGCGGGGTCTCGCTGGCGCTACCTGGTCAGAACATGGCGTCGTCGCTGCCAAACCAGGTCCCACGTGTCCTTCGTCTGACAGCACGGAACAGTCCATCGGGCTCTCCGCCGGTGCTTTACGCTCGATGCCTCGGCCACAACTCAAAAGTGGGCCACGAACGACGTGAACACCGCTGCGGGATCGTAGAGGTGAGCTGGTCCGTCTCCGGAACTGTGCAGGCGACGTGGCTGGAACTGACCGATGTCCCACGACGACGTTTGGCAGCGTCGGGCCTGCTCTAAGCCGAGCGCCCGCCCTCTCCCGTCTGCGGGGGGCTCCCTTTGCTGCCACTGTGCTTCATCGCCAGGCCAGACAGATTGCAGGACCGTCTCGGGCGAGCCACCAGTACCACACCATGCTCAACGTCCGAGCCTGCGTGCACCCTGGACTAGCTATAAAGGCCGTACCAGTATTGACGGACGTGAGGGACTCCTCGAGTCGTATCAAGCAGCCAGCATCGTCGTCAATCAGCGAGCATCTTAAACCCACTCGCGACCCCCTATGACCCAAACTGGCGGTGGCGAGATCGATGAGTGGAGCGAAAGGAGCATGTCCGACCAATGGCGAGTCCAGCCTTGCGCAAAGCCTCGCGCAGGGTCGCTGCGCGCAAGTGGAGCCAGCGTGCGCTACTACGAAGGCCTGCCTGCCCCGCCCTGATTTTTCGCCAGGTGCGCCGGAGGGGGAAGAGGAGGGGTGGCGCGCCGGCTGGGTCCATGCCCTGGTTTGCCACCCGCACCCATCCCAACCTCGTCAGCTCCCATTCATCTGCCGACGCCCTCTTCGTTCCTTCCTCGATCGCATCCTGACTTTGCACAATACGCTCTCGCCAGCCTAACTACCCCTACCGAGCCCATCCTCCGCCGGTCGCCATGGTGGAGCAGGCTCACGCGACCATCGAGCGCTATCTGACCGTCTGGGGCACTGGAGGTGCGCTAGAGGAGAACGGCGGTTCCGCGAGCCAGCTCCTCCACCAGCTGCAGTTCCTCTCACCTGGCGTAGGCGTCGACAAGACCGAGTTCGACTCGGCATTCTGCCGGCTGCATCAAGCCGGAGGCATCGTCCTCGACATCGCTCAGCTCGAAAGATTAGCTCTTCTTGGACACGAAGCCTTCGTGTGGCCCGCCTCCTGATGCCGGACGGCCCTTCTTTGCTCCACACTAATCAGCGACCTCGACACCGTATGCCAGACATCGGCTCGAGACCCGGAGACTACGAGCTTCGTTGCCTACATCAGGGGGCTGCCCGTTCGCCTCGGCGAAGCCACCCAGTGGGCGATCGAGCACTCCCAAAGCTTCCCGGGATCATGGCTCCGGGTCAATAAGCTTATCGACCACCTCACACGGCTGTCGGAGGATCACGGGGAGGACACCGAAGTACTCCTCCTCTACGCTGGCTCTACCAAGAACACGGTGTCCCAGCGTCAGCGAGAAGATGTCAGCGTGATGAAGGCCTGGCTCGAGGCTGCCGAGAGCGATGCCAACATCACCCTACTGAACTTCTTCCTGGCCAAGATGCATCAACAGGACCGTCTCGGTACCGTCCGCCTCTGGGCGGTGTACCAGCCTCCGCAACTCAACTACGACAAGCTGCAGCTCGCCGAGCGGACCCTCACCGCTTTCTTGCGTTGGGAGACGACCCTCAACATGATCGCAGGCGGGTCGATCGACAAGGCTTTTGTGCCCGAGGAGCTGCGTCCCTTCATCCGAACACTGCGCGCCCCCTCCTCTGCCAGCGCCAAGCTCATCTTCGCCACGGCCTCCGACGACAAGAGGAAGCATGTAAAGGCCTCGAGGGTACGGCAGCTCATCAAGACGGTGCAAGGCAATGGGGCACAGACATGCGAGACAATCGACATCAGCGACGTCCTCAGCTCTACGAGGCGTGCGCGTCACGTCGTCGTTCTCGCCGATTCAGTCGACTGCTACTCGGTGGCCCAGGCATTGCTGGCGTCCGGGTTCAAAGGCCATCTCTGGTCGGCCAGAGATAAGAAGTCAGAGACTGCTGCCAGCGCGGGCCAGGCAGTCGACTTCTGGCGGATCACGCCCGGCCAAAGGATGGGCATCCCCGGCCCGACCGGCTTCGCACTTTTCATCGACGAAGCCACGGGAGAGACGGCAGCCCTCCTGTCGACTGTCTCTCCCCTGGCCCATTTCCAGAGGCAGTCGGCAGGAGCGGCGGTGAACACGGAGGTGGCAACAGCGGTCGTGCTCGGCGTCAAATTGATCCAGCTTGACATCCGCACCCCCAACTTCGACCTGACGGCCGACATGAGTCAGCTCTTGCACTTCGGCGAGGCCTGCGTACGGGCGCGATATCTGGCCCTGTCAACTTATGCCGACACAACGCTGGCCCCCGACCAGGTGCTGGAGCGCGACGACCTTTGGTACCAGCTCCAAGCGAAGGACAAGCGCATGGCTCTCCTTGACGAAAACAACGAGCTCAAAGCCGACAAGGCCCACATGTCGTGGCACCGACATCTGCTCAAGCTCGATGGGGCAAGGGACACGTTCTTCATCAAGACGAAGGAGCTCGGAGACGCGCTTCATTGGGAGGACGGCCAGGTGGCCTTGGCCGCCGACTCGCCTGCAGGCGGTCCCTGCCTTGTCCTGATCGGCAGAGACACTCGCGATCCCGCGCACACACAAGAGCTGCATCGCTGGCAGGTCTCCGGGCTGGCATGCGCTTCAATCGTTCTCGACATCATGCTCGCCGACGGCATCATCTCGCCTGACGAGTTCGAGGCCATCAAGGCCCGAGAATCTCGAGAGCCCAGCAACAGCCGGAACCGCCAACACGGTATCGCCTCGCTCGATCCTTCGTCGATCTTCACGACGTTCAGCCTGGCCGTGAGCGCCCAAATGACGACAACCAAGGCTGGCGAGAGGAACATCACCTACAACCTGAGGCCGAAGGCGACGGACTCGCTCAAGACCAAGTACGGCGTTAGCGAGGACAGCCGGCTGAGCTTTGGCGGTACGATCTCGTTGATCAAACTCTCGGCAGGCGGGCGTAGGGCGGCCTTCTTCCGCTTCACAAAGCGTGGACTCGGCGTCTTTGCTCTTCCGGACGGCAAGAACGATCTGACTCCGATCTCGTCGGAACAGGCTGACCGAGAGGGCACGCTCATCGCCGAGCTGACTCCGCTTTACATTCAGGTACAGGCGCGCCTCCACGGAGGCTGGTGGGCGCTTCTCAAGGAGCTCCTGTGGAAGTCGGCCCCGGCGCAGATCCAAGCGAGCCAGCAAGATGTCGAGATCGAGGACCTGAAGCACCAGAGGAGCGGCAAGAAGCGGATCGCCCCGGAGAAGATCCACGCCCTCGGGCTTGAGATCGCCGAACGACATTCCGAGCCTGCACCGCCCAGGAAGCGGAGCAGGGGGGAAGGACCCGGCTTGCCCCTCTTGCCAGAGGTCCAGGAGGCGCTCCAAACCGGAGGTAGCGTCGAGGAAGCGGTGGCCGTCGCGCGCGGTGAGGTGGACCTCGACGTGCTGCGAGATCAGATGGCTTTCATTCAGGCGCTGTCTCCGGAGCTGTTTACAGACGAGGCGGACGACACCTGAGCCTTCCCAACGCCCCAGCCTCATCGCTCTGCCCCTTTCACACGGCGGCGCATCCTCGAACCAACTGCACGGAGACGGTCTAGCGAGCCTGACGGCGCGGCGGGTGGGGAGGCGAGCTTGTCGAACCCCGCCGTCGGGCGGCTCGGTGGCAGCCCGGCCGAGGGCGGAGCATCGTCGGCCTCCGAGTTCACGGCGACCGCGGCTCAATCCTGAGACAGACAGGCAGCTCCAGAGGCGAGGGCGGTGGGGCTTGCGGGTACATGTTGAGCGGCGGCGGGGTTACCAGCTCACGGCACCCTGAAGATGGCTGCGGGTTGCCGGTCCGCGATGTTGTATCGACCTGGGCCCAAAAAGGGAACATGGCACTGGTCACAGCAGATCCTCGGGGCATAGTCGGCGGCGCGGATGAATGCGAAGGTGGTGGCGAGGTCGGCCAGGTTGGTTCCGAATATGAAGTCGTCTGCCGGAGACGTCCGGGCCTTGGATGTAGGTCGGCTGTGGCGGTGCGTCCGTGGAGGCAGGGCCAGCTAGCGGCGCCGCCGGACAGGTGAGCCCGAGTGCTGGGATGCAAGGCCTGGTCGGACTGAGCGATGGTGGACGTGAGGTGCAGTAGTGCAGAGACAGTGTTGCACTGAAACCGCTCGAGGAGCGACCTGGAGGGTGACGATCCGCGCTGCGTTGTCCTCGTGCTGAAGCTACAGGCCGCGCTGTGCGCTCTCGGAGGGTACGGTGAGAGACGATGCGAAAGCATCCTCAGCGGCTGGGTCGGCGGCCCGTCGTCCATGGGCGAAGGCGCGGCAGAGGTGACAGAGGCTTACCTATCGCCGCTGGCGACATTGACGGAAGCGGACGAAGGTACGCGACTGTAGCCCTCGGCCCGGTATCCACCTGGACTCCTTTGCCCGAAGATCAGGTAGAGGCCTGAAGAAGGATGGTCGAGGGAAAGGGGGCGTCGAAGTGGTTGTAAGTGGTGAGGCAGGGAGGTTTAGCGGCAGCGCGTACACGATCCATGACGTCCCGCATCGAAGCCTTGTCGACGCTCGGGAACTACTCTCACTCTCGTAGAGGATTAGAACGGGCGCACCTTCGGTCTGATGGCCTAGGTCGAGAACTGCGGGGTGGCGAGAGGCAGCGTGCAGTCGATGTCGAGAGGGTCAGCACGCCCGCCGCGGCGTTGGATGCTCACCCAGGCCGGCCGTATGAGTGGCCATCCTCTTAGCACTGCGGACAACATTGGTGCACGGTGGCGTTGGTGGTGGCGGAGGCGATGGCGGTGGCGATGGCGGTGGCGGTGGCGGTGGCGACGACGGTGGCGATGGCGGTGGCGAAGGCAGTGGCGATGGCGGTGGCGATGGCGGTGGTGGTAACGATGGCGGTGGCGATGGCGGTGGTGGTAACGATGGCGGTGGCGGTGGCGGTGGTGGTAACGATGGCGGTGGCGGTGGCGCTGACGGTGACGGTGTCGCTGACGGTGACGGTGGCGCTGACGGTGACGGCGCTGGGACGCCAAGCCGGAGAGCGATTGAGCGGGTCTGTTCCCGGGACACGTTACGTTGGTGGTCGGAAGCTTGTCGGGGCTCTCCAGGCTGCACACGCTGCACTCGCTGGCCACTCAGAGGCCACGCCTCGGCGGATCATGTATCTGGCTGGGCTTGGCTGGGTTGGCTCGGGTTGGTGGTGGGTCGGAAGAAAGACGCGCCCGGTCAGGAGGCAAAAACCACCCCCCAGCCCCTTTTCAACCCCACCACCACCTACGTCCCCCTCCACCCATTCTAGTCAACGCCACACAGCCGGACGCTCACCACCACCACGTACCTCGGTCACCATCCGCCCCGGAACTGGCCTTCGTCGGACTGGAAGAGACCCGTCTTTGTGCGGGATCACGCAGAACGTATCGAGGATGAGTCGCAGCGGCTCCCGGCACGTACCAGCGCGACGCAGCGCGGTAGCTCCTCAGCTGACCACACCCTAGCCCCGAGCCGGCTCTTCCGCCCACCCTGCGAGCTTCTCAGCGACCACTGCACCAGCTCCGCTCGGCCGCTGCGGCTGATTGCTCCCTCGACGCTGCAACCGACAAGATTCTCATACCACGGCCAGACGGGCTAGAAGAGCGCACAACGGCGGTCGCGGCTCACCAGAACTTAGGCACGATAAACGATCTCGGCGGCCCCTTGCGGATGTTGCCCGAGGCTGACCAGGGCCACGTATGACTGCGGAGGCAGACGGATGGCCATGCCAGCTCTTCGAGGCCCCGCCGCCTCGGCGCTCGCTCCTCGACCCGTGCCCGCGCCGCGCTGTCCACCGCCCTCTCAAGAGACGCCCCTTCCTCCCCTCCAAGTGCCGAGGGCCGCGTCGACACAGTGGTCGATGTCCGCCCGAGGCTGGAGGTGCTCCGGGAAGAAGGACTCGAGCAGCGAGCGGAAGAGCTGGGTGTGCTCGGCTGAGGGGTCGGTCGGGCACTCTTCCGACTCGGCGACGCTCACCGTAGCCGTTTCGTCGTTCACAGGCCGACCTCGTCTAGCCTTGGACCGTCTTCCGGGATCGGCCGCCACCATCACCGACACCGCCGCCAACACCGCCGCCGCTGCCAGCGAGAACTGGCGAGAGCGAGAGCGTCTCTGTGTCGCCGTTGCCGTACCCGGCGCTGTGCTGGCGTAGAGAGAGACGGGCGACCGTGCCGCCTCCCCGACCTCGTCCTACCCGCGCTTGGGGCACATCAAGGCCGGTCGGTTCGTTCGCAGCGGCAGCAGTGTCACTCGTGCCCACAGAAGGATCGACCTCGTGTTGCACGCCATCGTTCGGTCGGCCTCGACTTCTGCGTCGCCGGCCGAGGTCGACGGCCGGCCCTGTCGTCGACCTCGGCCACGGGCATCGCCGCGAGCTCTCTCCCGCCCTGGCGATGGGCAGCCGTGTCATCCGCTGGCTGAAGAGCTGCAACTCGATCACCACCACGGCCCCGGCCGACATCGCCAACGCTGCCCCCGCCGCCTCACCTGTCGCCTGGGCCGCCGCGATGGAGCGAGTCATCTCGAGGAAGCACTGCTGCCTCACGCAGAACCTGGCCCGAGGCAGCACTTTTCCCGGCGTGGGGAGCATCAGTGTCAGTTGCCACAGTTGGTCCAGCCGGAGCCGGCGGCTGCCAACGTCCTCCGGGGTTGCCGTCGTGCAAACAGAAAACTTTCTGCCGATCGTGGAACACCATCTGCGCCGCGTGCGAGACCTCAGCTCGGTCTTGTGGCTGACAGAGCTCCTGGCCAAGTGACGGTGGCAGGTGGCGGCAGCGTCCGTGACGGTGGCAACAGCTGCTGATGGCGAGGTGGACGTCCAGCTCCTGGACGAGACCGTCGTTGCAAAGAGCTGCGGCACCGGCGCCTCTGCAGACGAGTCCGACGGCAGGCTGATGGGCATGCGGCTGTCGGCGCGTCCCTTGAAGGCCACGTCGTCGTCGTCCACGTGTGCATCGTCGTTGTCGCAGACCGGCAGCGCCTGCAGCGGTCCAGACTCGGGCGGCACCTCGCCGTCGCAGTCCGGCTCATTGTCGCGCCAGCAATCCGCCGGCCCGGTGCTTGACGTAGATCACCCTCGTGCTCGCTCCGGCCTCCGCGCCGAGCTCGAGCGTTTGGACCGCCTCGCCGCCCGCCTCGTAGCAGTAGACCTGCGTACAGGTTCCCCGGGTGATGTTGTGGCCGCAGAATGCGGTCGTCTTCCTCTTGTCGCCCCGGCCGCCAATGAGGCCGACACAGGTACTTGTATGCGAGGACGGCGTCCCTCTTAGCCTCATGGGCGGCGTGGCGGCTCTGCGTATCGTGGGCGGGAGGCGAACGTTGGCGTGTGCCTTGTTGCTTCTTGACGCCATCGAGTTGAGAGGCGACCCCCTGTTGGACGATGGCGGCTACGTCAACGGCCAGGAGTGATGCCGGATTGGATTGCTGAAGCTGACCGGGCAAAGCTCGCATTTCTCGGTGGGTGAGTGCGACGAGGCGGGTGGGTTGCCAACGGCCTGGGACCTCGCCGCGACCGGAGCAGTCGATGAGGAGAGAAACTGTGCGGAATCGACCATCCTGAGGCATGCGGCTTTGCGGGTGAAGGAGGAGGGAGACGAAAGTGTCGAGGACAAGGGCGACGATGAGAGATCGGCGTTGTACGTGTACCCAACGGCAGCATCAAGCCCAAAGTCCGACGAGGCGAAGGTGGGTGACTGCGGCGGACGCCAGCGGCGCTCGGAAAGGGATGCCCATGAGAGATGATGGTCTCTGAGGAGCGACGGGAGCATCACGCCATGAAACGACGGTGGGTGGGTACCTGCTCAATGGCATTCAGTATTGGAGGACGATGGAGGTCCGGCAAGCGCGATGTTGACGTTCGATGCGGCTGTGGGAGCCTGGAGGAAGCGAAGAGGAGGAGGAGGGACCGCTCGTGTCTTAAAAAGCGAGATAACGGACGCCGGGATGAGCAGATGGGCGGCTGCGCGCGGCTATGGGCCGACCAAGGCTCAGAACACTCGGGACCGAGGCAGGCCAGCTGCGCGACAGGCGGCACGGAAACTACCACGGGCTCGTCCTATTAGCCACTGCAGCCTACATCTGTGCAAGGTGGTGTTGATGGTGCTGGGAGGGCCAGCGGAAGAGCAGATGACCAGCGGGGCAGTTGAGCCTCAGAGCGGGCACTCTGCCAGGCTGAAGCACGATTCCCGAAACTATCAATGCTCCCCTACTCTCAGCAGCTTGATCAAGTGGTGCACTGGAACATGAGAAGAGTGTGATTCATGCTCCCTATAGGAATGCTGTAGGATGCAGTTGACTGAACAAAGCTCATATAATTGGTGCAAGCAATTGCATATGCTGATATCTATCTAGCTGCTGCAGCTGGGGCTATGACAAGAGAGAGAAAGAAAAACAATAGCCCAAATCTTGGTTGTCTTTGTCTGTTGACAAGAGAGTGATGGGCTCTTCCTCCAGCCCCTGCAGCAGTGCAACTCCCCCCTGCCTGATATAGCTATGCCTTACACCATGTAGATCATGCCAATCTGAAGGATTGAAAGGTTCAAGTTGTCCTTGACACGATACATATGAGACAGACAAGTGCTTGCCTTAGGCCAAAAGTTGAGGATCTATGTCTTGAAGCCCTCCTTTGGCTTCCTAGGTCCGTGCTGGACCGCGAGATTGAAGACCTGGATGCCTGAGCCCGGCTGGATCGAGTCGATCCCCTGCTGCTGGTTCCTTCTCCGTCCAAAGGAGCGGTTGTGCTGGCCCTTCCAGCGCTGAAGTGCTTCAGCTGTGATGGTCTTGTCCTAGACCATGACGTCAAAAATCATGCTGTAGGTCTTGATCAAGGACATTGGGGGCCATTGGTAGAGAACCTTGATGTCCTTGTCATCACTGTCTGTTTGGCCAACCAATAACAGGGACAGCACCCAGGGTGTGCTGGACAAGGCGCCGCCTGGCAGAGGGATTGAGGGTGTGCTGGCGCTGCCTGGGGGATTGGAATGTGGATGCAGTCAGCGTGATTGCAGCCAGACCCACCAAGGTCATCTTCCATGTCTTGCTTGATGAAACAACTTGAGCAGAGCCTTGTCCCTGCTTTGAGATAAATGTGGGAGGTTCTCACCTGTCAAGAGGACAAGACAAAAAGAAGCAGTTGAGCCACTCCATCAACTTGTCCAAAAAAGATCATCTGCACATCAGTCAACTGGCATCACCACCTGAGACTTGCAAACATTGCCAGAGATGTCTCATGCTGTCAGCAGGGGTCTAATGCCATTATGTATCAGCAGTATCTCATCTTGTCAGACAGTGCTGCTTGCAGGCATGCTTGGCAAAATCATCAGTGATTGGGCCGCAAAACAGATGCCCTGGACTGCATTGTGTGTGCAGTGCATCTTTCATGCATCTTTCAAGTACATGAGCAAGGTGCTTCCTTGTTGCTGCCCTGTACTTTGCTTGGAGCTGGTACCAAAGGTAGGGGCATTCCTGGACCTGGTAGAGGGCCAGCGTTGTGTTGGCACAAGCCAACAGTGCCAGATATTGGGCTTGCAAGCAAGCCTAGCCAAGTCGCAAGAGCTGGATGATGTTGGCTGTCAGGGTGAAGTCTGAGGTGCGGATATCCAGCTGGAGCAACGTGAGGCTGAGCGCAACTGCTGTTGCAACCTCCGTGCATGCAGCTGCTCCTGCCTACTGTCTCTGAAAATGGACCAAGGGAGAGACAGTCGACAGAAGGACTGTTGTCTCCCCTGTGGCCTTGTTATCAAACAGCGCAAAGCTGATTGGGCTGGGGATGACCATCCTCATGCCAGGCACGATCTGCCAGAAGTTGACTACCAGCCTTGTACCAGTTTTGTACCAGTCCTGTACCTGGAACAAATCTGTCACACAACAATGATGACAAACATGACAACAAGAAAGCCAACCTAGATGGTGTTAGCAATGGCAATGCCAAGAGGGCAGGTGTCCAGGTCATCATGATGAAGGTGCACAGCTTTGAGACCATGCTCATTGGTGCTGTGCTGGTCAAGCAGGCAAGCAGGTTGGTGAGACAAGTGCTGGTGGAAGGAGAGGAATTTTGAACTTGTGCAGCCTAGCACCTCTTTGAACTAGACTGGTGAACCGTCCTTTGAAGCCTTTTGCTGGCCCACCATTGTATGTCTTGATCAGCAACATTGCCTGCCATTTGCAGAGGACCTTGATGTCTTCTTCTTCACATCAATGATCAGGAGTGTGTCAAGCTGCAAGCGCAAGCAGCAGCAGCACTTGTTGGCTGCAGCCTCACCAGATGCTGCTGCTGCAATTGACCTCACCAAGCTGCCAGAACTCCTCTGTTGCTGCACAGTCGTTCAACAAGCGCATGCCTTTTTTCGCGCCCACATCAGGCCCGCTTCATTGGACTGATGTCAGTCGGCACAGTCCTCTGCCCTGGCTGCTTCATTGTAGCACTGATGTCGGCCGGCACAGACGTCTGCACACTCGGCTCGCCCACGGCACTTTGAAAACCATTGCACGGCCACCAAGTCACGATTGCTTGAGAAGCGCGCGTGGACATGTCAGAACGCCAGCTTCATCAGCCCGGGCGACAGCAAGATGGGGTAGAACACGCTGCAGAGGGGGTCGGGAAGCGCTCGGCGTCAGCACTCGGCGGCGACGCAATCACCGGTGAGGGTGGACCGGCTTTGACCGCGCGGGGGCCTTAGACTGCACTCACTGTCCAAAGATGGTCATGGCTCCCGGCCAGTACAGGTTGATGCCGTAGATGCACCACTCCTGGGGCAGGACGCCGGTGCCGAGCACGAGCATGAGGGCGAGGAAGGCGCCCATGAGCAGGTAGCAGTGCCAGTAGCGTGCGAGGATCTCTGGGATCTCTTCCCAAAAGTTGGATTCCTCCGACTCCTTGACCGTCGCACTCCACGTCCTGGGCGAGGCGGACCGGCGAGCGAGCGAGGGAGGGGTCAGCGGGCGGCCTGGCGTGGGCGAACGTAGCGGCGATGCCTGGGCCACATCGCGGGCACTCACATATTGTACTCGAACGGGTGTGCGACGACGGCGAGAAGGATGTGGTACGACAGCCCGCTAAAGAAGACGACGAGGGGGAGGATGTACTTGACCTGGCGCACAAACTCGGTGCGGAGGTCGCTGCGCTGGGAGCGGACGTGGCAGAGGAGGCGCGCGGTGGTGCCGCCGACCTGGAAGACGACGAGGAGCGAGAGCCAGATCTGGAACGAGTCGACGAGCCAGCCGCGGACCTCGTCGCCGAGCAGGCCGATGACGAGGAACATGCCGATGGTGAAAGGGCAGCTGACGGCGAGCGCGTAGAAGCTGAGCATGTAGGAGGCGACGTTGACCTTTTGGCTCATGGCGCAGTCGCTGGTGAGAAACGTCCAAAAGAGGGTCGTGATGGGCCCGCGCTTGGGCCACAGGCGGAACGGGTTGAGGATCAGCTCGCTGCAGCCGAAGGCGTACTTTTGCCACCGGTTGAGCTCGTCGCTGGGCGTGAGCGAGACGCCCTCGAGGTAGCCCAGGTTCGAGTAGGTCGCCCAGCGGATCACGTAGCCGCGCAGCTGCAGGCGGAGCGAGATGTCAAAGTCCTCGGACACGGTGTTTTCGGACCAGGTGATGAGCTGGCCCGTCTGCGGGTCGCGGTACGACACCTCGCGCAGCGCCGACGAGCGCAGGTAGGCATTGTGCCCGACAAAGGGGGCCGTGGCGCCGCTCGAGACGAACCACGAGATGGACCAGTTGATGACGTCGGTAAAGAAGCCCATCATGTTCTGCCGGGTCCGAGCGGAAGCGAGGGCGGGTCAGCGGCGGATTGTCGGCGCGCCGGCGCATGCGGGGCCCCGCCCACTCACCTCGAAAAAGTGGTCGGCGATGAGCATCGTGCCGGAGCAGTGCTGGAGGATGGCCACTTCGGGCGACCGCTCGAGCTCGCTGGCGGCGTCGAGGAAGCAGTCCTCGGGCACGCGCGTGTCCGAGTCGATGATCAAGAGGTACTCGCCGAGGCGGACGTCGCCGGCGGCCCAGGCGATGCCGTTGCGCGCGTCGAGGGCCGCCTGGAAGGCCGCGTCGTACGTCTCCGCCTCGCCCGACTGGAGCTGGTCCGAGACGTGGTAGCTAAAGTCGTTGAAGAAGTTGAGGTTCGAGGCCTTTTTGAAGCGGCCGGGCCGGAGGAAGCCGTTCTTCTTGTGGCCGGGCCGGGCCACCCAGCCGCACCCGTGGATCTCGTAAAAGTCGCGGCGGGCCTGCTGCTCGTCTTCGTCGATGAGCTGCATGCCGTCGTCGCAGACGACCAGGTTGGCCTTGCCGCCCTGCAGCTCGTAGGTGCGGATGGCCCGCTTGAGGTTGAGGATCGTCGGCGCAATGACCGAATCGAGGGCCTCCTTGTACACGGGCATCTGCACCGTCATCGACGGCAGCTCGACGTCGAGCGGGAGCGGCTCCGGCTTGACGCCCGAGTAGTACAGGCTGTTGGTCTTGAGGTTGCCGTAGGGCACGACAATCTGCGCGATCGTGCCAAAGATGTTGTCGGTAAAGAACTGGGTCAGCGCCATCGAGAAGGGCACGGCGACGAGGGAGACGAGATAGAGGTAGTTGCCCGAGTTGATCGACACGATCAGCGCCTGGCGGACGAGGAGGCCGTTGAGGAGGAGGTTCAGGCCGAGGCTCATGCCCGTCAGGAACGGCGCCAGGTAGCGGACCGGCCGCTGGGAAGATTTCACCAGGCTCGCACTTTCGCCGCCATCGTCGTCTTCATTGTCCTCGTCGGCGGCGGCGGCGCTGCTGCTGTGCCCTTTGCTGCCGGCGCGCTTGGGCTTCTCGGACAGTGGCGAGCGCTGGTGGTGGCTGTACTTGGGAGCGTTGCCCGGCAATGGCTCGGCAAAGCCGTCCGGCAGGCCGCGCCGCTTGTAGGTGCCGAGGCGCACCGACTCAAAGTACTGGAGGACGTGCGACTGGAACTGGCTGGCCGAGTCGAGCAGCTGCGAGCCGTCCTCGGTCCAGACGATGAGGATGCCCTCGGCCTTGATAAAGGCGGCGCCTTGGGCCTTGCGGCACGACCAGAGCGACTGGAGCGAGTCGACGACCTGGACGCGCTGCTGCTCGGTGAGGATCAGCTCGCTCTGGCCCGGCCGGATGGTGGCGAGGGCGTCCTGAACGACACCCGACGAAATCGTGACGGCAGCCTCGCAGCGGAGGCGGCGGATCGACTGCATCGCGACGCCATCGCGGGCCGAGGGCGGGTAGGCCACGTACGACTCGCGCGACACGCGCAGCACGACGGCGTCGTGGCGGTAGCCGTGGCCGACGAGGTGCTGCCGCTCGGCCTTGGCAAAGATCGACTCTGCAATGTTGCGCTGGAGGGTCTCGAGGTCGAAGTTGGGACCTAGGGCGGGGGCGTGGCCGCCCGTGCTGCCGCAGAGCGAGACGTTGTCGGTCGATGCGCCTGCATGGCTGGCGAAGGGCTGTGGCCTGGCGTTAGCAGTCGAAGCCATGCTGAAGGATGGCCAGAAGGAGCAGCGGCGGCACCGTCGTCGCGGTTGGCAAGGTATATAGGGCCGGTCAGTGGAGATGATCACTCGAAGCAGGGACACCTCGAGGCCTTATCCACGACGGTTCTCGATGGTGATTCCAGGAACCGACGTGCTTATGATACATGCGAAGCCGGCCATCTCCACGCCGTTGCGTGGCGCAAGAGGGCTGCACTGGCCGCTTGCGGCCACGACTTCGCCAGAGATGGACGAAAGCGGGGTCTGGACCCGGAATCGGAGCGGAAAGGGCACGGATGGGCCGGAGGCTGGAACAAGCTGTCAGCCTGACTGCTCTTGATCTACATCGCAGCGGAGTGGCGTCGGAGTTGGATGGACGAGGCGGCCGAGGCGGCAGTGGTGTTGGTGGTGGTGGTGCAGGTGGTGGTGGTGGCAGTCGCCGTGACGGAAGGAGAAGGCAGCCAGCGGAGCGGAAGGGTGTGGGTCCTTCCTGCCAGCGCCACGCGGTCAGTCGCCGCATGCGCCGAGTTGAATCGGCGTCTAGCTGAGGGCCTGGACCCCCCTGCGAGTGGCTTGGTCGCCATTTGAATTTGGGCCGTCGCGCTTTTAAAAATAATCAAAGCCCGCATCCCGAGGGCCATTTCAATTTTTGTATTCCACTCGGCGACTGCCAGCGAACCGCCTCCCACCACTCAGCTCTTCGACACCCACCACCACCAGCCGCCACCAGCCGCCATGCCCGGGCCCGTACTGGACGCCCGCTTCCTTGGGACCATTCCGTCCGGACAAAGTACGTCCGCCGGTCAGCCGAGTCCACCGCTCGCACCGTCCCCATGACGCATCCACAGAAATGGTGGCCCACCTCACCACCGAACTCTCGCTACGACCCTATTAGCCTGGCTCGACGACGGGCAGACCCGAGGCCATTCCACTCCCGCACTCACTTCTGCCTGCCGCCGTGACCACTCGCAGTGACCACTCGCAGGGCTACCATCACGCGGCGCGCGCCTACTACCTCGAAGCAGCAGTGACCCCCTCCCATCGACCAGGCTTGCCCTTCCGCTTGACTCCATGTCGCAGACGCTCGTCAATGTCAAGGCGGCCGGGGACGACGCCCGTCCCGTTCTGTGGACCAACACCAAGCGCGGAAAGCGGATACACAGACGCAACTCGCAGATCTTCTACTTTGGCGTCTGCCTCGGCCTCGCCGCCGTCGTCGGCATCGTCCTCGACGGCGTCCTCCGCATCGAACGCAGCGACAAGCTCTGCCTGGTCTTGGACGACGACTTCTCTCGCGGCCTCGACCCGTCCGTCTGGACGAGAGAGGTGCAGACGAGCGGCTACGGTACCGGCCAGTTTGACTGGACCACGGACTCGGACAACAACGCCTTCGTGAGTCGACGCTGCTCTGAGTCGATCTGCGTGGCGTCCCGCACAGCAGGCTGAAGGGAAAGACTGCCGGCTTCGTCCGCGCAACAGGTCCGGGACGACAAGCTCTACATCGTTCCCACCCTCACCAACGAAAGCATTGGCGCGGCCAGCTTCGAGAGAGAAGGCCACACCATCGACCTCGGCCAGCTCGGCACCTGCACGAGCCCGTCGACGGCCAACTGCATCGCGGCCAACAACGCGACCGTCGGGCAGATCATCAACCCGGTGCAGAGCGCGCGGCTGACCACCAGGGCCTCGCACTCGATCACGTTCGGCAAGGTGTCGGTGCGTGCCAAGCTGCCGACCGGCGACTGGCTGTGGCCCGCCATCTGGATGATGCCGCGCGAGGAGACGTACGGCGGCTGGCCCGCCAGCGGCGAGATCGACATCATGGAGTCGGCCGGCAACCGTCCTCGCCACCGCATGGACTCGCGCAGCAGGGCCACCGTCCTCTCGACGTTTCAGTTCGGGCCCGCCTGGTACGCCAACGCCGGCGAGCGCCACACGGCCTCGAGATCGCGGTGGAGGGGCTACTTTGACAGCGGCTTCCACGACTACGTGCTCGAGTGGAACGAGCACCGGATGCGCGTCTACATCGACAACCCCAACAACCTCGTCAAGGAGTTCCGCTTTCCAAAGAAGCAGTCGATGTGGCATTACGGGCGGTTCAACGAATACGACCATCCAGACGGCCCGCTGCGAAATCCGTGGATCCGCAGCACGCGGCCCAACGTCGCGCCTTTTGACCAGCGTGAGTGCTTCAGGGTCGAGCCAGACGGTCTCAACCCGGTCGCACCTTTAGACGGCAAGCATCTGACTCTAGCCCTTGCCCACCGCTTGCACGCCGACGCCAGCCTTCTACCTGATCCTCGACGTGGCGGTCGGCGGTCAGTTTTTCAACGGCGACCGCAGCGACTTGCCCTGGAACCCGAGCTCGCCGCAGCCGGCTGCCCTCTTCTGGCGCAACGTCGACCTGTGGTACCCGACCTGGCCCGCCTCGCACACCGACAGGGGGATGGCGATCGACCGGGTGCGGATGTGGCAGAAGTGTTAGCGACTAGGCCGTGCAATGAGGAGCTTCAGAGTCGAAGCACGGGCGTTCGTCACACACTGCCGTCCGAGCGTGGAAGCGGGGATGCAATGTTCTAGGAGCATGGTGAAGAGATGTATTCCGACACTGGTCCGGGCCTAGCAGCGCTGCCACATCCTGACGCTCTCGACGGCCATGCCGCGCTTGCTGGCATCCTGGGGCCAGGTGGGCAGCCACTGGTCCTTTGCGCTCCAAAAGTCGGCGAGCGGCTTGATGCCCTGGTCCTGCCAGGGCTTTGCGCGGTCCTCGTCTGCAAAGTAGCCGCTGGTACCTCCTACGGCGACGTCGAGGACGAGGTGGAAGGGCTGGTCGAAGGGCGCGCCCCTCTTGCCGTGCCAAGGGTCGCTGATTCGCTCGCCGTAGAGGAGGCGGGGAAGACGGCTCCACGCAAAGAGGGAGCGACCGAGGTCGACGTGGAGCACACGCCGGGAAGGACGGTCGATCCAGGTGGTGAGCGAGGTGGGCGTCCAGTCGAGACCGTAGGTGTGGAAGCCGGCATCAAAGTAGCGTCTGGGGACGACGGATTGGGCCGTCGTCTTTGCGCACTGGTCGGTGACGATGCTGAAGCCCCAGTGGAGCGTCGACGAGATGGCGTTGACGAAGCGGTCGGAGCGGGCGAGGACGGCGTTGCCCTTGCTGGATGCGATGTCGATCTCGCCGGATCGTGGCCAGTCGCCGTAGGCGTTGGTCGCGGGCAGCATGCGGATCGAGGGCCAGATCCAGTCGCCCGTCGGCATCCGGGCGCGCACCTCTACTCGGCCGTAGCCGATTGCCATCTTTGTGCGGATCCGGGAAGAGGCGATGTATTCGGCCCCGTTGGAGCCGGACGCTGCTGCTGCCTCGACCGTGGGGACGAGGAAGAGGGTCTCGTCGTCGACGAAGGTGTTGCTCGACGACGGGGTCTTGAAGTCGAACGTCAAGTTGCCGTATCCCATGATGCTCTCGAGAAACTCCCAGCGACCGGCATCCAGGGACGCCGTGCCGCCTGGCTGCGTGGGTGCAAAGTCGTCTTCGAAGGCGAGGCAGAGGCGCTGCGAGGGGTTGCGTGTCCAGGCCCGCGAGACGACGATGCCGGACAGGACGACCCCGAGCAGGACCAGGGCGACGAGGACGAGGTCCGGCTTGCGCTGCAGGATGCCCGCCCGGCCCTTCTTCGAACCTCGCCAGGACCTCGGGCGAGGTGTCGCCTCGCTCGAGGCGAAGGTGGGCGAAGTCTTTTCCGTCGTGGTCGTAGTAGGCGTCGTCGTTGATGCCTGTTGCGATGGACCCTTCTCGCCAGGGTCGATGCTGAGCTCTTGTGGATTCCGCTGGCGCCGCAGCGCACCCGTCAGCGTCGTCAACTTGCCCGTCAGGCCATCTTTTGTCGAGTGGGTGGACGACGTGGTGAGCGAAGGTCGCAGCGCGAGCGTTGGCACGGTGTCGGTCATCGTGAGACGTGCATCCAGAGCGAGCGCGAGATGGTGTCGAGGGAGCCGACTGGAGGGACCATATAACGTCGGCCATGGCTGCGGACGTGACGCCGGCCCTCGATGGCAGCCTTTGTCCGTCCGCAACGGTCTATCCTCGAGCGGGCGCGAGTCAGGCGGCTGCTGGTCGAGGATGGATGGGGTCGGAGGGTCGAGAGCCGACGTACGAGCCTAGGTTCAACCGCTTTCAAGTGATTTTGCAGGGAAGTGCAGGCCAAGCCGAAAGTCGAATTGAAAACGCCGCGGAGAGTGGATGGCCGATTGAACTTTTCGAGCGGGCTTGCTTTGAAATGGTGCATGGACCTGCATGGACCTGCATGCGGCACGCTCGCGCTGGGTAAATCGCAAAAGGATCGATCGACTCGGCTGTCCCGGCCCGGCCAGGCAGGGTGATTTGGCCCATCCCTCGATCCGGTCACTTCCGTTGGGCCTCAGCTCGTGCCACACCCACCCCTCCGTGTCCCCCTTTTGGCCCCAAGGCTTGCTCACCCGCTCCCTCGCTTCCTCTTGTCCCCCTTCTGGACAAGTTCGACTGCGTGTGCACCTGTCTGTCCTCGTTCCAGTACTGCTCCCGAGGCCACTAGGGAGGCGCCGGATGCAGAACCAGCGCTGTTGGATGCCTTGGCAGGGCTCCAGGATGGCAAGAGGCAGGCTGGGTGTCGGTGGACCCCTTCGTCCCGGTTGTTCGGATTTGCCCTTGCCCTTCTCCTCGTCCTCCATTGGCTGCTTTGGTCCCTCCGGCCATCGATCGACTGCCCAGCCCGCGGCGAGTGATGACTTCCAGGCTTTCAGTGCCGCCTCCTCTCCTTGGCTGACCAGCGTTGTCGCTGCCGAGGTTGAGCTTCACCTTGCGGCTATCTCCCCGTGCTCGCTGCTGCCATCGAGGCGGGCTGCCTGCGCCCCTATGTCTCGACTGCCAACGAGGGGCACTGCGATGCCAGCGAAAGAGCCAACGGAAAAGGGGCCATGCCTCGGACCACGCCGCGCGCATTGCCGGAACCGGCGCCTCGACTCGGCATCTGGACCTAGACGAGTCGAGGGAGGATCTGCGTTGCAGCTGCAGCGCGTGGCTCGTTGATGGCTCGATACGATGCACGCTGCTGCACCCGCCGCTGCATGCGTGGCTGCAGCGTCTGGCTCGACGACGCGGCCACCTCGTCTAGAGGCCTCGAGACCCGTCGATGGACAGGCGCGAGAGGTAGGCCGGTCAGGGGCGAGGGGCCACGCCAGGCAGGGCCAGGCACCGGTGCCGGAGCCGGTGCCGGTGCCGGTGCCGGTGGGGCGGCCTTCCAGGGGCGAGCGTGGCGGAGCGTGGAATTTTCGTTTTTTGTTGGATTTTCCATCTGAGTTGGCCTCTGCTCCCGGCCGGCTGGCTGGGCCAGGCCCCGCTCGGCGATTCGGCCTCCGTCTTTCGGCGTCCGCTCGGCCTGCGCCTTTCCTCTGGAACACCAACACCACCACCGCCAACCCCACCCGCCGCCACCGCCACCACTCGTCTCGTACCAGTCGCATGGGGCACCGCGCAGTGACGATCATGCACGCGGATTTGCAGTCCCGACACCCACGTTGCGAGGCCGACGCCTGCCGCCAACCTCTAGAGATGCCGGATGAAGCCTTGGCCATGGGCTGATCGCCGCGCTCAGCTGCTGGCGACCCTGCCGCTCCTCGGCAACCCCTTCAGATTAGACCCTGAACTCGCTCAGGGACGTCCCGACCGGAGAACCAGCCGGACGCAGCGCAGCTTCTCGCCCTTTGCCACTCCCCTCCGCATCGGCCGCATCGGTTCTTGGGCGCGTCCATCAGATCCTCTCTCGCTCCAGGCCCCGCATCCAGCACCATTGTCCTCCCCATGTGCCGACTCGCAGCCTCGCCCCATCCGGCACCTCGCCGCAAGGTCAGCAAAGTCGAGGACGCCGCGTCGCACTCCGCTTTCGGTCACGCCTGGACACCTCCCGACTCTACCGAGACCGTCTGCGGACCGGAACCCGTAGCTCCGAGGTGCTCGGCCTCCACCCGCCGCTTCCACCGCGAGGTTTGACTCTGCGATCCGGCGACTCGGGTCGCTACCTCTGGTCGCCATCCGTACTGCCGCGCGCGAAGCAGGCAGATGCTCACTTGAGCGGGTCCTGGACCTCACTCGCTACTCGACGTCACCGCAACGACCGTGTGAGCCTCTTCTTCCGCATGTTCCCCTCCTTTTTCTTCGTCATCTTGCAAGCGTTCTCACCATCTCCTATATACCACGACGTCCCCTCAGTCACCAACTTCGTACGTCTAAGCCATCCGTCGACCCTCCATCGCTCGAGCACGCACGAGCATCCTCAACCTCTCCTCGACCCACCCTCGGTCCGATCACCACCAATCTCTCCGATACCGCTGCCCTCTCCGCGCCATTCAGTGAGGAGCCGCACCTTCATTCGGTCGCTTGCATCTCGTGCGGGCTCATGCCGGATCCCGATGCTGGCGCTGGCCCCTCCCGGCAGCCTTTGGCGCCGTTCCCTGCCGCAAGGCCGCTCGGAATGAGGCGCTCTGGGACCGAGCCATCTCGTCCGAAGCGTAACAAACCAGCACTGTCCCTTGTTGAATGGTCAACGAACGCCAAGGTCCACCAGCCAGAGTCCATCGACCCATTCGACATGCCCTCGACTGGCCCTCAGGCTATCCAAGAGCCCAGTCCGAGTGCTACGACGCGCGCACCTCCATCCGGGATCGTCGCGAAGCGGCCCAAGATCAAATCGTCGCTGAGCTTATCCCACCTGGCCATCGTCGTCCCGCCTGCGGGTGCGTTAGGCGGTCTGGCGGAGCCCAAGACGACCTTCACCTTTCCAAAGACACCGACACAGGCCATCACGCCGGCAGATGGTATCTCGGTCGTCGGTCCTAATGGGCGGCGGCGCTCGTTTGTCTTCGTGCAGCCCGAGACCACGACCATCGCCGAGCTTTCGCAGTCCAGACAGCCTGTGCAGATGCCGTCGCAGCCTCAGCACAAGCCACAGCGCCGCATCCCAGCCCTGCGGCGCATTTCCGAGATGGAGTCACGCAACAGCTCCAACGGTGCCGGCGACAAGGGCAAGCAGGTCGAGAGCGTTCACAGTCGCCAAGGCTCGCACAACGGCTCCGTCCGCAGCTTCACGCCGATCGGCTCTTTCGATGCACCCGTCGTTGCCGAAGGCAGCGACACCGTGCAGCCGGGCAACATTGTCTACGCCTCGTTTGTCATGGTGCGTCCGCAGAGTGCGACGCCCTGCCTACCTCTTCTTTCGCCCGTCCTTGGATGCTGACGTCTGATCCTCTGGACCTCGCCTCGTTCCCATCGCCCCCTCACAGGCCCGCCACATCTACACCATCGCCCAGACCGAGCGCTGGTTCCGTCAGGCCGCGTATCCCAACGCCGTCGCGGTCCGTGTCAACGTCGGCAACTTTGTGATCTACCCGCAGGACAATTTTGTCCTTGGCTCCTTTGCCGACGCCGTGCTCGGCCTCAACTGCGACGCCGCCATCATTGTCAGCACGCCGCTCGTCACGGCCGCCCTCTCGACGCTCGAAGCCGACAGCTCCGAGATCCGCTTGGCACCCGGACGTCGGATCCAGGTGGTGGACGGCATCGACGATCTCCGATCCGCACGGCGCGCTCAGATGGCGGCATTCCTCGCTCCGGAAGAGGTCCTCGTGCTCTGGACCGAGTCGTGCGGGGACCTCATCGACCAGGTGCGCGCCTTCGAAGCGCTGCTGGCCCAATACGTGTGGCAGGTCAGCACCACCGACCCTGCCGTCAGCGCCCCCGCCAACGCTGCCGCCGCCGCCGCTGCCGCCCCCCCCACCACCGTGAAACCCAGACCGCCGCCCCTGAGGGACGGCGCGGCTCTTGGTCAGGCCCCGTCTGGACACGTCGGTCATGGGCGGACGCACAGCGGCGCCAGCTCGATCCGCAGCGGACATTCGTCGCGCCCTTATGTCGAGCCCTCAAAGGGCATGTCGTCCGCCGCGGTCAGCGACATGCTCAAGGAACACGGCAACCTGACCGACACCGACGTCGAGCACCTCGAAAGCTATACCGCGGCAGCGGAGCGCGTCCAATGGCTCGCCGGCGGCGTGCGCGGCCTGGCAACGTGCGTCTCTCTGCTGCTGGTTGCCGTCTGGCTGGTCGAGCTGGTGTCGGCGGTGCGCCAAGACGCCAGGCCCGTCTATCTGGTCGCACTGCTCGCCGTGCCGGCCCTCTTCCTGGCCGTGCTGCCATTGGCGGACACGGTGGCGAGCGCCACGGCCATGGCCTTCGGACCCATCCTGCCGATGCGTACCAACTCGCGTTACTATTCGGGAAGGGCGGCGCAGCCACCGGCCGGCAACATCTCGCTACCGCACATCACGATCCAGGTGCCCGTCGGCTGCGAGTCGATGCACCGGGTCATCCGCCCGACGCTGGATTCGCTCCGGGCCGCGGTCACCGAGTACGAGCTGCGCGGCGGCACTGCGTCGATCCTCATCGCCGAAGACGGCCTCGCCCTCGTCGACGAGGAGGAGCGCGCACATCGACTCAACGTCTACCGCCGCCACGACCTTGCCTGGATCGCAAGGCCATCGTCGTGCGGTCCGTCCAATGGCCGCAACGGCACGCGGAAGGCTGCGTCGCTGAACTTTGCGATGCGCATCGGAACGGCGTACGAGCAAGGGTTGGCATCCGATCCCAACCAGGATGCGGACGACGTGCTGCAGCGAGTGCTCGCACAGGTCCACCCAGAGGCCCAGGGCGAGGGCAATGTGCGGCTCGGCGACCTCATTCTTGTCGTCGACTCCAACTCGCGCATCCCGCCAGGCTCTCTGCTTCCGAGTGCGTGGGAGATGCTGGCCTCGCCCGACGTCGCCATCCTGCAGCACTGCCCGGCTCCGCTGCTGAGCGGCGCTCCGGGATTCTTCGAGCGGTCCGTGGCCTACCTCGAGCGGTGTAACAAGTTCATCACCTCGTGGCAATCGGCCGTCGGCGAAGTGGCGCCCTTCCTCGGTCACTCTGCCTTCATCCGCCGTTCGGCGCTCGATGAGCTGGTCGACGCGGACAGCGGCTCGGGAGGCCAGCCCTGGTCTCAAGATGCAACTGCCGAGGATCTCAATCTGGCGCTGCGGCTGCTGCTCCGCGGCTGGATCACGCGCTGGGCCACGCACGCCGATGACGGCTTCCTCAGGGGCGTGTCGCTCTCGTACCACGACGAGGTCGACCGATGGAAGCAGCGCTACGTCGGCATGGTCCAGCTCTTTGTCCATCCGCTCTACCGCTGGCCACTGCGAGGTCCAGTGCCGAGTCTGACACTCAAAGTGATGGCGTCATCCCGGATCCCGCTCCACTACAAGCTGCACCTCTTGTCCGAGTGCGCCGGCCTAGGGTTGCTAGCCCTGTCGCTCCCGTTTGCGTTTGCCCTCTACCTTGTCGAGGGCTGGATGCGACCGTGGCTGCTGCCCTTCTTCGTTCTGAGCTTCGAGATGTGGTGCCTAGCGCTCGTCTCGATCGTCGGGGCGGGCTCGCTGGGCCTCATGGTGGCGAGGCACCGGTCGGGCGACACGCACATCTTCAGCGCCATGTTCCAGCACGTCCTGTGGACGCCGCTCAACCTCGTCCTGGCCGCCTCGCTCTCGCTGCACCTGGCCGCCTCGCTGCTGGCCCACCTCTTCTCGATCCCGATCAGGTTCGGCGTACCGGCCAAAGACACGACGGCGACCAACTTCCTCGTCGAGGCACGTCTGGTCGTGCGCCGATGCTGGCCGACGATCCTCGTCTCGATGCTCTTGGTCGGCTGCATCGCCGTACTGGCCACGGACGCCGTGCCCTTCGGATGGCAGGTTGCTGAATGGCGCACCATCGTCCCGACGGCGTCTCTGGCCGTCTCAGCGCTCGTCGCTCCCGTTGTACTTAATCCGTCCCTGGTTCGTTTCTCATTCTGAGCCTGGCAGTATCGCTTCCTACCCTCTGGACGTTGGGGTTTTGAGCCCGCTCTTCTGGCGGCTTCAGCGGCGAGAAGGACCGAGCATTGGTGGCAACCTCTAAGCCCGTCATGACCAGCTTGTCCGTCGTTGCTCGAAGCCGCCGGGCGCATCGAGGATGCTCAGGGGCGGACCTATCTTCGCCGCACTGGCTCGCTGGGCCGGCTCATCGAGTCACCTCTCTTGCACATCTAGCACGCCTCTCCAGCTGGCGGCCTTGCCGTCTTGCAAACATCATGGTCAACGTCATCTGTTCGTCGTTGAGCCTCGCCCGTCTGACATGCGGAAGCCCGTCAGACATGCCGAGAAGCTGCGGCGGTGATCATCGTCTCCCGCCCGTCTGTCTGTGCAATCCCATGGACGTGCGTGCCTCCCGCCATCGACGTCGTCCCACACTCGCCGGGGACGGGGACTGAGATGGGCTTGGGAGAGGGAAGAAGCATGGCTGCCGAGCATCGAGGCCGTTGAAGGGGCTGGCTGCTGTCAATGGCGTTGCCGCTGAGTCAAGGAGCGGTGCTTGTGCTCGTGCTTGTCTCTGTCTTTGTTGTTGGCCATCAGGGTTGCTGGCGAGACTGTTGTCGATTTTGTGGGCTGCCTGACTCAACCTGAAGCCCCACAGCTGAGGAGCTGGCCCCAGTGGCAGCTTGTTGCAGGCTACCAGTGGAGCAATGTTGCAGGGCAGCCAGTGATGAGCCATCAGGGCCTTGTGAAAGTGGGCTTTGTGGGTTGCTGCAGGGCAAGCTGCATGGGCTGGGCAAGCTGCAACTGCCTGCTCAAGACTGTGGCTCTTTGAGTAGTGAGATCAGTATGTTGAAGGTCATCAAGGAAGCAGCCCATGATGCAGAAGGCCATAAAACTTGCAATGACACCCCCACAACCAACAACAACAACAATGAATCTTTTGTTAGTGACACCTGTCCTTATCACAGGGAATGCTCTTGTGTGTGCTTGAGGAAGGCTGGTCAGGCCCGTCTTGAGGTGAACCGAAGGCCCTCTTTTCATCTGGCCTCCGGTCCAAAAAATCTGGGTGGTCAGCCCTAAAAAATGACCAGGAGCACATGTGAGCCAGAAAGACTCACCTAGTCAGTAGTGGAGCGATCTGGGCAGTTGACAACCTTGTGGTCCAACTTGCACCTCTCACACACATGGCGCTTGTGGCAGCCAGCGCAGTGGAGGTGGTTCCACTTCCAGCACGTCGTCTTTTGAGACCGTCGGCTTGGCTGCTGTGCCGGCACCGGCGCCTTGAGGACAATCCTGCGGCAGAGCTGGGTGTCGATGGAACCCCACCTGGCTTGCCGATTGCCAAGTCTGGCGGCACAGACAGCGACGTGGTAGTTGATCACAGCGGATTCCAAAAAGTCGTCAGATAGCTCCATCAGATGATCCAGGTGGTCGAGAAGAGCGGCAAGCTGGGTGGCCTCGACGAAAAAGGCCTTGATTCCCCCAAAGGTGAGCCACAAGCTCATGACGATGCTGAAACGTGTCTTGCCACCAGGCGTATAGCGCCACGAGAGGGTGAAGAGCTCCTCGGCAGGTAATTCATCCCTGGCTACGCGCTCAACCAGGGGGCAGGGCAGGTGCTTTGAGGTCAACTGTGCAGTACAGATGCATCCTGTGGGACATGCAGCCCCAACAGCATCAGGCCTTGCCCATCATGTCCCTGCTGCAAGCTAGCTTGATCAGTCAGCTTAAAAGGCCCTGTTGCTGCAGTCTGTGCTCATGTCAAGCTGAGCTGTCCCTGCTGCAAGCTAGCTTGATCAGTCAGCTTGAAAGGCCCTGTTGCTGTAGTCTGTGCTCATGTCAAGCTGAGCTGTCATCATGCTGCCTGGTGGCAACATCCTGTCGCTGGTTGCGACATCCCAGCATGCTTTTGCTCGAGGGGCGGACCTCGAGGATATACCAAAAAAATAATGGGTTGTTTTTGCGAAATATAATTTATTCCGCTGACCACCGCAGCATCACCAGCCTCGTTAGCGTAGTTGGATTATCGCATCTGTCTAATACAGCGTGCCTCAGCATCAGCTGAGTTAAACAGAAGGTCACTAGTTCGAGCCTAGTACGGGGCAATTATTTTTGGATTTCGATTCGCTGCGATTTTCCGCGGCATTTCTTGCAGCATTTCCGAGCGGTGCGTCGAGGCCGACGCCACCTCGCTCGCCTGGCCGTCCTGTTCTAGCCGGTGCACAAATGCCCTGCAACCAGAGAGCGGCTAGCCCTCGGCGTGCCAGCTGTGAACCATCACGTGGACTGCCGCTTCCGACACAGATCCTAAACGAGGCCCTGCTCAAGGAGCAAGCAGTCCGGTGGCTCAGCAGGTGCGCGACACTGGGCTGCCGGCGACTGGGCCTACTGATTATTGTCTCCAAGGCGTGCTTTGGTGGGGTGCCGACGTGCTTGACAGGGCTCGCCAGTGGGATTGAACCGGTGGTGCTGGGGGTGGGCGCAGACACGGGCGGCCGCTCGCGGAGAATTCAAAAGAATAATGCATACAATAATGCAGCAGCCGAGCGGCAACCTGCGCCGCGGTCCTCGGCCGACGGTACGGCATCTTCCGCATTATATTTATTATTTGCCACGCCCAACCCTGCCTGCCTCTACAGTATCTGCCTTTGTCGGCTTGGCCTTGCTTGCTTATCGCCTCGCCTCGCCTTGCCTGGCCTCGCCTCGTTTTATCGCTTGCCCTTGCCTTGAAACGACCACCACAACACCCCTGCGATGGCGTATCCAGCCCCACGAGCCCGGCCCAGCTATCCTGGAGCGCGACCCGCTGCGGCCATTCCCGCTGCAACGACATCCCCATTCGCGGCTGCCCGCTTCGGCTTCGCATCGCTGGCTCTTCGTCAGCACGCACAGCTGCTGGTACGTACGTAGCCGACCAGCTGCTCGTCGCCGCCATCGCGTGCTCGCCTCTCTATCTATGCACCCGATGCCGCGAGGACATCGCGTGCCTGGCCCTCGACTGCTACGCTACCAAATTAAGCTGCACCGCTCCCTTCGACCGGCAATCTCGCCTACAGCCCTCGACTCTTGCTCGACACCGTCGTTCGGCATGGCCTGCTCCGAGGCTCGACCAGCACACGGCCTGGCAAAGGCCTGGTTCTCGCCGATCCAGCTATAAGGTCGTCTCCTCACAGGCCTGCGCACATCCTGCTCGCCCCTTTGCCCACCTTCATACTACTGATCTGTTCTGTTCCGGCAAGGAAACCGACCGCCCTAGTCGACCGCAGTGATGTCACCCCGTTCGCCACCTCCCCTCGACCACGATGCTCTCGCCGTCCTGCCAACCGTGCCTGCTGTCGAAGACGCCGGTCTCAGGCCACCCAGCAGCGGGGCCGCTTCGGAAAAGGGCCTCTCCAACGGCGACTGCGACGGCAAGCCGGCAACATCGTCGCCGCATCCGCCGCACATTTCCCTCGACAAGGATCACCTCGACGAGAAGCGCGTCGATGTCGTCGCAGAGGAGACAAGCTCGCTCGCCAGCGACGAGCACGTCATCACCACCGGCCAGGACGTGTCCGACATGCTCATCAGCGACCGCGACGACGGCGACGCGTGCTGGACGCTGCGCAGCGTCCTCCTGAGCCTCGTCGGCGCCTCGTTCCAGGCCGTCATGACCGTAATCTACCGCTTTAAGCCGACGCAGGTCGACATCTCGTCAACTTTTCTCGTCCTCCTCATCTGGGCCCTCGGCGTCGCCTGGGCCAAGCTGCTCCCCACCCGCGACAGCCTCGAGCGGCGCTACGGCAAGGGCAGGCTCCCCGCTCGCATCGTCGCCCTCGCCCACGCCGTCAATCCAGGCCCGTTCGGCCTGAAGGAACACGTTGTGGCCACCATCGCCGCCACGTCGGCGTCGGGCGCATCCCAGGCCATCGACGTCTTCACCACCCAGAAGCTCTTCTACCCCGCCAACACGGTCACTGCCACCACCGCCGTGCTGGGCACCGTCTCGATCAGCATGTTCGGCTACGGGCTCGCTGGGTTCTTCAGACCCATTCTCGTGTACCCTTCTCAGATGGTGTTCTGGTCCCAGCTGCCTACAATCGACGTCTTCCAGGTGCTCCACTGGGGTGAAGTCGCCCGCAACGCCCGGCGCACGAAGATATTCTGGTTCAGTCTGGCGGGAATGGGCGTCTTTGAGGTCTTCCCAGCTTACATCGCGCCCTGGCTCAACTCGATCTCGGTGCCCTGCCTGGCCGCCATCAAGGCCACCGGCCAGACGGCGCGGACCCTCACCAACGTCTTCGGAGGCTCCAACTCCAACGAGGGCCTCGGCCTGCTGAGTGTCAGCCTCGACTGGCAGTACATCACCAGCAGCGCCACCTCGCTCCCGCTCAAGCAGCAGGGCAACGCTTGGATCGGCATCGCCATCTGCTACGTCGCCATGGCCGCCATCTACTATAGCAACACCTGGTCCGCCAAGACCTTCCCGTTCATGTCGACGTCGCTCTTCTCGTCGGACGGGTCAAAGTACCCGCAGAACTCGGTGTTCGTCGGCGGCGTCCTCGACCGCACGCGGCTGGCCCAGCACGGCTTCCCCTCGGTCGCCGGCACGTACGCCTGGGGCATGCTGGCGCGCAACCTGGCCATCGGCGGCATGATCGCCCACGTCATCCTCTTTTGGGGCAGGGACGTCATCGTGGCCATCAAGCAGAGCCGGAATCGCAGCCAGCCGGACCGCCACTGGATCGCCATGCAGCGCTACCGCGGGGCGCCGTGGTGGTGGTACGCCGCGTGCATCCTTATCTCGTTCGTCCTCGGCCTCGTCATCTCGATCACGGAGAACACGACGCTGCAGCCGGGAAGCTACATGGGATCGCTCGCCGTCGGTTCCATCATCGCCCCCTTTTCCGCCGTCCTCTACGCCATCCTCGGCAACGGGATCAGCACCAACCAGCTTGTCAAGATGGTCGCCGGCGTCATCTCGCCCGGCAGGCCCCTGGCCAACCTCTACTTCTACGCCTGGTCCCACGAAATCATCTCGCAGTCGATCAACTTTTCCGGCGACCTCAAGCTCGGCCAGTACCTCAAGATCCCGCCGCGCACCATGTTCGTGACCCAGGTCATTGGGACCATCTACGGTGCCGCCGTCTCGTACGCTGTCATGACGTCGATTGTCTCGCAGAAGCTCGAGGTGCTCCTTGACCAGAACGGCAGCAGCGCCTGGTCGGGCGCCTACTTCCAGTCGCTCAACGCTTCGGCCGTCACCTGGTCGCTAGCAAAATACATGTACGGGTCCAAGACGCCGTACTTTGTGATCCCCATGGCCGTCCTCATCGGTATGGCCGCCGTTGTCGTCCACTGGATCATCCACCGTCGCTTCCCGACTGTGGCGGGCTACTCGACGTCGGACCTGGTGCTGCCCACCGTCTTCCTCTACTCGGCCTGGCTGACGTCGGGCCAGAACTGCATTATGCTCTCCACCATCCTCGTCGGCGTCGTCTCGCAGGTCGTCGTCCGCACCCGCTTCCCGCGCCTCTTTCGCGACTACAACTACCTCGTCGGCGCCGGGCTCGACGGCGGCGCGCTCATCGCCATGTTTGTCCTGTCGTTTGCCGTCCTTGGAGCTGCCGGCCGACCCAAGCCGTTTCCGACGTGGTTTGGCAACGCCGATGGCTACGCGGACCACTGCCCAAAGCCCCACTCGTAGCCGGCCCTTGCCTTAGCGATCGTGCCGCACATTCTGTGCTTGCCCTCTTGTGTCCCCCATTCCCCTGCCGATGACCACGACCGACTGCCTGATGAGACCTTGCAACGACGAATCAGCCTTTCACGAGCACTCACAATGATGCTGCGGCACCTCGAGAGATAAGAATCGAGCTTGCCACTAGTGGCCGTCCTGGCGTGGGTCACCTGCCCTTTCGTGACCCTCGAACAAGCTTCCTGAAATTGGCGTCGAGGCGGTGAAAGCAGACCCCAAAGAGTTTGGCCGTGGCGATCGCCGGCAGGTCAGCTGCGCTGGCGCCTGTGGCTGCCCCGTGGCTGTGCCTGCCCCTGTGGCTTCCCCATGGCTGCGATTGCGCCTGTGCCCGTGGCTGTCGCGGTGGTAGCTGGAGTCATCGTGGTTTGCATGGCGTTGGTGGCTAGCCGGAGATAGGGGCGCAGGCAGGATGGGGCAGGTCAGAGCAGACCCCGGTATGGCTGGTGGCTTGGTAGGTGGTGGCGATGGTGAGGTGGACGCGCGGCGGACGTCTCTGCCTGCTTCCTTGACCTCGCCCGCCACGCACCTCAGGCGGCTTTGCTGGGCTGGCCAGGCTGGGCGGATCAGGCGCCCCGGGGGGAGGAAAAAAAAAATCCAGGCGCGGCTGCAGCTTGGCAACCGGCCTGCGCGCACTGCTCAATTCGGAAGGAGCAAGCATGCTTTTTGCCTGTGGTCGGGTTGCAGAGACAGGCCGTAGATGAACCCCAGGGTCAGAGGGGTGTGAAAAGGGTACGGGCGGCAGTTCAGGCCACGGCGTGGGCAACGACAGGCCGCAGATGGAATCCAAGACCAGGCGCGCGTGAAACGGGGTTCTATGAACGGAGGTCGAGGCCAGCAGACCAGAGGGCGCCACGTCCCGGGGCTGAAGCTTTCCTCCTACCTGCTGGCCGGATTGTGTGCCGAGGGCTCAGGAACATACGCCCGGTCTCGAAAATCGAATGGCGCGTGGCAGGCGGCTATGTCTCGCCGTACCTGCGTCTGGGCGTCCATAGATATGATACGCGCTCTTCCCACGCACACACATAGCATACACCTACGCAAGGAGCCTGCCGCGCTCGATCGATGCTGCCGACGGCCTCTGCCCTTGCACAGCCATTCCCCTTCCAAATTTGGCCTCGAACGCGACCGGCATCGTTGTCCGGCTACATTCGACGAATCACAGGGCGCCGAGGGCCCACCAACTGACCCAAACAGGAAAGACGAGGGCAACTCAGCGGCAGAGAAATCCTCGTGTTGGCCCCTCCTCTGCTTTGCCGGCGCCTCGCCGCCGCCTCGCCCGTGTGCGCGGCTGCCGCCCTCCTGCTCGCTCTCTGCAGCGAGGCCCTGCCCTCCCTCCAGCGTGGCAGGCAGGGCTGCCAGTGTCGACGTGGCACCCCCCCTTCCAGCGTGGCAGGGCTGCCAGCGTCGACGTGGCACCCCCTTTCCAGCGTGGAAGGGCTGCCAGCGTCGACGTCTCTCCAGCCAGCGGAAAAGGGTTAAAAGGGGAGACATTTGGAGCTTTCCTTCTTCCCTCCTTTCCCCATCATCCCTCGCCATCTTCCCGCTCCCCCCTCTATCCTCTCTCAGCCTTTCGCTCGACGCACCTCTCCTCCATCCCTCTCCTCCATCCCTCTCCTCCATCCCTCAGCCCCGGCTGAGCTCCGTCCACCAGGCATCGCCCGCGGCTCGCTCTTCTCGACCTTCGATCGCATCCTTACCTTACCTCTCGTCGGCCTCCTCTTTCAGGCGTCCGTCTCGAGCTTCGTGAGTCCCCCGTCGGCCCGTCATCCCGACCCCCCTCGCCGCCATCCCGCATCGTGTCCAGCGTACTGATCCTGCCGACGCACTCTTCTCTTACAGCCGCCCCGCTCCCGCCACACAGGATCCATCTCGCGCGCTCGCTCGGTCCCTTCAGCCCCTTGCCACGTCGACCTCGACCTCGTGAGTGCAAGTGATCCATCTGCTGTGCTCTCCTCAACCTCGCTCACTTGACTTCCCTCCCATTCTGCCCTTGCCTTCCCTCATACATCCGTCACCACAGTGTCGTCCCAGGCTGTCGACGGTGGCGCCGGACTCGCCCTCGCCTCCAGACCCGCGCTTGGACCCGTGCACCTCGGACAAGATCAGCACCATGTCGTCCCTGCCTGCCGTCGGTGGCGCTCGACCCGCTGGATCCGCCTCTCCCGTCAACGTCGCCCAGGACCAGGCCACCCGAGGACGTCAGCACCGAGGCGCGACATCGACGCCGACCCCGCGCGGAGGACGATTCGGCCGCTCTCGTTCGCCCCTCGCCGGTCACCGCGACTACGCCGACACGCCCACTTCCAGCACCGGCCGTTCCAGCATTAGGGACTACGCCGCTGACGCCACGACCAGCCGCAACAACCCGCACGAGCGCTCGCACGACGTCGACGGCAACAGCAACGCCGCACAGGGAGCCGACATGGAGCCGTTGACTCGCCACACGGACGACGCACAGATGATGGCCGCCCAGCTAACCCAGGCCCTACTGCAGCTCGCCAACAACGCCACCACTGCGCAGCCGGCCGCCGCAGCCAGCCCGACCAAGAGCTTCGACACGCGACTGGACGAGGCGTGCAGCGCCCACCACTGGGTGTCGCGCGCTCTGGTAGAGCTGGTGGCCCGGGATGAGCTCCCGGCCAGCCAACTCTTTGTCCTGTCAAGACGATACCAGCCTGGACAGCCAGTCACTTTTAGCGTGGTCGCGAGCTCGTGGCTCGCCTTCGCCGGCATCCGAGGCTTTTTCGTTGAGCCTCCGCAACTCACCGCATACCTCGACCATCTCGACCATCTTCTCGAGCTCACGGACGACTTCGCCGACTCCGCAGTGATCGACTATCATGTTGCTGTATATGCCGCGCGACTTGGTAACCCGCGAGCCAGGTGGGGTTCTATCGATACCCACCTGTGCCGCCGGATCATTCTCGAGGCGCCGGCACCGCCCCAGGCCCCAGCTGCCCGACGTACGAGGGACCGGGCAATTTGCTACAGGTTCAACCATTTCCAATGCAACGGCTGCCGCAGGCTGCACGTTTGCGAGGCCTGCGGCGTCAAGCACCCGGTTACCCGCTGCCCGGTTCGCGCTCAGACTTAGGTAAGTCTTTCGGCTTGCAGTTTGCCTGGTTTTTTTTGGGACTTGACCAACCCCGGTCACCGAGTCGGGTGCCCAAAAAAAATGCGCATCCGGCTCGCATCAAGACGAGGCCCGACCAGCCTCGGGGCTACGCCCCTGGTTTTCATCAAGACCTCAAGACGGGGTCTGACCAGCCCCAAGCCTCAAGACGTCCGGCCAAACGTTATTGGCGCGTAAACTAACAAAATAAACCACCCTTCCCCCTTTTTACTGGATGATCATTTGATCGTCCAGGTCTTTGGCCGCGACGCAGCAACCGCCTCGACTCGACATCCGCCTCAACACGTACGGCAAGCACCTCGACTCGACGCCCACCTCAACACGGCAAAGCGAGCGCCTCGACACAGGAGTTAGACTCGCGCCTCGACACGGTTAGACTCGCGCCTCGACGCGACCCGCGCCTCAACTAGGCAAGCGCCTCGAACCGACCCGCGTCTCGATCCAGCGAGCGCCTCGACCCGACCCGCGCCTCAACTAGGCAAGCACCTCGATCCAGCGAGCGCCTCGACCCGACCCGCGCCTCAACTAGGCAAGCGCCTCGACCCGGCGAGCGCCTCAACTAGGCAAGGGCCCCTCAACGTTTCGTCCAAGTCTCTGTCCCCCTGACTCTCGGCTCGGTTCCGCTCCATGTTCTCGATTCCCGATCTCGTCCAATCACCTCTCACATACACGCAGAGAGCTTGACCCTCCATCGTCCCGGCCTGTACTCCCCGTCCCCGTCCCGATCGCGACACATGTACCACTAAGCCCCATCAGACGCCGCTGACCGGTGGCGCCTCGCAACCCAGCGCGGAAAAGATATCGTTCCAGACACCATCGAGGTCGGTCTCGGAGCCGTCGGCGCCAAAGCCGAGCTGGTCGGTCGAAGACGAGCTGTGTGTGCCCATCTCGGTTAGCTTGAGGAGCGAGGCGTCGAGCTGGCGGAGCAGCACCGGGTCGAAGAGCTGGTCTGGCGAGTCGGGACCCGTCGAGGACGAAGATGGGACTCCGGCTGCGGCGCCGTCCTTTCGCCGGGGAGACGAGGCGGAGGCGTGGTCGCTCGAGCCAGGGATGGGGTCGCCTCGGCCGCCGTGCTGCTGAGACGCTGCTGGGTCCTTCGAGCCGACGCCGGGCCCTTGTGCGCCACTGTCGCGGCCGACGGCGTTCTGCCCGTCGATGTGGCGCGACCTCCTCTCCTCGCGCACCTCGTCCATCTGCCTGCGCCGCATCCGGATCGTCGCGCATGCGGCCAGCAGCTGCTCCAGCCGTCCGCTGCGGACGCTGTTGCGGTCCAGCTTCTCGAGGCTTGTGATGCAGTAGTAGATGTATTCGTGGACCTTGAGCTCCTCTCGCTGGATCTTGGCGTGCATCTCCTCGGTGCTCGAGGCTGCGTGGTCGAGTCGGGGCTCCTGCGTGGATGGCGACGCCGATAGCGACATGGTCGAGAGGAGGGGTGGCGAGGGCGTTGCGTGCGACGAGGACGACGATGTCGAGCGGAAGAGGAGATGGGTGACGAGCACCAGCGCCACCTGGAACATGCGCTGGTGGATGTGGGCCAGCTGCACGAACAGCAGGCCCTTTTCCGAGCAGCGCATGCAGGCCTTGACAAAGTGCTTGGCGCTCGCGAGGCATCGCTCGACGCTGCGGCCGTACCGCTCCGGATGGCGGTAGCCGAGCACCAAGAAGGGGCGGTGCAGCGCCATGATGCGGTGGAAGATGGTGGTGATGATGATGATGATCTGCACCGTGTCCCTGGCCTTGCCCGGCATCGAGGCAGGTGGCGACCCGGTGGCGCCGTTGCCGCTGCCGCTGCCGCTGCCGCTGCCGTCGTTGCCTTTGTCACTGACCTCGACCCGACCTCGACCCTGGCTGACGCCGCCGGTGCCGCCGTCGAGGTGATCTGCGATGGCTTGCTGCTGGATGCGACGGATCGTCTCGTCCTTCTTGTCCTCGAACCTCAGCCATGGCGGCCGGCTGTCGAGGAAGCGCTGCAGCTCGTCGTCGAGGGCGAGGATGGCGCCGTAGTCGACCTCGGAGTCAGTGAGGGCAGCCTCGGTGATGAGATCAAAGTGCCGGCGTCCAATGTCGGAGACGGCGGCGACAAACGCGCCAAAGTTGTCGCACCGCTCCTGCTCCGGCTCGTCTCCGCGGCAGAACTGCAGAGTTCGAGGGTCGTAGTCGTAACCGGTGCTGAACGAGTTGGGCCAGATGAGGTAGTATCCGATGAAGCGGGTGCGGGCCCAGTCGCACGCCAAGATCACTGTCCAGATGGCCCGACCGGCGTTGCGTGCGGCCACGTTGCGCGAGGTGAACGTCTCGACGGCCCAGCTGCAGACGCTCGAGTGGTAGCTGTGGATCGAGGCGCGCAGCTCCGTGGGTCGCCGAACGGCGGCGTGCCGGGCGGCGCGGCCTTCGCCATCGTTGACGCTACGCCTGCCTTGCTGCTGCGGCTGCGCTTGCCGCGGCTGCGCAGCGTCCTGCCGACGCCAGAGCTCGACGTCGCGTCCGTGGGTACCGAGGCGGTCTATGCCCATGGCCCTTGCCGCTCGCACCAGGACATCGAACAGGCGAAGCGACTCCTCGTTGAAGGGCTTGGCGGCAAAGTGCGCCTGGAAGATGCAGAGCGCCTGGACGGCGGGCAGGGTGGGCGAGTGGAGCATGTCGCAGCGCTCAATGGCATCGAGGAAGATGGCATGCCAGCCTTGGATGAGGCGGTGTCGGTCCTTGATGCGGGTGATGGACGTGTTGGTGAGCGCGTAGGTGGGCGGGGCCAGATCGATCGAGAGGCAGAGCATGCTGACGAACAGGGCGAGGTAGTCTGGTTGTTGCTGCATCGAAGCCAGGTCGTCGGGGCGGTAGAAGGTGTGAAACACCTTGAAGATTGAGCTAAACTGGCTGGGCGGCCAGAGAAAGAAGACGTCGAGCTGGCGCGAGTAAAGGCAGAGGAGGTCGGCCGCAACCTCCTTGCTGGGCAGCGGGAAGAGAGGGGCGGCGGACGCTACGACGGCTGCGGCGCTTGCTCGAGGTTGGGAGGCTGAGGTGTGGACGGCGGCAGAGTCTACAGAGGCGAGCGCCTCGACAAGCTGGTCTTCGTGGTGGTACCCGTTTGACGCTCGCTGCGAGGGCCGGGGAGCCGTGCGGCGGCTTGGCAGTGGATCGAGTGGTTGCCGTTGCTGTGACGCATCATCTATCGCCGTATGGATTTGGGGTCGGGGCGGGATGGCAGGATGAGCGGTGTGTGGGCGCGACGAAGGCCCGGCGGTGGCCAAGGATGCATCTTGGTCGAGCGGAGGCGAGGGCGGTAGCGAGCCCGATAGGGATGATGCGTTGGGCGTCCTGGCAGCTGCCGAGGTCGAAGGCTGAGCGGCCAGCGAGCGACTTTGGGCAGAGGGCGAGGGCGCCGCGGCGCGTACCGCGGCGTTGGCGAGGAGTGGCAGCGACGAGGGAGGGTTGCCGAGGTGGTTGGGAGAGGCCGAGTTAGAGGCTGGGTGTAGGTCGTCGCGGGCGTCGCCCCATCGGCAGAGAGTGTCTACGACGCCGCGCTTTCTGCACTCGCTGCAGCCGGGGACGATGCCGTCGCAGTGCTTTTTCCTCCTGCGGCACTCTAGGCATGAGATTGCCTTGCGGCGGCGCTTGCGAGGGAGCGAATGCGTTGCGTGGGGGTGAGGGTGGGGGTGGGGAGCGGAGGTGGTGGTGGCTGTGGTGGTGGCGGGGTGGTTGGCATTGTCTGCGGCGGGCGTGGCTGGTGTCGTGTAGGGTGAGGGGGCGTCGGCGTTGCGGTCATGGTCGTGGTCGTTGCGGGGTCTGCGAAGCGGAGAGCGTGGTGGCTCGACGAGGGGCCCGAGGATGTCGTAGTGGTGGTGGCGAGGCAGATGCGGGTGATGGTGGTGCTGGTGGTGATGATGGTGTTGGGGTGGTGGTGGGGAGGGAGGTGGAGCTCTGTGGGTCAAGGGGTTGGTGGCGAGGGGCGAGGGTGGTGCGGCCGCCGTGGTTGACATTGCGCGGTAGGCGGTGTCGTGGCTTGATGTTGAGGGTGAGGTGGCTGCGGTTGGCGGGTGTGGGTGCTGCTGCGTCGGGCCGAGGGAAGCGCGACGAGATGTCGCCGGCTCGGGCGGGTTGGGGCCAAAGGAGGAGCGGATGGCGAGTCGAGATGGACGATGCTACGCTGCTGCTTGTTTGGCTCGTTGGGGTCAGGGTGCAGCCACGGGAGATGGGACGAGCGGGGGTGGCGGGGCCAGGGCCAGGGTCAGGGCCGGGGCCGGAAGAGGAGAGAGAGCGGGATAGGATGCGAGATGGCGAGGATTGGAGCGGAGCGGAGAGGCGAATGCGGGATTCTGGTCGTCTGGCAAAGATGCGATGCCGATGCAGATGGATCGAGGATGGCGAGGTGGAGGCAAGCGACCAAGAGGCAACCAAAGCAGGGCCCAACCATCCGACCCGTGCCTTTGCTTGACGAGTTGCCCCAGCCCAGACTGTACTGAGGCCGGCCAGGAGCAGACACAGAGAGAGGCAAGCAACGCAGGCAGGACCACGCCTGGCCTCGGCCCGACAAGCTCAATCACGCCAATTAAAATTGGCATTATTCCAAATCTCGCTCGGCCCGGCGCCGCTCCACGCCTGGCCTGGCCTGGCCTGGCCTTTTGTATTCCAGGCATCCCACCATTGGCGCGTCTCGGTCCCCCTTTTCAATTCGGACTTTACACCGCCATCCACCCACCCCTGCCTGCGCATTTCATCTCCGACACCACCACTACTCCAACTCTGGCCAAAGCTTCCGTCGGATTTGCACGCCCTTAATCCCGACGGGCGGCAGGGTGCGCTGGGCAAAGGTGCCTTCTGGACTGCACTCCCCACGCCCAAGATCCGAACGACCCCCTTCTTGTCCGATGGCCTTAGGGACCGACCAAAGACGCGGAACTTGGCTCCCGAAGCACCAAAGCTCCCATTCGCTCCTCCCAAGTCTCGACGTCGTTCTTCCCTCCTGCCTCGCCCTCGTCCCCTTGCTCCGTCTGTCCATTGTCGAGTCCGATCGATATGCTACAGCACCCTTCGGCCCGTCGTCCCCTCGGCTCTCCGTCGCCCGTCAAGGGCCTCGCAGCGGCTCACCGCCCCTCCTTGCCGCCTCCTCGTGCTGTCTGACAAGCCCGACACGGCCCTCTCTGCCCAGCCGTAAGCAGCCCTCGGCCCCACCCTCAAGGCGTATATGTATCGCTCTGCTCTCTTCCCGCCAATGGGCCCGCCCTACGTCTCGACATTCACCTGTACATCACCTCGCCCCACCCTCGCCCTCGTCGACAAAGCCCAGAAGTCAAAGGATCTGCCCTCGACGCCAACCCACGTCCCGCCCTCCGCCCTCTCGGATCTCGCCTCTCTTCCACCCGCTCTGAACCCTCTCTTCAGCGGCCTCCCCCTGTCTCGCTCCCTGCGCCTTCTGCCCTCTCAGCTCACCGATCCACCACAATGACGAGCGTATGCAGCACAAAGGAACACGACTCGGACCTCGACCACAACACCCAGTCGTCCGCCCCGCCGCCACCGCCGCCGCCATCGGCCTCTGCAGGTACCCAGCTCACTACAGCCGGCTGGCTCACCGTTCTCGGCGCCTTCTGCTGTGCCTTTGCCGGCTTCGGGTGAGTGGCTCACCTGTCGATCGTCAAGCACGCCGCTCATGCCCCCCCCCCCCCCTTCCCCCTGGCCGCTACAGATCACCTTCGCTGACGTTGCGCTGTCCCTTGTGCCATTCTTCGCTCCTCCTCGGCGCGCGCGCTCGCCACGGCCGTCCGGCAGCTTCCTCAACGCCTTCGGTGTCTTCCAAGAGTACTACCAGCAGACCAAGCTCTCCAGCTCCTCCCCATCGTCCATCGCGTGGATCGGCTCTGTACAGACCTGCCTCCTGTTCGGCGCCAACATCATCAGCGGCCTCCTCCTCGACCGCTTCGGGCCAAAGAGCCTCCTCGTCGGCGTCACCTTCCTCTTCCCGCTCTCGTGCATGCTCACCTCGCTCTGCGACAAGTTCTGGCAGTTCTTCCTCGTCCAGGGCATCCTCCAGGGCCTCGCCCTCAGCGGTTCCCTCACGCCCCCCATCGCCTGCGCCATCCACCACTTCCGTGAAAAGAAGGGCATCGCCATCGCGCTCATCGTCAGCGGCTCCTCGCTCGGCGGCGTCGTCTGGCCCATCGTAGTCAAGCAGCTCCTCGCCTCGGTCGGCTTCGGATGGACCTGGCGCATCATCGGCTTCATCTCCGTGGTCCTCTTCGGCATCGGCGTCCTCACCGTCACCAGCCCCATCATCCGCGACGTCGGCCTGCCCCGCCCCGTCATGCGCCTCCTCAGCCCCGACGCCGACGAGCCGTCCGACAAGACCGGGCCCAAGCCGCCTCGCGCACCCCTCTTCTACTTTGAGCTGCTCAAGGATCCGGCGTACCTCTTGACGATGCTGTCGTTTGCCTTCATGTTCTTCGGCCTCTTCTTCGAGTTCTTCTACCTGCCCTCGTGGGGCGCCACAAAGGGCATGTCGGCCTCGCTCCAGTTCTATTCGGTCTCGATCCTCAACGCCGCCTCGTTCTTCGGACGCCTCCTATTCCCGCTGCCCGGCCAGCGCTTCGGCAACTTCAACATGATGATCATCGCCCTCTTCAGCTCGGCCATCATCGTGCTTGCGGGCATCGGCGTCTCGTCGCCGACCGGCGTCATTGTCAACGGCGCCTTCTACGGCTTCACCAGTGGCGGCGCCATCAGCCTCTACAGCGCCTGCGCCGCCGCCATCACCCCCGACATGCGCAGGCTCGGCGCATCGACGGGACAGATCGCCCTCGCCGTCGCCGCACCCGCCCTCCTCGGACCGCCCGTCGACGGCTGGATCATTGACAGCAAGGGCGGCTTCAAGGCGGCGCAGGGACTCAGCGGCGGATGCCTCTGCGTCGCCGGCGTATCGACCGTCCTGGTTCAGCTCATTCTCTCCCGCAGGGCCAAGCGCCCGGCCGCCGGCACCTCGTCGGCATGATATTTTTGGCCGCGACGCTCCTGGGAGCGAAAGAAACGACCGCATGCACCCTGTACATACCCTCGCCCGCCGGCCAGCGTTACCGTTTCCACCTGACACGCCCTGGAGTCTCGGTCATCCTGCTCATAGATCTCCTGTATCCTACCTGCCCCATCTCTTGTACCGCGACGATAGTAACGAAGCGCAACGGTAATGAAGAAGCAGCAACAAATCCTGATACCAATCAAGAATCAGCGCCAGCGCGCGGGCTTCGGATGCGCACGTCTGCAAAAAGGCCCTTGATGAGCTGGGCTGAGCCGAGCAATGTGGTGCTGCATCGGCCGAACCGTCTTCAACAAGAACTTTGCACCTTCAATTGCGCTGTTGATGGATTTGGCGTGAACTTGGCGGTCATAGCGATAGGATCAGCAGCCTGCACTCAGGCTCCAACAACAGGGCCGTGGTGGGTTAGCACAGCAGCTGATGTGGGAATCATCGGCATTCAGAAAGGTGACTTGCATGCCATGGCTGCCAAACATTCCGAGGAACATCAGAGCTCAAAGGGATGCACAGTCGGTACTGGTTTACTATCCGTAGTGGCGGAACGCTTCTGACAAGGAGGAGCGCTGAGGAGCGGGGCCATGGCCCGATGCATGCCATTTTTATTGTGCCATCGGCATGGCCCGATCGCCATGCGGGCAACTGTCTAGGGGTTCAGTGCCTCGCAACGTGGCGCCCTCCAACGCCTTTCGCGATCTCAACCCGTAGTATTCTGCCTTCCGTCCACAGTCGCCCTCGCCCTCGCCTTCGCCCTCGCATCACCCGCCACCAATGTGACCACAATCTCGGCCCTTTGTCTGTGCAAGCACGCACGAATGCACGCACACACAATCTTCCTGAGGCCGCTCCACCACCCGCACCGACATGTCGCCCGCCGCTTCGCCCTCGCCCGACAGCCTGGCCGCACCTCCGCTTCTCTCAGACCACGCCGAGTGGCAGCGCCTCATCGCTCATCGACGGGCGCTACACAGCCTCAGGCAGGCCAACCTCAACCGCCAAAAGGACCTCTCTCTCACCCTCGACCAGCTCTACCGCGTCTATCGCGGCCTCTGCGAATGCCTCCGCTGGCTTGATCAGGCAGACCTCTGCGACCTCGAGGACCGCGCTGCCGAAGTTGTCCGCATAGACCAACAGCCCGAGGACGACGCCACACAGTGCCCCTTCGCCTCCGACATGATCCGCCAGACGCCACTCCTTCGCCAGCAGGCCGTCGAGAGAGCCGAATTCGACATGCTTCTCGCCGGCTCGCCCTGGTCCAACGCCGAGGATCAGCAGCTTCAGGTCGCAGTCATGCTGGCAGCCAGGAAAGCCCTCGCCTTTCGTCCACGCACAGAGGACCGCCGAGGCATCGATCCCATGCATCTCGCAGCGAATGCCACCGAAGAGGAGCTCTTACGTTGCGCAGATGTCCAGGACCATCACGGCTCAGTTCAGGATGGATTCCAGCATCTCGACTGGAACATGGTGGCCAGCCGTGTACCCTCGCGCAATGCCGAAGAATGCCGCACCAGATGGATCCAGGTGTTGCGACCTAGCATCTCCTGCGCGCCTTGGAGCAGCACAGAGCTCAAGCGCCTCGAGAGCGTCGTCGCGCTACACCTTGCCGAGTCTCGATACGAGCCCATACCCTGGGACGAGATCGCTTCGACGCTGCCCATCAAGAGGACCGGCTTCGCGGCCTTCGTGGCCTATAACCGCATCGCGCCGCCGAATCCGCCTTTCACGCCATCGGAGGACGATCAGCTGCGCAGACTCTTCGATCTGTTCAGCGGCGCGTGGAAGCTCATCACGCTGCATCACCCTTCGGCCAGGCCCAACTACAAGCTTTACAGTCGCTTTGCACGCAGCATCGACCCCGGCATAACAAGGGGCAAATGGACGGCCGAGGAGGACGCGGCTCTGGTCGAAGCTGTGGCAAGGCACGGTGAAAGGGACTGGAAGACGATCGCGACGAGGATAGGTGCTCGGACCGGAAGCCAGTGCCGAGACCGGTACAAGAATCGCCTCGAGCCTCGAGGGCGCCTCGGAGTCGCTGTCAGGCCCGATTCCGCACCTGTGACGACCTCGGCTCCTATCGCCGCTGCAGGAGGTACAGTGGCGGTGGGCCGAGACTCCGCCCCCTTCTCTGCTGCCACTATCGCCACCAGCTCGACTGTCGCTGCTGCCGCTACCGCCAATGCTCCTATCGCCGCCATCGCCTCGGCAGCTGCTGCCCAGACCGACGCAACTGGCCGCGCAAGCGCAGAAGCTCATATGCCTGGCTCGACGCCTGCGACGAGCACGAAAGCGAAGAAGACGTTCAAACGGTGGACCGAGGAAGAGACGGCGATCCTCTCGTCCCTTCTCGACGCGGAGCTGGAGCCACCAGCGGGTCAGTCTTGGGCCTCCATCGCTCAGCAACATTGTGACAAGGTCCAGCAAGCTTCCGTCGGTGATCTTGACGGAGGGCAGGGCGGAAGCATCCAGCTGCGACCCATCAGTGCCAAGCAAGCCAGGGACCGGGCCGCTACAATCAGAAAACAGCGCGAAGAGGCCCCCAGCGGCCGAGCCTCCAGCCGTGCATCCTCCAAGGGCTCCTCGGCCGCCGCAGGGAAAAGGGCAAGGTCGAGTCCGGACGACGGACCATCGCAAGGCAGTAAGAAGAGCAAGCGGTTGGCCGGGGCAGGAGAGCCACTGCCACCGGCCACATAGACGCCGGGGCAGCCTTTGCAGCTCGAGCCCTAGGTCAAAGACGACGGCGCAGAACGTCAAGACAATCACGTCATTCCATTGGCACGATAGTCGGGCACAAGGCCGTGGTGGATCCCGATCGCAGCGTGGCAGGCAGTCTTCCATCTTCCTCATTCCTCGGCGGCCGCGCTGTGCCTATACCTCTGCCCTGCCTGCGTTTTCTCACGTCATCTCCGCCGGATCGCAGCTAGTAAGCAAAACGGAAATCCAATCGGCGGTTGCCGACGTCCTTCGTCGTGGCGAGATAGCGGATCTGCTCATCCTGATATGTTTTCCCACAGCATGCGCGACGGGTCAAGAAGTACGAAGCCGGATCAGTCAGTCAGTCCGTCACACCTGCTCATTCCTGCCGAAGGCCTTCATGTGCGTACCCTGGTCATGGCACTCCATTTCCTGTCCCTCGCTGCGTTGCGCCTCTTATAGTACCAGTTTGCGGCAACTGCCAAGGACCATCAGATGTGGCGCCAGGGTTTTATCAGCCGCTGTGTCGATGTTTCGCCTGCGAGCAAAGTAGGCACAACCTGGGCGCGTTTCACTCACCGTAGAGGCAGATATTGAAGGAGATGACGACAATCATTGCCAGGTTACCCTTGCGGTACAACGGCTTGTCGTCCTGCTGATAGACATTGGCACCGGCGATGGCCGAGAGCTGGACAAACATGTTGTAGAGCGCGGACGCGACGGTGCGGGTCTGGACGCTTCCCGACTGCCTCGAGATCCACGAGACCTGGACGGCATGGGCCCAGGGTGCGCCGATGATGTAAGTCACCACTGCCCAGTAGTTCCATTTGTTCGCCGTCGGCGACAGGGTGTAGAGGGCGACAAAGCCCGGGAGATACCAGACGTTCTGGACGATGCCGATCCAAGAGCGCGTATTAAAGCGTTCCGAGAGCAGCGTGATGGTCACGAGCGTGACCGAGGCAATCGCCGCGGCCGGCATCGAAAGGAGGTTGACGGTGAAGGTGTCGAAACCCAGCTGCCGCAGGTTGATCGTCAGGTAGCCGGCGACCGGGTACGAGGGCATGCTGAAGGTGAAGGCGATGAGGTAGAGAGGCCAAAGGTCGTAGTCCTTGAGCGAATGCCACAGCGCCTTGGGGCTCAGGCCTTGCCGGTTGTGCATGCTGCCTTTTGAAGGGTCGTCGCGGATGATGCGGTTGACGATGATCGTCTCCTCGCGTTCGTCGAACCAACCCTTGCGCCAAAACCACGTCCTGGTCGAAGTCGGCGAAGAAGGCATCATGACGAATGAGAAGATGCCGATCGTAAGCGTGGCCAGGCCTGTTCGGGCATCGCAATGCATGGCAGATAGGCGGGACGGCCCGTGTCAGCGTCAGCCGGTCTCATCGAGGCTCATCATGGGAACGCTCGTGATCACCTACCCTCCAGCAAAAACAACCACCTCCAGCCTTCCCTTCCCGCTACGCCTCGCATTCGGAGGATGCCGAAAGCGAGGAACGGTCCGACGATGTCGACCAGGCTATTCGAGAGCCAAAAGAGCGCCAGTCGCAACGGCAGCTCCGTCTTTTTGTAAAAGTCTGGTCGATGGGTGCAAGGTCGTGCCTGTCAGCACAGAGGCAGTTTGACGTGGCAAGCGCGACCTGATTCAATGTAAGGCAGCTGCGACACGCACAGGAGAGGTAGAGGACCTGGTCCGCAATAAATCCGCCTTGAAGGGCGCCGACCATGGATCGAAAGAAGAGGAACTGGGCGCGACCGTTCATGAAAAACTGCGAGGCCGAAAAGATCGACCAAAGGCAGAGCTGCATGGGGACCCACACGTCGGAGCCCAGCTTCTTGCTGATCATTTGGCTCGGCAGCTCGGCGAGGAAGAAACAGAGGCGGAAGAGCGTCTGCCCGAGGTTGTAGTCGTTGGTGGTCAAACCGAGGTCGGGGAGCAGATTGTCCGAATTGGCCTGACTGATGTTGCCGCGGTCGAGGTCGAGGCAGAAGAACATGACAATCGACCAACAGCAAATGTACCAATCCGTCTTGCGGATGAGCCTCTTCTCCTCGCGCCACGTCCAGCGTGCCGCAGGATCGAAGCGGTGCAGGTTCTCCCATCTTTTATGCCGAGCCGATGCGGGCGGGCAGGGAAGGTGACAAGTCAGCTCGGGAGATAGCTGCGGGTACCTTTGACGAGGAGCACGGCACTCACTGAGGATGCGGCTGATAGTAGGGTGCTTTGGCAGGATCGTCAAAGACCGAGGGCTGCGTGGCGATCGAGTCGAGATCGCCCAGGAAATCCTTGCGACGCAGCAGCCAGTCCGTGAGGCCCGGCGCAGACATCTGACGCTCGTTGCCGTTCAGCTTTCCATACTGCAGATGCGGCGACCCCTCACTTCCGGCGCTTTTGATGTTGACGAAGCCTCCTTTGACATCCGGCGACGGCGAGTCGGCTGTAAGGTGCGTGGATCCGAGTGTGGGGACGAGGCCGGTGGCTTCGACCGATGCTGGGTCCTTGAAATGCCCCTCTTCACTCGAGCTGTCACTGGCGAGGCCGAGGTCGGCGTCTACCCTGGAGCCGACCGAATCTCTCGAGCCTGGTCGCGTTGGCGACGTGGCCCCGGATCCGGCTGCTTCGGAGCTCCGCTGAGGCTGGTTACGCGGCGACATGGTACCCAGCGGCGTGACTGGTCGCGGGGGAGAAACGAAAGGGGCGCAGACGCGATAAGGGCGTGTGACATCGCTGCTCCTCCCCGTTCTTCGTCATCCTCTTTAAGTAATGCGTGCAAGGAGGTCGACCATGAGACGCCTACCCTCGAAGAGCCGGTCAGCCGCAGACAAAAGGCTGGCGTGGTTACAGGGAAGGCTCGGGAAGAGCATCAAAGCCGCGAGATAGAGTGCGCCTGCGCCTTGGCCAAGAGGCTGGCGTGGCGGCCAGGAGCCACCCGATGACGAGCTGCGATGCTCACTTTGACAATTGCGCCATGCGATTAGGATGCGGCATCTGGGTGGAGTGGAGAGCGAGGTCCAGGTTTGTCGACAGCCGAGAGAGTGTAGTAAAGCTGTAGCTTCTTTATCGGAGCTCACGGCGGGGCCATATGTACAGTAGTATGTAGACTGTCCTGTTTCCGGCGACTTTGGATAATGAGGCTGTCTGGCCGCGGAGCAGAAGCGTGCGCTCGCCCTGCAGCAGTCAGGCGGTCAGAGAGCGGGCGATCTGCCGCAGGTGCTTTGCTCTTGGCGATATGGCGCGATATCGATCGTCAAAGGCTACCTACGGCTTCGTCCAACGACGTTTGTGCACGGAACAGGTCGCCGCAGCTCGGAGGATGCACCAGATGCGCCGGGCCCTCTCCTTTTTGATGACCGGCGAATTCGATCTGAACCAGAGGTGCGGGGAAAGAGGAGCTACACTGGCTCGGCGTTCCACGAGACAGGCCAGCACACCCGAGTTTCACGGCAACGTACGATGCAGGTGCCGGCGGGGCATGCGTCCCGCTGCGCCAGCCTGTTCCCAGGAGACAGGCAGGCTGGAAAGACCGGTTCATTGCTCGGAACACAGTTCTGAGGGGTGTAGGATGCGTTTCAATTACCGGCAAGGAGGCAGGCAAGCTAGGCAATGCCGTGATGGCGTGCAACACGACAGCCGACCGAAATCGATGGCGGTGGAGTGAGGGGAAGTTGGGCGGTTGCTTGCCCGCTTGGCGCGTCGCGCTTTGGGTCGGAGCCCAGAGGTGGCGCAATTTGACTCGAGCGCTCGTCAGCCCACCGCGCCAGCTTGGCGCATCACGCCAGACCCGCCAAAACGTGGCGCGCCTCGTTTGGAGCCTCGCTTGCTCCTTCCATCCTGCCACCACCACCACCGCCATTGCATCCTCGTCGAGGCGTTTCGGAGAGCAACGCAGTAGTGTGATCCGCCCTTGCACTGCTTCCTGTTTGCTGACCACGTCGACTCTTCCAGGAGTGGCCCTGCAGCAACTTTCAGTCTACCCATTCTTGGCAACACGGTCGCAGCCGAGCCGACACACGAACATCCTCGCCTCGTCGCTCCCATTCAACCTCCGTTCTTGACAGCCGAAGTAGGTATCTGATCGCTCGCGCCCCACCACGCTCCGTACGCTTACCGCGACAGATCAGTCCTAGTCCTATCGCAGCTTTGCCCCCACGCTGACTCGACGTCGTTGTCCGGCACCTGCCCAAGTACGACCCAGCACGACCTCTCCCATACGGTCTGGTTACACCACCACGGCTCGTACGGCGTAGCGCGGTGACGCTTCTTGCCCCGTCCTCTCTGTCACGACAATCCCTTGTCTCGATACTAGCCCTGGCTTGGCCGATCGGTGCTGCCGGGATAGTCTCGAGACCGCGGTGGGCCCATTTCTCATGCGAATGGTGCGATGCCACTTTGCAAACGCGATTGATCCTCAGTGACACTGGTCCAGTATGACCGGCATGCCCAGAGCAGAGGGCGAAGGATTCCGTGCGCCGACCTGCCATCACGTCTGAGAAGCATCTGGCGTTCCCGACCTCAGCCTTCCAAAAGGGCACTCACGGATGTGTGTAGAGGGTAGGGGTCACCATACTCGCCAAGGTCAAGTTGGGTCGGCAACGAGGCTGCGGGGGAGGATATAAGACCCCCCTCCAGAGCACTTTCGTTGTCGAAGACTCCTCGAACCGATCTCTGGCCCTTTGCCAAGTTTCAACCTTCTAGGATGGCACCTACTGCAGACCTGGTCACCTCTTCCGCTGCGCCTATCGCGGCGTCGGCCAAGCTCGCCTCGCTCAACATCGGACAAGGACGTCAAGCTTCTTGGCGAAAGGGCGACCTGCAGCGAGAACCGCTTGTGCTCAAGGGGTTGCTTGAACAGTACAGCCACTTCGACGTCACACCGGTCATCGGTCGCGAGTTCTCGACTCTTCAGATCCGCGACGTACTCCAAGCCGACAATGCCGATGAGCTGCTTCGAGAACTGGCCATCACGAGTGAGTCGCTGCTGGCAAAGACATTCGCGTAGCGAAACCGCAAATCTGAATGAGAATCCCCTCGTCCTCGTCCCCTCATTGCTGAGCCAGTCTCGCGGCGTGGCGTCGTTTTCTTCCGCGACCAGGATCTCACGCCCGAGGAGCAAAAGGACTTTACCCACCGCGTCGGACTAGCTGCGGGCAAGCCCGAATCTAGCGGCCTGCACATCCATCCGATTACCAACGCCGAGCGAGAAGGCCACCAGATCACCGTCGACGAAAAGGGCACGCCGAACACCGACAACGAGATCAGCGTCATCTCGTCCAAGATGCGCAGGGAGCTGTACTCCCACTATCGTCGCAACCACGATGCCACCAACGAGTGGCACAGCGACATCACCTTTGAGCCGGCTCCCGCCGACTACACCTCGCTCAAGGTACACACGCTGCCCTCCACCGGAGGTGACACGCTGTGGTCGTCGGGCTACGAGATCTTTGACCTTCTCTCGCCGCAGATCCAGGCATTCGCCGAGACGCTCACGGGTCACTTTGCGCAGCCTGCTTTCAACGAGGCCGCCGCGCGTGGCAATTTTACCCTGTACAGCAAGCCGCGAGGATCGCCGCTGAATGTGGGAGAGCACCTGTCGGCGGACCACCCCTTTATCCGCACCAACCCGGTGACCGGCTGGAAGTCGGTGTTCGGGCTAGGCTCGCACTTCCGGCACATCAATGGCCTCACGCCCAAGGAGAGCGAGCTTCTGCGCAACCACATCCTGGAGCTGGTCTCGACCCACCACTTGGCCCAGGTGCGCTTCAAGTGGAACAAGAACGATGTTGCCATCTGGGACAATCGATCGACATTCCACGCCGCCACGCCCGACTATGAGGGACTGGGCGACCGTGCCGGGGTGCGGGCAGTATCGGTGGGGGAGGCACCCTACCTCGATCCCAACTCGTGGTCCAGGAGGGACGAGCTTGGCCAGGATAGGTTGATCTGATCGGTTCGAGTAGGTTGACATCTGGACCATCGCCTTTCGATAAGACTTTGGTCAAAGCGGCAATGAATTGACATGCGCTTCAGCTTTGCGGAGAGAGGCAGAGAAGGCGGTCGGTGAGGGCAGAGTAGCGCGGTCGCTTCGGTGGCCGATCGATCCATCGAGCCCGATACTGCGATCGGGAAGGATGTGCCTCGCCTGCGTGTGTGCTTTGCCCGATTTGGTCAGTGGAAAAAATGGCAAATTGGCGAAGCGCGCTTGCTTGCTGCGTCGTTCCGACCGCTCGACTCCTCCCATCGCCCGACCACCAACCATCCTCCCCTTCACTCTCTTCATCGCCAACGGCAATCTCTCTGTCCAACCTCGCGCCTACCCTGCACGCCATGTCGCTGCCGTTACCGGCTCTTCGCAGCTCCGTCTCCGCTCTCGCACGCGGCCGCACCGCAGCACCCCTCGCCTTTGCGGCGTCATCGGGCGCATCGACCTCGCGCACCCTACTCACCACTCCACGGCTGTTCCAGCAGAATGGCGAGTCCCCCGCTCGCTCTCACCGACCTCGTTCCGCATCGCAGAACCCGTCTCAGCTCCATTCCAAGAACGAAAGCCAGGGTATCTCTGCTGCCACGGGTCTCGAGACTAGCCGCTCCGCACCCGGCATCCCCACTGGCAACGCCAGCACCGAGCGAAACGAGCAGACGTACGCCACCGCCAAGGGCATGCTCGACGAGTTTGCCCAGCAGCTGTCGGCGCAGTCGAATTCGAAGACTTCTCCTGGCGCTACCGCTTCAGGGCCGGCGACCACGACAACACCACCATCACCGCCGCCGACGGGCGCGACCGCCTTTGCATCGCCCCACTCCGCTCCCCCTCCGCCAACCACGCCCCTGAGCGCTCAAGCCTATAGCCCCACTGCTCTTCCGCCGCGAGCCGACCCGCTCCTGACCTTCCTCACCAATCTGCTGATGAAGTCCGGCAAGAAGGCCCAGTCGGAACGCTTCGTCACCCACGCCCTGTCCCATATCCGCACCCTCACCAATGCCGATCCGCTACCCTTGCTCTACTCGGCCGTCGAGCAGGTGCGCCCGTTGGTCAAGATGCAGTCGCGCAAGCAGGGTGGCAAGAACATGCAGGTGCCAATCGCTCTGACGCAAAGGCAGAGCGAGCGGAAAGCCCTGACCTGGATCATCGACGCCAGCAAGAAGAGGAGCGACAGAGACATTTCCGTCAGGCTGGCGAAGGAGTTTGTCGCCATCGTCGAAGGCTCGTCGGCCGTCAACAGCAGAAAGGAGGAGCAGCACAAGATTGCTACCGCCAACAGGGCCAACGCCGCCGTCAGAGTCTGAGGAGTCTCGGGACCAGTTCGGTTCGGGCCAGGACGACGGACAGCCAGGCAGGCGACTCGAGCGGTTCTAAACGCAACAGGCTCATGGCAGGGGTGTATCGTACAATGTGGCAGGAGGCGACCGCGAGCGAACCGCTACCGTGCATCTCAGTCGCCGTTGACAAGGGTCAAGGCGGCAGCGGCCGCCGCATCCGGACCGTCCTCGCTCTCAGACGACGAAACGTTCGACCCAGCTCTGAACAGTGTCCATGCCCCTCTTGTGCGCCTCGATGTCGCGACTGCGCACGATGATGACGGCGTGCGTGTTCTCCAGGCCCTCGTAGTGCACCAGGAACTTTCGCAGCTGCGGTAGCACCTTGGCGTCGTTGAGGCGTGCGACGATGCGGTGCTGCGCTTCGGGCAGCGGCGGCTCGGAGGCGTCGAGGTGCAGATTGTCCGATAGCCTGAGGGTGCCTTTCTGCGCCAGGGTCGGCGCGTCCGAAGTCGTCGATGCCTGATGTGCAGTTGGTGGCGAGCGGGGGTTGACATCTAGGTTGTCTTCCCCGACTTCTCGCATCGCCTCTTCGAGGTCCTCCTCGAATCCATCGAGGAGCTCAGCAACGCGATGACGTTCCGTCAATCGACGTTCGCGCTCTTCCCAGCGACGCCGCGGCTTCTTCGATTTCGCCTTGACCTTTGCAGTCTCGACCGCGGAGCCACTGCCATTGGTTGGGACCGTTCCGATGCTGGTATCGTCGTCGTCGTCGTTGTCGTCTTCGTCTGGGAAAAGGCCGTTCTGCCTTGCCCAAGTGCGTTCGAACTCCTCGACCCTTTTGTCGCTGTCTTTGGACTGTGACCGCAGCTTGTGCACCACCAGCCCCATGAAGCCAGGCAGCAGGATAGGGAGGAAGAGGACCATGACGTAGTTGAGCGGGAAGGCGACGGGGTATCGGCGTGGGTTGGCGAAAAGTGCCAGAGGCGAGTTCTTGAGCGTCGTCACAATGCGGCCAAAGATGCCGGCTTGGACCGGCAGTGCGGAGCTGGCCCGATAGCCCGACAGCAGTGTTGGATGCTGTCGATCTCGCACGCTGAAGCGTTTCGTTGTGCAGAGGTGGCGAGAGGGGCGTCAGCGATACGGCTGGAAGGGGTACGTGTCGCTGCATCCGTGCGAAGGCGACTCACAGTTCAAGGCCGCCTGGCACGACAAAGGGATCATGCTCCTCGACCGCGGCGGAACGATAGGGCACTGTCATGTCGGCAATGGCGTTGGCGTAGAAGTCGACGCGGTTGAAGCTCGCCAGCGCCCGTACAAAGACTGAGCCGGGCTCGGACATGGCTTCCAGCAGGCCGACGCCCTGCTCGCTCTGAGAGTGCTTGTTGGGTGCGTAGGTCTCGTCGTGGGCAATGGCGGCAGCGGCAGCGGCAGTGCCGTCGGCATCAATATTGGCCCTGCTCCACCCAGAGTCTTTCATGTACTGCTTGCCGTACGGGTGAGGGGGTACAGAGAGTCCGACTTGGTCAGAGGACTCTCGGATGATACATGCCCTAGCACCGTACTTACGAGCTGCAAGCCGGTTCTGCCAAGGGAAGAGCTGCCGACCGAGGCGACAAGCTTAGCAAACCTGCCGCCTCCGGGCCTCGGCGTCATGCCGGCGTGCGGTGTCGCAAAGGTGGTAAATGAAGAAGGCAGAGGACGTGATTGAAAGTCGAGGGTACGCTTGCGGCTGCGGCGGCCGTTGGGCGAGCTGGCGGTGGGCGTCGTAGTACTGCTTGGGTCGACGCTAGACCGTGGGCTAGATGTTGAAAAGAAGCCGGCGACGTAAAGGAGGCCGATAGTGTAGCGAGCGATGAGGCCGCCAAGAGAGTAGCCGACCTGCAATGGAGCGATTGGGCCCAAGGAGGTGCGAAGAGGGAGGGGGAAAGGGAGAGGGAGAGGGAAAGGAAGAGGGAGAGGAAGAGAACGGGTTGAGGTACCTGTGTGCGAACCAAGGTCGGGCGATAAGGGGGGCCAGGGCACTCACGATGCTGAATTTTGTGACGAGGGATCCATGTTCCTCTAAGCGCTTCACCTCGGAGTAGATCTGTGTGACACAGGGAGAGGGATTTGTCGGTGGGGGTGAGAAGGGACGAGTGTGGGTTTCGGCGGTGCGGCGGCGATGCGTGGAGGGAGGGGGTTGGCTGGCTGACCTCTTGGAGGAGGCGCATGGCGCACACGTCTATTCCGTCGTGCGTGTAAGCGCCCTTGGGCCGGGAGGTATCGTGGGAGGTGGAGTTGGAGCAAGCATTGAGGACGACGAGTTGCGGAGCGGCGTTGGAGCTGTCGTGAGGCTGCTGGAGCGTCGTGGGCTGTGGATGACCGCCGTCGACTGCTTTCGGGTCAAGGGAGGCGGTGTTGGGCGAGATATGGCCGGCGTGGTGGTCTGCCAGGGTGTTTGCGAGGTAGGAGAGATGTACGGGGTCGCCCCACAGTCCGTGATGAATGACGACGAGGTGGACCCTGGGAGCGTGGGGTGATGTCTGGGACATGGCGCTGGGTCGGGTGAGCGGAGGGGTGCGATGCGGGGAAAGGGGTGGTGGCAATGAGGAGAGGAAGGCGGATCAAGAGTGTTAGAGGCGCTGCCACCGTGACCTTTGAGGTCAGCCGTTGGCCGCTGCGATGGTGAGCGAGGTGGCAGAAGTTGGCTACGTAGGATGCCGGCGGAAGTGGTGGTGATGTTGAGAGGTTGCCAAAGGAGGTTGGGTCGGCGCAGCGGTTGGCAAAGCCTCCACTCGAGCACCGTGCCGGCGGCCACCCCGAAAACTCCGAAGATCCGGGATCCGGGTTCCGACATCTGAGCGCCTCGTCGCACGTCCGCCTCTCCCCAGGCATGGGGATGGTCTTTGCCCCTCCGCCCCTCAGCCCCTTGCTTAGAGTGAAGTTCATTTCTGATTCTCTCACTTCCGCTTCGCATCCACATCATACGAGCAGCGTCGCTCCATCGACGTCGCTCATCGACGCGCCAGGATTTCGCCGCACGCGATGAAATACACGCTCTCCTCCCGCTGACCCCACTCGCGCCACGCCCCTACCATCTCGTCAATCTGCTCCTCGTCCGCGCCCGTCGTCCTGCTCGCCTTGTCCCTCCATGCCCGCTCGTCTACCCGGCTGGCTTGCATCTTGCCCCACCACCCGGCCGCAGGCTGACCGGCGTACGTCTGGTTGCTCGACGAGTACCTGATCCCATCCGCCTTGAACCCGGCCTCGATCGCCCATCGGATCAGGCACCGTCCAGCATTGGGCTCCGAGCCTCCATCCCGTCGGAAAATGGCCTCCGACGTCGTCTTCCACGACTCGATCGCAGAGCTCCATGGGTAGACGACCGTCGTCTGCCAATCCCCTTCCCTCGCTGCAACCAAGCCGCCCGGCTTGCACACCCGACGCATCTCTCTCAGCGCCGCCACCGGGTCCGCCAGATGGATCAGGACTTGATGCGAGTGGACGACGTCAAACGTGGCATCGGCATAAGGTAGATCCAACACCGACGCCACCTCGAAGCGGCAGTTGGCAGGTACACCTTGCATCCTCTGGGCGGCCGCGATGACGTCGGCGGAAAAGTCGGTGCCGACGATGCTACCCGCTGGGACGTGCTCCGCCAGCGAGGCGGTGATGGTGCCCGGCCCGCACCCAATGTCGAGCACGGCATGGTGCGGCTCGAGGTGGGGCACAAGGTAGGCGGCCGAAGTGGCGGCGGTGCGAGAGGCATGCGAGGCCAGCACCGACCCGCTGTGGCCTTGTGTGTAGGTCTTGGCGGCGGAGCTCATGCTTCAAAGCCGGCCAGACGAGGTGCAGAGACGGACGGGCTGGAGTGGTTCAAAAGCGCAGAAGACTTGGTGGTTGTCGGCAAAGGTCGAGTTCGTCTGGTAGGGGCGAGGATCAGATCAAGTTGCGAGGGGGGAGAAAGAACTCGACGACATCGGCAGACGGCTCGAGCCATCCAGAAGCAAGGCGCACGGTCCACCGCGCAGCCATCCTGGCAGCCAGGGGGCGCAGACACGACACGCGCAGGCTCGACTAGTCAGTCACAACGCACGCCAAAGAGACGACGACGGGCGCTACAAAGACTGCAGAGCAATCTCAACCGGCTCTGACCTTTCGCCGCCAGTGCTCGGCAGTCGACGAAGCCGTTGCAGCAGCGTCTTGTTCGATACCGGTGGGTGGTGAGCCGACGATGTGGCTGTGACGGTTGCGAACGCCGAGTAAGAACGGTCCGATGCCAACGACGGCCGGGGTGACGGCTGCTCTCCCACGTCACGAGGAGCCCCGACCACCTCTGCCGCCTCGTGCCGCTCGCTAGGCCTCGTTTGACGTCGCACGACGTTGAACGCGACCCCAGCCAGCATGATGCCAAGCCAAAGCGTCAGCTCGGTCGCGTAGATGGCCACGGCAAGGTAGTCTGGCGGCTGGACACAAGCTGGTTGCGGCAGAAAGGACGAGGGATGAGGGACGAGGGACAGTGGCTTGAGCTTCCTGCTCCAGTCTATCGGAGACGCGACAGACACCGCCCGTCGGCTGCGCAAACTCACCGACGGCCAGCAGCGAGGCAAGATCGCCTGCAGCATCCAGAGCAACGAAGCCCCAGCTGATGCCACGCACCGTCTTTTGCTGCCAGATGTCGAGATAGTGCCGCAGGACGCCCAATGCCAGGCCGCACGCCGACAGCACGGCCATGATGACGAGAAAGGCGTGCGGCGCCTCGCCAGTCGAAGTGCCCCCCTGTGCAGACAGACAGCCGGCCACCGTACAAAGCAATAATAAAGCGGTCAGCTCCCATGTCACAACGAGCGTTCGCACCAGTCGTTGCCGGGACCGCACTTGCCTTGAATCCGACAACGACTGCCGCTTCGCACGCGCCAAAGAGGCTACCAAGGGCGCCGAGGGCCCAGATGCACCGTTTGGCGCTCCAGCCCTGGAGTATCGAGGCGCACAGGCGAGAGGCGTGGTCAGACCGATGGCTCTTGGAGCGAATCGCGACATGAGCAGGCGACTCACATGTGAGTAGTGCATCACCTGAGACCAGGTCGTCAGGCTAAGGCCCGTCAAGATCTGGGCCTGGACCTGGAGCGCGACATGCTGGTGGCTCAGGATGTTGTAGATGCCCAGGGGCAGACCGGCGAGGGCCCACAGCAACATCATACCCTGATGAAGCCCAGTCGTGTGATGCCGACGGTAGTTGAGCCAGATCTGCGGCAGGAGCTGGCGGCATAGGAAGGCAAAGGTGCAATGGGACGCCGCTCAGCCACCGACGGTAGGTCGCTTAGCCAAGCTCAATACGTGCGGCCGACGCACCTGGACAGACCAAAAGACCTGCAGCGCAGAGTGTAAGCAGCCAGGGTGCTCTGTGTAAGCTTGATACTAGGTGCGGGGACGATACAGGGTGCCGTGTAGCGGCCGCAGGAGACCGCAAGGTGCACTACTCACCGCGCCCGCGACGGCCATCGTCTGGATGAATGGCGTATCCGGAAACATCTTCGGGGACAATCTCAGCGGCAGAGAGGATGGGTCGCCGGGCGCTGCGATACCTGGTTGCACAGCTCTGATCAAGGGAGTTGCTTTCCACGTCAGTCGAGGTGCTGGTGGTGGGAGCAAACAAACAATTACGAGAGATAGTCACGCCGTGTGGAGGCACACGGTAGAAGAGGTGAACTCGGTAGCATGATGGCCCGAGGTGCTGGTAAAGGCGCCGCCCGTAGGAGGCCGTGAATTGGACGAGGCCATAGCAGCCCCCCCCCCCCCCCCCCCCTCCCCCTTTCCGTCTGGTCGAGCGTCGACGTCGTAGCCATTGGGAGGCAACTTTGCTCTAGAGCATCGCTCTGACCACCATCGCCGACAACCCTTTCCGCAAGCAGCCGCACTATTGAGAATATGACCCTCCCTCGTCGGCTTGTAAAGCGCTGCTCAGCGCCGCGGAGCATCGACCGACTTCAGCAGCTCCTTCATCGCTCCACAAACCCACAGCTATATCCGCTCGCCCACAGGTTTGTCAAAGGAGTTCCGCTCTACCAAGGCGCGTCCCTCGCCAGCCGGCTCGCACAGTCAAGTGGAAGCGAAACGGATCTGGCCGAACGATTGATGGACGAGTGGCACCATGTCCTCGGCCGCGGCCCCGGGGCTGTCGTGATCACAGACCTGGTTCCGACGTCGGCAGTCGACGAAGCGGGCGGAGCGTTTGCACGGATCGCCCAAAGCGAGCGAGCGGCTCGCAGCGGTGGTGGTGGCGACCACTTCGCATCATCGGGCGCCAACGTACGCATCTGGAACTCGTTCGAGAAGCTGGCAATGGACAGCCCTTCCACGTTTGTGCGGTACCACTCGTCGACCTTGCTCGATCTAGTTTGCGAGGCGTGGCTGGGCCCTCGCTACCAGATGACGGCGCAGCTCAACAACGTCATGCCCGGCGGAGCGGGACAGAAGCCACACCGCGACTACCACCTTGGCTTCCAGTCCCAGTCGCAGGCACAGCGCTTCCCCGCGGCCGCGCACATCGCAAGCCAGCATCTCACGTTGCAGGGCGCGGTGGCTCAAAGCGATATGCCCCTTGAGACGGGACCGACGCTCCTGCTCCCCGGAAGCCAGCTGTTGAAAAGTGGCTACATCGACTTTCACGAAGCCCAGGTACAAGATTGGGTGGGTATGGCCGGGCGTGATGGGGCTACAGGCTAGCGTTGACGACGAGCATTGACCATGGCGGTTCCATCCATCCGGCCTCCTGGCTCGCGGTACTGCTCTTGAAGGCGAGGGACAGCTTCGTCCAGCTTGAGCTGCGCAAGGGCGACGGCCTCTTCTTCAACCCGGCACTGATCCATGCAGCCGGCACAAACCGCACGGCGGACGTCGTCCGTTCCGCCAATCTGCTCCAGGTGAGCTGCCCCTTGCCGATGCTGTCTTGTCTCAGAGGGAAGACGCGATCAAACCCGTCAAATCCTCTGATGAGCGCTTACAGATCTCGAGCGCGTTCGGCCGGCCGATGGAGCACGTTGACCGGACCGGCATCACGCTAGCGGTCTTCACGCGCCTCCGGGCGCTCTATGCCGGGCAGCAACCAACGCATCCTTCGGGACTGAGGGCTCTCGTTAGGGCCGTGGCGCGCGGCTACGCTTTCCCGACCAATTTGGATCTCGATCGGCCCTCGCCTGACGGTGGGATGCCCACGACCGAGCAGGACCTGCTCTGGCAAGCACTTGGGGAGGGATGGCACGCCTCTCGCTTTGCCGGCGAGATGCAGAGGCTGACAGCCAAGAGGCCGGCTTCGATGTGAGTGCCGCACCCGCACGGCAATGCAACTTGGGCATGACTGCGAGCGAGATTCGTTCGGTAGGCAATTGACGTCCGTTTGCCGGGCCGCTGGACGGCTAGTGCCAGATGCGCTCAATGGCTTCGATGATATATTCCTCCCACTCGGTGCTGGCCCCGGATTCGGTGATGACGGCGTAGACGCGCACCAGGTGGTCCCAGCACATGGAGAGGTACTCCTTGAGCCGCTGCAGACACTCCGAGTTGGATGTATCGAGCGGATCGAGGCGCTTACGATGCTCATCGACATTGCAGCCATCTGGCACATGCCAGGCTGTGCCGTAGAACTCGCGATGCGGATAGGCAGAGGCGTCGCCGTCTCTCGGGCCGGTAGTGTCCTCGACGACGCGGAAGAATGAAGCGCTTGCTCGATAGTCTCTCTGTGACGTTCGGCCCTCTGCATCGCCGGCGGCCCAGAGCTGAGGCAGGCAGTAGGTGGCGTTGTAGTAGAGGTACGCCTCGAGCGCGGCCGTCCATACGTTGATGAAGCCGGTCTCGATGTAGCCACGGATGGACCACAGGCCAGCCAGGGGAGAACAGCCGATGGGATCGCTCGGGTTGGATGCGGCTCCCGTCAACGTGATTTGGTAGCTCTTCTCGTCGAGATCGAGGGTGCGCAGACGGGCGATGCGGAAGAGGACGCGCATCTCGCCGTGCGCCAGCAAGGCCATCACAACCGCGGCCCGAGAATCAGCATAGTAGACGGGGCCGCCCCATTCCCGTGCCTCGTTGAGCCGCTGAAGTGTATTTTCCGACCCCTCGCGACCAAAGTAGCTGCCCGGATCCGCCACGAGGCTTCTGTGTACCTCGATCGGTATCAAGGGCCCGGCGGCGCCGTCCTCGGTGTAGGCATCGGGCTCGACAGGGTTGCGTCTGGTCCCCGACTTGGTTTTGGTGCGCTCCGACTCGGCAAAGTCTGCCAGCGTACGGACAAAGACCCGGGCGAAATGGCGTATGCGCTTGCGGACCGCCCCGTCGTCTTGGTGGCGGCAGAGCTCGACTACGGTGATGCGTTGTGGGGTGCCGCGCGGTCCAGTGTCTACGAGCGACAGGCAGTCGACGAGGATGGACCACGGCAGGTTGTGGGCTTGGTGCGCCATGGCGGCTCGGCGAGGCTTACGCTTGGTCGGTCGACGGACAGACTACTATGCGGTGGGTATGGCGGGAAGACGCTGTCGAGGAACGCGGGCAAACACGAAGTCTCGCCTCCGCCAACGGTAAGCCTCGGGACTCGGATGGTCGTCCTCGCCTGCTGTCTTTCCCCTTTTCCCACCTGCCGCTCGGCGTCTCTTCGACTCGCCACTGACTACCCCTTCGTCGATGCCAACACCAGTTCAGTTCACCTTCTTTGCACGCCAACGACAGCTACTGATGCGTCATGAACAAGGGTCAACATCGCACGCCACGTCCCGATGCTGGCACTGAAGATTGTGTCGAGCGCTACGTCCTTGAGGAGCGTTGTTCGGGACGGGTTTCACTCCGTACCAGCCTAGCAGGCGACCCATCGTCGCCATGGCAGCTGGATGTGGACTGGTGCGGCGAAGCGCGGCTGGATCGAGTGTACCTCGAATCGTTTCTCGAGGTCTTTGACTTTGCACGGACGCAGGCGGGGAAGCTGCTCGCCTTCCTACAGCGTCACCAGCCGCATCTTCAGGTCGGCAGGGTCGGACTCGTATACGATGGCCTCGAGCCTCGCCTGCGCCTCGTCCCAATGACTGGCAGCGACACACAGCACTGGCAAGCAGTTCTCGCCCCCGAGGAGCGCTACGGCGACGAGAATCCCGACCACGTCGACAGCAAATCTGGCCCAAGGATGACTCGCGACGTGCTCGACGAGTGGAAACGACGACTCAGTCCTTACGAAGGCGCCGAAGACGACCTGACCTTCGATGGCCCGGCCAGCGATGACAACCTGTTTGCGAGAATCGTCAGAGGAGAAGAGGAACAGTGGAGGGTCTATCAGGATCCCTCCTCCGTGGCCGTTCTCACACCCTTCCCCAATGGCCCGCTCAAGACAGTTCTCGTCCCCCGCCACCATGCTGCGTCCGACGTCCTCGGTCTCGACAGAGCCGAATTCCTCGCCCTGCTCCGTTCCACTCACAGCGCATTGCGCATCTTTGATCGAGTCGATGCCATTGGTGTCGCCATCGTCATGGAGGGCTTTGAGATCGACTACGCCCACATCAAGTTAACGCCGAGGTTCCATGGCAACAAGTCTGAACGCTGCGCCTTCACGCATTGCTATTCGGGCTTCCTCACAAGCCAGCGAGGCCCAGACTTGGACGCAAAACAGGCGCTTGACTGCCATCGTCTGCTCGTTCGAGTCTGGCCCCGAGACTAGTACTAGTGGTAGTTCTCATTTCCCCGGCCTTGCCGAGGAGGGAGGCGCCGTAGGCGGTTGACTTTGAGCGGCCACCGCCTCGCCGGCCTCAACCGCTCCTCTTCCACGCACCAGAGATCCGAGTATTCTCAACACCGCCCTCGGCCGTGCACGTGTGCGCCCAGACCGGTGCGAGAAACTTCAGTCGCCGACCAGAATAGGGGCCAGCCCTGATCGGTCCGGCAACGAAGGGGTCGATGGAGGTGTGCCAGCACCATTGACTCGCAAGAAACGGAGCGGGATGACCTCAGGTCCCTGTGTCTCGACGCCCGTGGTCGAAAAGATCCGGATCTGCCGCGGGATGGCATCGCTCCGACTGCTTTGTTTGCCGCATGTGGTGATTGCGGCACCCGCAGCGATGCCCATGTGAGCTGAGTGCAATCTTGCGCGTTAAGCAGCGGGCCAGGTGGGGAGATCCTCGGGCGCTGAGGGCCGTGCGGCCAGAGGCTGGCGGCCATAGTACGAACGACGACATCCGACGAACGGAGGTTGAGGCAAGCAGCACGCGTAAAGAGACTTCCCAGAGCACATCACAGCAGAGTGAGGGGAACCGGACGGGCGCAAGGCCATGCGGCCCTTGCCCATCCACAGGTCATCCGACGACAAAGCTCCCTCCGTTGAATCTTCTTGCTAGGATACAATTTCAAGGAGCCGTTGCTCGCCGCGATCAGGAGCCTCCAATCGCGGAGGTTCCCTCATCCTTACTTGAAGCCGAGGAACGACTTGAGAGGCTCCCAGCCGAGGTTGAGCTGCGACGTGCAACGACGAGGACAAGGAATGATGGTCCACAGTGAGTGTGGAGAGGTCAGCAAGGCCTTGGCGCCGGAAAGTCAAGGACTCAAACAGAGAGACTAGCTCCTGCAATGACTCACGTTGTAGAGACCGGCGCCAAGGGTGACGAGGAGCGTGCCGGCGGCGCCGATCGGCCTGCCGCGGCCGCTAGCGTTGGGCGCGGTGATGCCGAGGGCATGGGCGACGCGTGAGAGGAAGAGGGTGGTGTAGGCGGCGTGGACAAGGCTAGTGGGGGCGCCGTTGAGCTCGGCGAGGAAGATGAGGAAGAAGCCAAGGGGTACAGTCTCGTTGAAGTTGGCGTGAGCGCGGACGGCCTGCTTGAGCTTGGTGTCGTCCTGCGCGTTGGGGCTCTTGGAGTTGAGTCGAATCGAGGGGGAGTCGCCCTCGCCCAAGGTGAGGCCCGTCTTCATACGCAGGCTGATGACCGAAGCGCCGAGATAGGAGTAGTAGCCTGCGGTCCCCGGTTGAGCAAAGGTAGAAAGGCACGAGACCAAGAGTCAGCAAACAGGCATCGACGTGATTGGTGTCAGGATACTCACCGGCAAAGAGAGCCGAGTGGGCCAGAGAGGCCTGGCGTGAGCCGTTATCCGGATGGATAGGAAAGGATCAGCTCGTCAGGGTCTCCCGAGTGGGTGCTTGGGAGCCTTCGTCCGGTCTAGCAGTGGAATGCTCACCGGGCTGAGGACGAAGAGAGGCATGGCGTGCGAGTCAGGAGGAGCTGTCCGGCGAGTCGGTCGTTGTGGTCGAGTTGGCGAGATAAAGTCAGAGGGCGGAGGCCAAGATGGTAGCAGCGGTGGAAGAGGCGCAGCAAGGAGGATGGTGGAGCGAGCAGGTGTGACGACGCTCTGAATGGCCCTGAAGGGCTATTTGTCAGGTGGCCCCCGCTCGACGCCTAGCCCGCGATCGCAGCTCCCTGCCTGGCCGAGGCCCTGCCTGTCTGCCTGCCCTGGCCCCGCTCACCTGGTCCGAGCCCCACCCGACTCCGGCCCTGCCCGCCTTGCTTGTCCCTCCACCTCGCCTGCTTGCTGCTCAACCTCTTCTTTCTCTCTCTCTCTC